TATATATATATATATATATATCGGCTGCTATAATCACCATATCCAAGGAAAATGTTGTCTTTCTCTCTTTGTTCTCCTTTTCCTCTCCCAGTGTCAATCGTAAAACTTGAAACCTTTTGAAATAACGATCGCTGTGGATTTCAATGCCTCGACCGCTGAGATGAAGTCACATGTTTCGGTTGCCGAAAGCTTAACCATGCGCGAGCGAGTAGCATAGTACCATACCGTCGGGTATCAAGATGAGCATTGAACGCACTGGGCAAGTTCAAGTTGTCTCGTTGTATCCGTAGCTCGCTTCGTCATCTGCATTCGTTTCGTTTAAAGGACCAAGACCTTGCCCGGGAAGTGGGCAATGGTAAAACAACAAACAACAAGCTCATATTGCCTGTATTATTATACGGATAGAGTGGCATACATTGCTGATAAGTGGGTTCAATCATTCTATCCATAGTAGCCTTGAGATGAAAGAAACGCGGTCAAGAATAATTAACTCTTGGAACGTGTTTGATGCATTCGCATTGATCACTCACTCTCTTCTCTGACAGCTCAATCCAAGAACCAATGCTAATGCGCCAAAAATCTAAAACATGGCCAAAATCAGAAACTTGGTTTTAATGTTTTGCCATAAACCATCATATTGTTTATCTGCTTCATCGTTGAACATCCTTTGTTAGTTCCGTTGCACTACAATGGCTAATCGACTTCCGGTAGTAACAAGCACAGCATTAACGGTAGGCACCTTTTCATACCGGTTCTAGCAAGCCTCGCTCTTCGTGTGATGAGGCTCGCCATTTGGTTCATATGTTGCGAGTTACCACTAGATGTCAACGACGACCTTTGGCCAGGAAAGGCTAAACATACCTAAACAATCAGCGTAACAAGTCCAAATGCAATCACCTTCCATACAGTGAAGGTTTGTCTTTCTACTATTAGCTCCATCCCTGGTAGGAAGTTATAGAAAACCCGTTCCTTGATGATCTGCATCTCGGTTATCTCACAGACTCCATATCCCAACAACGCAAACATATTTGTAGAAAGCTTTCGGGTGTTTAACAAAATTACCAAATCATATATCTACCAATTTCATAAGATGAATTATTAGAGTTTTAGTTTTATCGAGCCACGGGTTGATAGAATTATGTTCAATAAGAAAGATATTGTGGAATTTCTTGAGGTGAGCAATCCCTGGGTCGATCATATCGAGGCTTCTAAGTGCGTGCATGAACCACGTAACAAGCAATGTTTGTTACCTATCTGCTCTTTTTAACTTCTCCGATTAGTTGGGGATCGCTGCTATTTCCCTCTATAACTAGTACTTACGCTTTCTAAGTATCCGTTCCTGGACCATGAAATACGTGATGTGATGCGACGGATTTGTATTGTGAAGAGATATAGTAAAGTCGTTACTATTACAGCGGTTTGTCCAAGTTCGTACCTAAAACTTGGCCTTTTGGGTTTCCAAGATCTCAGAGACCACATTCAATATCGCTTCCCGAAGGATGTCAACCATGTGCTCCAATTCAGACTCAGTTACCCCATATGGCGAAGACATTATGACATGGCCAACATGCACCTCTCCTGTTTGACCCAAGTTACCCAATATATCTTTCTGCAGAATAATGCTTCCGATGGCTTTTGATTATTCAGGTGTGGCAGGGATACAACCCAGGGTAGTCCTACTGGCGGTCTTGGTTACAAAGGCAGAGAGACCTTCTCGGGCTCGACGCAAAGGATCTCTTCTTCTAGCTGACCTGCGAGTCGTTTGACATATTCTTCATCAGACTCATCTCCTCTAAATCGGTAAGAGAAGCAGGGGCCAGCAAATCTGATATTTTGCAATAACCAGCGGCGATACATGGCCCGGCGAGAGTCATGCCCAGAGATACACAAAGCTCCGATTGTGTTGCTATGATAGCTCTGTTTTGGAAATAACGTGACACTTCTGGTGCATTCTACGCTCGAGCCAGTATTGTGTGGCTATAGTAGTTTTGTGGTAGCATCTGTAGCCTTACTCCCAGTGTTGACCAAGATGGCTTTGTACAGCCTGCCTGGTTGTCTACTAAGAAGCATCGAGGTGAGATCTTCGGTATTACAGGTGAATTGTGCCCCGGAGTATAGATAGGCGAGCTGGTTGATCTGATTTGTTACTATGTGTGCAATTTTAGGGTGGTCGAAACCATGAAAGGTATAATACCGCTGATCCTGTTGAGGTGTTGAGGACCTGACAGTCAGGTTCTAAGAACAAAGAGACACCTGAAGTAGAAATAACCTTTTTAGGTTTATTGGCAAATGAACGATGAGTAAGGGAGGAGCCGGATGTCAAAGGATAAGCCATCTTGAGAGTTTGATCTAATCTTGACGCTGTGACCAGATTATGAGGGAGAAGTTTGTTGTGTCGTTGTCGAACTTCTGATATGTCGTCTGTTTACATTAGCCGGGGAATAAACTCTAACCCAGTGCAGTGCAGTATGAATAGCCTAGGTGGATATAATCGGAACTAGGAAACTAGAGATATTTGGTCCAAATAATCGAGCATTTTGTTCTGGAAATGTTCATCTACTGTTTTCCTGATATTGGATGTTTGCTACCCTGCATCTAATTCCTGTGAACCTTGTACATACACGTACGATCCATGGATTTCTCTAATGAAAGAACACAGCAAGAGAATCAATGAAATGATGTGCATGTTTTACAGCCATGATTGACCTTGTAGTTGGAGCTTTATCTGGATCATGACTGCTGCACAAACTTATCATGACACATCCATGGTTAATATCCATGGAGGTGGAGGACCGACATCGCAGCACTCAGCCAAGAACCCCGCCGTCAGGGTCAGAAGAAATTGATCGCTGGAATTATAAGAGACAGAATAAGTGGATCATCTTATGCCAATTTAGAAAGGAAGTTGACTTACTTTATTTTGGTAGCCTAAGCCCTTAGAGAACATTTCTTCTGTTACCCACCTCCCCGCATGAGACAAGTAACGTTAGCTCGCTAACAAAGCCGCATCACTTGCGATCCATTACTGAGTCGGGACTTTTTAATCACACGAACTTGAACATCGCAAGAGAGGATTCGTCACTCCGTTACCTACCATCACGACAATCGCCTACGTCTTGTTGGGTGCATTCTTGGACCCTGAAATTAGCAACGTTATTGGGTACGACAATTGATCCTGTCCCAAGGCATTTATCGTCCCTTCAACTATATCATGGCCAGCCAGCGTAAACCCCTTGTCAGCTTCCTTGGGCCAGTCGCCTCCTACACCCATCAGGTGAGTCCAATTCTTTCCCCCCCTCTGTGGCGAGGCATATAACACTGGAATAAACTTACCTGATGGTTTGGTTACATAGGCTGTCCGTCAGGCCTTTTCCGACGACACTTGGGAATTCCAACCCGCAGTCACCATAGATGGTGAGTAACCAACCAACACAAGTAGATGCCTTCCTCATTCTGATATTTCATAACAAAGACGTATTTGAGCAAGTTCAAGATGGCCAGGTACAAGCCGGCGTTGTCCCCTTTGAGAACTCAACAAATGGATCAGTAGTTTTCACTCTGGACAACCTGGCTGACAGAGCCAACCGTTACCCGGATATCACCGTTGACGGCGAAACATACGTCGACGTTCACCATTGCCTTGTTGGACATAGGAGTACTGCACCTGTCGTGGAGGAAACTGCTGAAGGTTCTGGTGCTTGCACGCCCACAACGATGGATCCATCCCCTTCCAAACCGCGGTCCAAACCTCTAGCCAGCCTGAAGCATATCCAAAGGCTATACTCTCATCCCCAAGCATTTGGCCAGTGTACAGCTTTTATCTCTACATATCTCAAGGGAGTTGAGATTTTCGAGGTCAGTTCGACCAGCAAGGCGGCTGAAATTGTGAGCAAGGACCCCACGGGTACCTGGGCTGCTATTTCCAGCGAGCTCGCTGCTGGTCTTAATGGTCTCGACTTTCTGGGCAAATCGATTGAAGACCGGGAGGACAACACCACCCGTTTCCTCGTGATTGGAACCAACGCTGCCGGCCCAAAGGATTTGGAGAGAACCAAGCAAGCAGTAGCTGACAAGGGAAGCAAGTCGCTTGTCTCCTTCACGGTACCACACACGTCACCTGGAGCTCTGGCAGATGCGCTGAGCTGTTTCCGGGCTTTCAATCTCAACCTGACCAGTATCAACAGCCGACCGAGTCTTGTGCAACCCTTCCAATACATATTTTTCGTCGAATTCGAAGGCCACAAGTACAATGACCCCGAAGGACGCGTCAATAGTGCTCTGGAACGAATCAGTCGCGTGGCTGAGAGTTGGAGGTGGCTTGGTAGTTGGGAGAGATACATGTAAGACAACCGACAAAGCGTCGTACAGTAATTTTGCAATTTGCCATGTTTCGCACCAAGTAAGAAATATGATCATGACAACCTTGGTCGGCATAAACTCCCCGCCCGAACAAAAACCGTCGGGTAGCTCTGGAAGCTCTCAGGAACTCCCCGCTCGTATTCTGGTGGGGCAAACAATGGCGCGCTGTCTAATGTCGCCCTGGCAGGTACTCAGGTACTGTAGGTCCCTTCAAGTACAGTAGGGCTTCTATTTTGAGAAGGCAATGAAGATCATACCACACGATTGGTCGTCCCACGCTCAACAAATACAAACCTTTATCAAAACGGACCAACGGTCGCTTATCAACGTCTGCATCTCACCTCATACTTACGTCTTCACAGGGCCATGCCATGGTTCAGTGCCCCCTCCGCCAAGATGTACATCCACAGAGATACGACTCAATCCCCCACCAACCTGGGGTGAAGAGATGCTGGGTATGCGGCAGAAAATCCCATTGAGGAACTTGCAGGGCACAATTCACAGCACCGCACCGGAAAACGACAGGCACTTTTTGGGGCGTGGGGTCGTCCGGAGACATTGACCCTTCGGAATGCTTCGCAAAGTCGACAGGGCAGGGATAAGACGCCGATGGCCCGACAGAGACCATGCGGGATTGTGGGATGGACGCAAAAGGCATCAATAAGAGGCGAGAAAACTCGACAAACTTGGAGGCATATCTCGTCCTAGTTGCTGCAGCGGAGACCACTATCAACCACCATGACGTACACGCGGCATGCACAACACTCCCCAAGAGACCACTAAGGGATAGCCATGGGCCACACGCCCAGGATCATGGTGGGAAGCTCTAGCCAAGTTGGTTGTTAGCCTACGGACCATCGCTCCAACGTTAAAAATCGGGCGATGGTCCGGAAGCTCTCCAGCAAACTCTGAGAGTACAGTGGCCGAGTCAAATACCTTTTAACTGCTCGAGCTGCTGCTTTTGATCCCGAGAGATTTCCTCTTCTTCTCATCCCTCTTGCTACTACTCCAGCTTGATGTTGAAGCAACAGCACCTATCTGCTATATCTCCCTTTTCTTCCTGGTTCTTTCACCCAAAATGGCGCCCCGCCCTATCTTTACTGCCACGCACCCACGTGCATGCTCTACGGCCTTTGAGCGGGTATGTTGAGTCTCTGAGATGCTGCTATCATGCCTCTTGGTCGTCGTTGACCCGGGGCATGAATGCCGTTTTGAATTGCGACACTTACACTCTTTTAGGTCTTCATGGCCCGCCGCGATATCCTAGAGAGTGTCCACGAGCCTTTCGGAGATGCTTTTTACTACGGTCCTGAGATCCTCAGCGATCGCTTCAGAAATGACACAGCCACTCGCGAACAGAGTGGTTTTTCCCAAAAGACTTACAAGGATGTCCTTAACGAAGTCATGGATGCGGGCAAAGATGTCAGTTACTTCCCCTCCTTCATGTTCATGCGAGCACTCGAACTCCCCGAACTCCCCGCTACACCCCACGCCTCGAATGAGGGGAATAGGAAACATGTGCCAGCCAAGCTTTTCTTTTCCTCTTCTTTCTTATTGGCAGCACATGCATGGCTATCAGCTATTACACTAGTATGGTGATAATCATGCAGCCGATTTAACACTTCATATCTTTATTGCACCACGAATTCCGCCCCATTGGTCAACACGGCCACGAGACTTAAAAGAAAATGGACATATCATACTTACAAATTCTTACAGGGCAAACGAATCTTCATCAAGGACATGGCCTACTACCTCATGGCCCCTGACGATAAGCCCACCAAGACTGCACCGTCTCTGGGCGAGGATGAGCCTAGCAACCCAACCGTGTTGCCACTAGAGGTCCTGAAGCAATTCCAATTCACTTTCCTCATCCGCCACCCCCGCCGAGCTATTCCTTCATACTACCGTTGCACCGTGCCACCTCTGGATGAAGTCACAGGCTTCTATGAATTCATGCCAAACGAGGCAGGCTACAAGGAGCTCGTGCGTTTCTTTGACTTTTTGATCAAAGAGAACATTGTCGACAAGGACAACCTTGTTGTCATTGATGCCGATGATCTTCTCGATAACCCCGAAAAGACCATCCGTCTCTACTGCGAGAAGACAGGCATCGACTTCAAGCCCGAGATGCTCGAGTGGAACGAAGAAGATTGCTCTTACGCTACCGCTGCCTTCGAGAAATGGAATGGCTGGCACAACGACGCTATCAAGAGCTCGGCTTTGAGGCCTCGTACTCATCACCAGGTATGTTAACGATTTCTCAATCGCCCCATCTCCCATCTCCCTCCACCTGTTTGCCTGCAACAACACCCACTGTTCGTTCGCACCTCCTGTGGTAGGGTGAAAAAAAAAAAGGCTGACATTGCTAACTAAAGAAGACGTTGACGACCGAGTCCGAAGACAAAGAATGGACCGCCAAGTTTGGTCCTGAAGCGCAGAAAGTGATCCGCAAGACCGTCGAGGACAACGTTGCCGATTACGAGTACCTGAAGCAGTTTGCGCTGCAAATCTAAGTGAAATTAGTTGTGTGCTCGTTCTGCTATTCACATGTTGTTTTTCAATCTCTTCGCTTTTTGATCGGTTTTGCACTTTTTTACCCCATCAGATTGGATATTACAGCTGGCAACGAACTGGGGTTATGAACGATTTATGAGCGTGATTTCGTTGATAGTACATCTATTATCGTACAACGACTTTGGCAATATGCCGCCTTGATGAATATATACAAACAACCACATCAACAAGATTTCGCCAAATCTGCTGTGATCAATATTCTTTCGGCCTTCAACCGCTTGATAATGTAAATTCTCCATTGGCTGTCCCGTATTGATGAAGCCCAAAATACATGTTTTATACATGTGAAGAAGGGGGAGCACCTCTGCTGACTTCACCGATGATACTTGGCTTGGTGTCCTTCAAGATGCGATATTTGATTCGCCCTCCTTTTAGATCCCGATTCAATCTCTCGATAGCCTAAGCTTGTTCTTGCTTTTGGGGTGTTTCTTCAGCCACCTCCTCCACGGGCTTTGAGACGTATGTCGGCTTTTCGAGGAGTCCATGCGTCACATTCTCAGACCACTCTTGAGCGTACTCCTTATCCTGGTCATTGGCCCAGCTTACCTTGATATCCAACAGCTTCTTCTCAGCGCTCTCAGCGTCTTCAGACAGAACAATCTTGTTGCCACGGCCAGCTCCACTTAAGACTGTGGCCATATCGGCAATTCCATTTTGCTTCTGGGCATTAAGAGCAATTCCACGCTCTTCTTTTGTACGAATAGGGCGATAATTCTTGTTTCCCTTCTTCTCCTCCTCTTCGATTCGCTTACGGTCGGCGGCGGTATATTCTTCGGGGCGTTTGTATCGGAACTCGTCATCCCACGCAACCTCGTGCAGGTGCTTCAACTCGCGCAATTTTTGGAAGACAGAGCGGCCGACCGACCCCTGACCGGCGGGGAAAGCGATATGTGCGAAAGGCGACCAGTAGTCTTTGCGGAGTTTGGCAGGTTTCGTCTTCTTGCCGTTGAAGGGAAGTTGCTTGAGATCATGGAAGCCCTACAGACAGTATGTCAGCCCGCCGGTCGTTCCCAGTATCTCAATATAGATTTAAACCAACATCAAGCGTCTTGTTAAAGCTGTAAATGATCTGATCTGTCCTTCTGTGTCCGAATACCCAAATATCCTCGCCGTGACCCTCAGGTGGAGGGAAGCCCAGGCCCTTCTTCTTCTTGCCGAAATGGCCATGTCGAACCCATATCCGTACGTAGCTGGGCAATTGGCCCAGTCGAGATGTCGGTGTCGTGTTCATAGTCGCCCGCTGTGAGGTTGAAATGGCCTTGATAATGGGGCTAGTAGAAAAAATCCCCAGTATGTACCGGCTCAATCACGGGCGGGCGCGGGGTCACGTGAATATGAAGCCATTTGGAATCTGGAGAAGATTGCTACAGTATCGGCCATGCAGATAATATTCACTAGTCCATTTCGTTGTATTTCTAGGTATGGGGACTAGGACTATAGACTTGAATTAAATGTTCATCTTGTATTGACAATGGCATCTATCCTATCTTGTCTGTCAGGCTTGGTACTTTTGCTCTCAATGTTGGATGTTGGTAACGGTCTGCGTCGGCCACCAATCACAGTGAACCATGCAGATCCTTCCTCATATAATCGGACGATAAGATAAGAATCGGATGACCCCACTATGAATGTTAGGTAACGACTAGGGTCTGACCTGGCTGTGACGTAGAAGAAACAGGAAGCTCCCAGAAGCTGGCCGGTTAGGCTGGAAACTTCCAGGAGCTCATCCTGATCCTACTTGATCTTGCCATAACCTACCATCAAGATCGAGATACTTCACGTCGGACGATATTCTCCGCTGGAGGCTTCTAGAGAATAGCTTGATTCCTGTACGAGATCCACTCGATTTGTGAATAAATTCACCTCTTGTTCCTCCAACTGCCAGGCTCGTTTCTTCTTCTGCAGCAATCAAGATACCCCACTACGACAAACAATACCTACCTTAGTACCTAATCTTTTCAAACATACAACCCGACTGTTCAGCCCTTCTCTTACACACTACTAATTGGGTGTTACAACTATACGAGTACATCGTTCACGTTTCTTTACTTTGTTATCCGAGTTTACATAACCACCTCTACTACACACACTATTCAATACCACCATCATGAATAGCCGCATGGACTTTACAGACCGTGCTCAAAAGGCTGTGGAAGATGCCATGGCCTTGGCTGAGCAATACGGTCACTCTCAACTTGTCCCGGTTCATCTCGCTGTCTCTTTGCTCGACCCTCCCGCGGACCCTTCAAAAGACCAGCAAAATGGTCCTCCTCCCACCAGCACGCTCTTCCGACAAGTGGTAGAGCGAGCACATGGCGACCCTCAACTCTTCGACCGGGCTCTCAAGAAAACTCTCGTTCGACTTCCTAGCCAGGATCCACCACCTGAGCATGTCTCTCTATCCCCTCAATTTCACAATGTGCTAAGAAAGGCTATGGACTTGCAAAAGGTGCAGAAGGATACCTACATTGGCGTCGACCACCTCATCACTGCGCTGTCTGAGGAATCAACCATCCAAGTGCCTTTGAAGGAAGCCAACGTCCCCAAGGCTAAACTGATCCAGGAGGCAGTGCAAGCTATTCGCGGAACCAAGCGAGTCGACAGCAAGACTGCTGATACCGAGGAAGAAAACGAAAACCTAGCCAAGTTCACCATTGACATGACTGAAATGGCACGGGAGAAGAAGATTGATCCCGTCATTGGTCGAGAGGAAGAGATTCGAAGAGTCGTTCGAATCTTGTCCCGACGTACCAAGAACAATCCTGTTCTTATCGGTGAGCCTGGTGTGGGAAAGACCACCGTAATTGAAGGACTTGCTCAGCGAGTGGTCAACCGAGATGTCCCCGACAACCTGAAGTCGTGCAAGCTACTCTCACTTGACGTTGGTGCACTTGTTGCTGGTAGCAAGTACCGAGGAGAGTTCGAAGAACGAATGAAGGGTGTCTTGAAGGAGATCACCGAATCCAAGGACATGATTATCTTGTTCGTTGATGAGATCCACCTTTTGATGGGCGCTGGTTCGTCTGGTGAGGGAGGCATGGACGCTGCAAACCTTCTCAAGCCCATGCTTGCTCGTGGTCAATTACACTGTATTGGCGCTACCACCCTCGCCGAATACCGCAAGTACGTCGAGAAGGATGCTGCCTTTGAACGTCGATTCCAGCAGGTTATTGTCAAGGAACCCAGCATTCCTGAGACAGTTTCCATTCTTCGAGGTCTCAAAGAGCGATACGACCGACACCACCGTGTTACCATCCTTGATAGCGCTCTGGTAGCTTCTGCCAACCTGGCTGCTCGTTACCTCACATCTCGACGACTACCTGACTCAGCCATCGACCTTGTTGATGAAGCTGCCGCCGCTGTTCGTGTCGCTCGAGAGTCTCAGCCCGAAATTATCGATTCTCTTGAGCGAAAGCATAGGCAGCTTATGATTGAGATCGCCGCTCTCGAGAAGGAGAAGGATGAGGCATCTCAAACTCGTCTTGCTCAGGCTCGCAAGGATGCTAAGAACGTTGAGGAGGAGTTGCAGCCCCTTCGCGAAAAGTACCAGGCTGAGATCAAGCGCAGTGAAGAAATTCACCAAGCCAAGCTGAAGCTTGATGACCTCGAGAAGCGACTTGAGGATGCAATGAACAATGCTGAACATGCCAAGGCTGCCGACCTTAAGTATGGTGCTATCCCCGAACAGGAGGCTGTCATCAAGGAGCTCGAGGCTCGCAAGGCCGCTGCTGACGCTGCTCTTAATGCCACCGCTCCTACTGATGCAATGGTCACCGACATTGTCACAGCAGACAACATTAACGAGATCGTCTCTCGCTGGACTGGCATTCCTGTCACCCGTCTCCGCACTTCTGAGAAGGAGAAGCTCATCCATATGGAGAAGGTACTCGGCAAGGTCGTCGTTGGTCAGAAAGAAGCTGTTGGGTCTGTCGCTAATGCCATCCGACTCCAACGTTCTGGCCTCAGCAATCCTAACCAACCACCTAGCTTCTTGTTCTGCGGTCCTTCGGGTACCGGAAAGACCCTCCTTACCAAGGCACTGGCGGAATTCCTATTTGACGATGCCAAGGCCATGATTCGATTCGATATGTCCGAGTACCAAGAGCGTCATGCACTCAGCCGCATGATTGGTGCGCCTCCTGGATATGTCGGTCATGACGCTGGTGGTCAACTGACGGAGGCTCTTCGCCGCAAGCCATTCTCAATCCTGCTCTTCGATGAGGTTGAGAAGGCAGCCAAGGAGGTCCTTACTGTACTTCTTCAACTTATGGACGACGGCCGTATCACCGATGGCCAAGGCAGAGTTGTTGATGCCAAGAATTGCATCGTTGTTATGACCTCTAACTTGGGTGCAGAATACCTTGTTCGACCAGGCGTTAAAGAGGGACGTGTCGACTCCGGTACTCGGGAGTTGGTCATGACTGCCCTTCGCAACTACTTTTTGCCCGAATTTCTCAACCGTATCAACTCGGTTGTCATCTTCAACCGGCTTACGCGCAAGGAGATTCGCAAGATTGTCGACATCCGTCTGCAAGAAATCCAGAAACGACTGGAAGATAATGGGCGGAAGGTGCATATCGACGTGTCAGACGAAGCAAAGGATTACCTTGGGAATAGCGGTTACTCGCCAGCTTACGGTGCCAGGCCTCTGTCTCGTCTCATTGAGAAGGAGGTTCTTAACCGCCTCGCTATCCTCATTCTGCGCAACAATATCCGCGATGGAGAATACGCTCGTGTTGAACTCATTGATGGCAAGATTGTGGTTCTGTCCAATCATGATGACAGTGAGAACGGTGAAGATGAAGACATGATAGACGAGGAGGATGCGGTCGATGAGTTGGTGGACGACATGGATCAGGACATCTACGATTAAAAAGAAAGCCGGAGATCATGAGGCGTGTTGAGGGATTCTTATTTTGGAACGAGATTGACGAATGCACGACGGAGTTAGGGTATCATACAAATTCATGTTCTTATAAACTCATGTACTTAATTTGATGTTCATACAATGGTAGCGAAAGTTAACTGCATGGCCAACCCCAAGATACGTGATAGAGTAGCACTACTCATCTGTAGCAAAATGCTTTGACCTTAGAAGAACACTCTTGCTCTATTTTAGTCTAGAGACATATTCTTCCTGGTCCATTAATTTTTGCTAAAAGATCCGTCTACTGTAGTACTTGATAGCGGCGATAGAACCAGACTATTGGTATGGAAGCCTGTGTTCTATGCTGGACCTAGAAATATAGGACCCTCCCCAATCCATCCAAAGTCGTCGATGATCATGGACCAGTCAATACCCTGAAGTGGATCGATAGAGCTGTCTATGGTCTGATTTTGACCCGGATTGATCTCCGGATTAGGTTCGGCATCGTCATCGTTATCTTTGTTGTTGTTGGTGGTGAGAAGATTTGCTTCTAGTACAACGTAAGTATAGATGAGGTCCAAGAACAATCCCACTTACCATAGACCTCCATACCTTTCTGAGCGCCATCTGTACTATTCTTGGCCTCTTGCAATGCTTGTTTGAATCGGGCAAGACACCAGTACGATGTTGCAGCCCCGATGCGATCGGGCCATGTGCCAACGGGGATATCCCATTTTGGTAGCATATGCCTCACGGACCAGAATGTCTCCAAAGTGACGGATGCACGCATTGGGAGGTCATTATCACGTACGGAGCAGGTCCGGAGAACATTCATGATCTGTACCACAACTGCGTCGGCGTCTGAAGCTGAGATATGTGGTGGGGTCGCTTTGGAGTGCAATGTGGACATGAGGATACAGCACGCGTCAATAACAGCACGGTATATCCAGTGAGTACTATGGGTTAGGAGTTGGGTCATAGATTCGAGAGTGATGGCTGCGTTAATGAGGTTCTGAGATGTGCTGTATGCACGGAGGGCGTTGATGGTGAAATTCGGGCGTTGATCGGGAAGTGAGACGAAGTAATAGGCCTGGACTTCCAGCTGGGCAATTAGGATTATGAAACGAGAACAGTCTAAATTCAGATAACTTGTCAGTCATTCTGGGGTTACTAATCGCCAGGCCCTTAGTCTTACCTGTCTCAACATGAGTGACGAGGGGTCTTAGAACCTCAAACTCGTCTTCCCACGTTTTGACGACGGTTTCGGGAACTGCGTTATTCGACAGTATCTGGGCTGTCATGGCTGTGTGTAGACGGTTTGAGAACTTCTGAAGTTCGAACAGGGTCATGAGTTCGGGCGCAAGAGTGTCTTTAACGACATTCCTGCATTGAATGTCGTTATGCTGAAGAAATGATGGCGGATGCCCGTTGGCAGTAGAAACTCTACTCACACCGTTAACCATCTTGGTCGTGTTCAAGAGACGCAACGAACCTTTGTGCTATGATACAACAGAACATCCAAGTTATCGATGCCTCATAATCCGTACACGTCATATGCTGGCGGCCACCGATCAAGAAACTAGGGTGGGATCCTCGACCGGTATGCAGACCTAGAAGCATGCATGCGTTGAGCGCACTGCTCACGAAAGTAGGTGATGGATCTGTAACAAATCTGATAGTCGGAAACGGCCAGCTGCAGATGATCAACAGGACATGGATAGTTTCGAGATCTAATGCGACAGCTCGAAGCAGGCCCCATACATCACGGTTGAGAGTATCGAGTAATGAGGTTACGATCTGCCCGCTCTTGGCGTACCGACGGCAAGCAGTGAATATGACTGTCCAGAAGAGAGTCGGCGATGCTTCGAAGCATTGGTCGGGGTCTTTCTTTCTCAGGACGGGTAGGTATGGGTGAAAACATTGCAAGTATCTAGATGCATTAGTCAGTCAGTCAGTCAGTCCGATCCATGTCGCGAGATTAAGAGAGCCTCACTTCTCAAAATACCAGTCAATATCCTGACCAGACACGACTTGCCCATTCAGTACACGAGATTTCGCAGACGCCGTCTTTTGCAGCAATGGAGCTGATGGTGTAAAAGATGGGGGCTGTTGGGGACTTTGAAGATTGGTTGATAGCGGAAATACAGCGTTATTGTCCGCGGCAGTTGATGTAGGGAATGCAGTCACGTTGGTCTGGGGAATCGGTACTGGTTCTGTATTTCTTCTGGGGTGAACGACTTCTTTGATAGACCTCAGCTCCTGTTCCAGTAGTTCAAGCTTGCTATACAACAGTTAGCAGGAGGGTGTGTATTATTGGAAGAAGGGGCCAGTCACCTTCTTCTCGTAACTCTCTTGTGTGATCTATCATACACGCAAGATATCTGAAGCTTGGCGCATCGTTGGCATGGATGTCCTGCCACAGGACTCGCTTTACACCGAACCTATCGCGTGGACTGGTTAAACTATACTATACTCATGAGGTTCATCTTAAATTGGGATAACTCACTTTTGAGTCGCGACAACTTATGCAAGCTACATTCCGTCTAATTCTGGTCTCTGGAGAACTGGGCGCATGTGCTGGACCTGGACCTGGACCAGATGTCGACGCGGGTGACTCGTCCGAGGATGGTGTTGGGGCCATTGAGATGAAATTATACCAACTTTTGTTCAGTTTAGAATAGCCATGAAAATTCAAAATGTAGGTACTTTGGCTAGGTATTTCAAGTTCAATAATGAAATGTCTGTCTTCAACAACGAGGCTTTACTGTTTTGTACAAGGTTCTATTGAGATGGATGGATATTGACAATGGAAGTCGGAGCTAGGTATGCCACCTCACTCCAAGTCCAAGGCACCTATCTTTAAATAAGGTAAGCTACCTACCTAGGTTGGTAAGGTAGTCTGACGTCACGTGCGCCATGGAACGGAATGTTTGTACCTTATTGAATGAGAGTGTCAAACCATAAATTAACTACCTGCTTCTTCAATCTATGTTATGTAGTATTAGGGTTACAACTTCTCTACCAAATTTCTAGAAGCCATCACAAAACAGCCAATCTTGTTACTAGTTTAGCTACGACTTCTTTTGGGGATTCTCCGTCCTAGGCCTAGAGGTAGCCAATGCTTTATCAGACTTTAGCATGACGGTAACCAACTTCCATAAAACCCATCCAAAACCTAGCGCAACAACGATCGCTGTGCCTGACCTGATTGAACCCACTCCCTCGTCCTTGAGCACAGGTACTGTGACTCTGTTCATGAGCCTGCTACCGCCTTCTGGTTGAGGATTATTGTGCCAAAAGACAGTGTTGCGAGGAAACAGATCATCATACCCTACGTGCAGTCGATCGAATGGGCTTTCCAATGTCTCCTCTGTCGAGGAACACGCCCAAAAGACTGCAGGATAAGGCACCTCAATCTCGGCTTGACCACTTGCCGAAGGCTTCAGGTATCGTAGGTGCAGCGGTATCTCAGCACTCCATGGCTGCTCTAAACCAGAGTCGGGTGGTGCGAGAGCAACAAGAATGCTTGAGCCCCATGTCTCGGTGGTGTATGCTGGCGCTTCCAGGTCAACAGGAAGTGTGGTATATCGCAATGAAGTGAGGTTCTTAGATGCCAGAAACAAGTCATCTCCCAGCTGATATCGATCCGCAAAAATGGTTTTCGGTAATGTCAAGAACGCGTAGGGTGTACACTCGTCATCGGTACTCGGAGGCTTGCTAGAGCTTAACACAAGTTGCAGGGTTGGATGAAGCCCTGTAGGCACCAGGAACTTGGAGCTGAAGCCCGTTTCATCTCGACGATGCCGGGCAGGAAAAGTGAAAATGGTCGGTGAAGGCTTCTTCTGGTCACCAAGTACAGACAATACGCCAGCAACTCCAAGCTCATTCTCCTTCATGTTTGGCTGCGATCGGTCGTTAACAAAAATGCCGACCTCTACCCTCCTTTCGGTAGACGCAGGAACTGCCACGGTTTGAGGTCGAAGAGGCCATAGTGCTGAAACAGCGAGAGAGTTGGTAGTTTTGTCGAAGGATAAATCCAGGCTAGTAGCCGTCAAAAGGCTACGCAATCGGGCGTTGCAGACTGAATCGAGCTGGGGGCAGAACTCCTGAGAGCTGGTGGTTATGAAGGAATGCAAGTCCTCAAGTGCTTGGTAGAAGGAGAAGTTGGGGGAAGCGGATGTGCTCTGCTTGAATTCGGTGAATGCCTGCGGCTAATAAGTGGTTATCGAGCAACATGGATAAGAGAGCTTACCTCGGGCTTGGAACAGTCTAGTGGGCCAAACCTCTGAAGCCAACTACAAAGCTTTGTCCTATCAAACATAAGTCAATAAGTCTGTAGCTCAGGGGTCTCGGGTATAGACTGAGCGACATACGGGTTGCATGAATTTGGGGCGATCGGAGTGGCATAGACATGAAGACCTGGCGAGATACGGGAGGTGAAAGGGTCCATTATCTCTGATTTAACGGGGCTAGCCCATCTGACATGAAGTGCTTCATACTCTTGAAGTATGTCGGAGAGCTCACGAGGCAGCTCACTGAAAGGTATAGTGAGCTTGTCCTGACGAATTGTCTCGATCTGGGGTCCCAGTAACCCAGCTTCTTGCTTATCCAACGCCTCAGGGTCAAGGGTATAGTCGTTGTGGACAAAAGTTACGCGCTCACGCATCATGTCGGTAAGTTTGCGCGCTGTACAAAGGTAACGGATCAGATCAGCAGGGTGATATGGATAGCTAGGAAGCTAGCTACAATGGAGGAGGGCTATCAAGGAAGTCTGCCCGTCGCGTGTCAACTGGCCTATCAGAAGTGACCTTGAATAGGCTGAAGTGCAGATGGCCTTTGTGTCTTAGACTAGGTAGGTACTATAGGCAGTAAGGTAACTGATGGTTCTGACGTTAAGCTCGGTGGTCGGTTTGGGTGACGGATGGGAAGTGACGTTACCTTCAAGTTCAAGTTAGGTAGGTACAATAGTCTGGAGGTTGACTTGGCTGGTTGGTTGGTCAGAGCTTCTGAAAGAAGTAATAATGGATGGAGTGGAGTCTATGCTTGGTACACGTGCACTGTAGGGGGATCAGGCACTGGCTATTAAATACCTACCAGGTGGGCAACAGAAGAAATATCCTCTAATGGAGGCTTAGACTAAGTAGCCTGACTAGGTACCACCTAAGGTTAGGCATTGTAGGTAGGTTAGTAGGTACCTTTAGTGCTCAATACATGGAAGGAACCAAAGGGAAGAAAGAATTGACGCTAAACCTGTTTGGGGACCGAAGCTTCGAATTCAACTTTATGTGCATTATGTCTCGGTCGCGAATTGAAGGAAGTCGCTCGCCTCGATCTAGGTTGCTACTTCCCACCTGTCCGATGATCTGTCACCGTCGAGATGACATCGCAACAGAGCTTGGAACTTCCTCCTTTTATGTACATGTTCTTATCGCCTTTGTAAAGCGATGCCCGAGAGCACAGCACAGCACAATCATTACGAAAGGACGCCCACGAGAATGCATTTTCACAAGTGAATCAAACAATCGCTCCGTCTCCAAACAACAACGTTGATCGAACTTGGGTTGGTGAAGCTTTCAGGTTGGATGTGAAAACGATTGATCGCGGGCTGTGAGACTCACGCTTAACAAACATTGAGAGCGAGTCGGGATTCGAATTCGACGCCATGGCAGATCATCAACCATATGTCACTATTCGTTCTCGGAGGCCTGTCGAAGGCCCAGGCTCGAGAAGCACTGCTTCTCCTATGGTGTGTTCGCCCGTTGCTCTCAATACATAGTCATTTCAGCATACATGAGACTCAAACTACAACCCTTAGGCTGCGTCTGGTGGAGGAGATTATTATGCCAGATCCGCGACACACGATACAAGCCGTACCAGTTTTCACATGAAACACATCGGTCAATTCGCTCAAAGGCTTGAAGATGTTGGTCGTCCCTTTCCGCCATGGAACCGACATTCAAACTCACTCGTGCTCAGTCCGCTACCCGTGCATTTCCCAACCGCGGAAAGTCCTCAGCCAGATATAACAATGTTCAAGTGTTGTTACTGCACTGGAACTCAGATGATCTATTCGTTATCCCCGAGCTGGAAGATCTTGAAAAGTGCCTAAACGAGGATTATGGTTTCAGTACTGACATCTTTGCCATCCCATCAGAGAACTCACATCTTGAGTTGATGATGCGTATTGGCCAACTTATCAAAGATCATGAATCTCAAGATACCCTTTTTGTCGTATACTACGGTGGTCACGCCAGAATAGATGAGTCCAGGCAATCCACCTGGTGCGCGTAAGTCATTATCGATGTTGATGCTTCCATATACAAGTCCCTGACAACTTCTAGGACACGAGAAGCGAATTCTCCGTGGCTTCAGTAAGGCATCCCGAGTATAAGTGATGTTAGTCTCTAATTTTCCTTCAGATGGTCTGCCATTCAAACTCTCCTCGAACGTTCACTGTCGGATGTTCTTATTCTGCTGGATTGCTGCGCCGGAGCCGCGAGTGCGACTTTTCCCAGCGGTGCCAGCATTACTGAGACTATCTCAGCCTCGAGCTGGGATGCCATCGCTCCAGACCCCGGGCGCTACTCATTCACAAATGCTCTGATCGAGGTGCTTCAAGAGTGGCGTGTTCGTGCCTTCTCCGCTGCTATGCTCCATGCTGAAGTACTCGCTCGACTGAAGCATCCCCGACCCATCACCATTAACGGCAAATACTTTGAAGCTCGTTCTACACCGGTGCATTTCATGATGACTTCTAATCATAAAGCTCCCAGTATCGAAATGTCTCGCGTATCCCGTGGCGATAACTTACCTTCACCCGAGTTGATGCCCATGCCTGTGATGGCACATGAAACAGGCCGAGCTGCTGAGTCTGCACCTGTTTCACGAAACGACTATATGTTCACCGAACCTAACGAAGACACCCCTCATGTCATGATATCCTTGGCATTGGAAGACGATCAGAGGCTTGACATCAATGCATGGGAGCAGTGGCTAAGTGCCTTTCCTGCTATGGCCAAATACGTCAAGGTACAAGGTGTTTTCAAGAGCCATTCGACAATGCTTCTTGTTTCAATGCCAGTGTCTATTTGGGACTTGCTTCCAGAAGATCATGCCACGTCTTTTGTAGCCTTTATCCGTTCTAATAACATGATGACTCAAAAGCCCCGGAACCAATCCGTTCCCACCTTGGTTTCTGCAAACCGTTACCCTGCTGAGAACGACAGTGCTTCATTCGTCTCCAATGTCTCTGGGACGACGTTTGTAGCTACGGAGGCAGCGGGACGGGCTAGTCAGATGGGAGCTTTTCGCGATCCCACGTACGGCAGGCAAAGTGACCCCATGAGAAGCTCTCTTTCACCTAGTCAGCAATCCTCCTCGCTACACATACCGCCTCAGAGCTTACCGCAACGTTCTATGAGACCTATGCACTCAACGACATCACTTGCCACACTACAAAGCCAACAGTCGACATCACCTGTAGGAAGCGGTGGAAATCTGACGCGTCAGATGATTATGAATCAACAACAAGCACTACGGCGTACCACATTCGGGAACGATGTTCCAGAACCTAAGAAATTTTCTCCTCATGTTGAAAAACGTCTTGAGGAATACTACCAAACCGAGCCATTACCAAGCGATGGTCAAAAAGCGTTCTTTGCCTCAAACCTAGGCGTAGAGCCTTGGCATGTAGAAGTCTGGTTTCATCATCGAAGAGAGAGGGATGCATTTGCTCAGCGTTTTGCATCCCTCCGAGTTGAAGACTCCAAGGCCAGGGTTCATGAAGGCCCGCGCATGATCTTACCAGCAGTCCTCGGTGAACTCTTGGAAATAGCGTTGCCAGGGCAGAGCCTCATACTCGATCTTCGGTCATCGATGGAATACCAAAGATCACATATCAAGGGTGCGATACACTTGCGTGCTCCGCAGTCTTTTATACGCCCTGCATCATTGGACATGATTGAGCGGGCTTTTCCCGACGCGCAAAGCAGGAGAACATTCTCGCGCTGGCAGCAAGCTAGATGTATCGTCTTTTACTCTCGTGGCCTTGAGTGCCCATGGGAATGCCCATCTGCAGAGAGCTTGCTTGACAAGTTCTTGGCGTGTGGTTGGAGCGGACGCTGCTTCATCCTAAAAGGCCATTATCGGGAGTTTAGTGACTCATTCAGCAAGCATATCCACCGCGCACAAGATGAAGGCTTTGAGAGGTCTCTGTCTAAATCATCAACCAATGCCAGCCAGAGCATGCTGGGAAACGAAAACGAGTTCGCTAATCTATTCGCTCGACTTGAGAAAGAGGGTCATTCACAAAACCTCGGTTCCTCTCCTGGATACGACAAAGAACGAACTACGGCATTGGTAGAACAGGAGAGGGTACTCGAGACTGAGTTTCAGAACCATTTTCCTGCGTTGTTCAGGAAAGCTCAAGACGTCCATAGCGCCGCTAGACCTGATAACGACAGCTTTGTCACCAAAGCCCAGATGGTAGAGTATCTGGACCGCGGCTTGACGAAAATTCGAGATACTCAGGTTCCACAAGCATCAGCCACTGTTTATGGATCAGGGCATTCCAAGTTCGTATCCGAGTGTTATCTTGAGCAACCGAATATGAATCGAGAATCAGATGAGTATGTCGAGGTCGGTCGAGGAGACGAACCAGTGTCAGATGGAAGCCCTCAAATGACGAATAAGGGCAAGGAAATCCAAGCCATGGTACCCCCCGAAGACATATCCCGAAGGGGACGCGGAGGAGGACTTTTAAACAAAGTGTTCCGGAGGACTTAGCATAGAGGGTACAGTTGTGTTTCCAGTTTATACAACTTCCACACATGCATGAACTGATTTTGAGCCAACCTTAGATACCGGATCTTCTGGTGGTCATACAGGACTTGGAGCCATAGTTACATTGGGGGAAACCCTTCGAACGGCAGAAGTCAGGCATGAGTGCATGCACGACTCGGCATTCCATGAGCACATAGCCATACCACACTTCATACAGCTTTAGTATAAGGACGAAGAATCTGTATACGATACGTACCAGGGCTAAGGTATATGCAGCATTGGAGCCCTGATGTTCAGATAGTCGGCCTTTTCAAGGCTACCCTACAGCATAAACCCTCGATGGGTTCAAACCTATGGTCAGGCACACAGAAAGCTGAAGACTAAAGCACGTGTTCATTGACTTTAGGCATGTTCCACGCCCCTAATCGACGGATTCTGCTTCGGTAGCACGAGCCCAGATACAGCAGCTGGTGCCGTTGTGTAAAGCGGCAAGACCTCGTTTTCACGCGGCCAACCGGTGAAGCCAAACCGTCACTGGCAATAGTTGCATCCGTGTGTGAAACTCAACGAGTAAGCGGACTGCCCAATAAAGAGCTTGTCGCGATTTTCCAGAATTTGAGGTCCCTCGTGTGACGGAGCACAAGCACAGATGGTGAAGTCAGGAAGGCATCTTAGAAAGCACAAGAGGACATTTCGGGCTACGATAGAGAGTAACACTGGCACGGTATCATGGTTATGATCATTATCATTATCAGCCTAGCCACACTGTATGTGCTGTAATAATCTGGGTGAGGAGAAGAGAAGCTACTGTACGGTTTGTGCTATAAAGCTGCAGGCTGATGGAATGACTGACTGACTAGTCTGATCTGCAATAAGGGGCAATGAAATTGTGCAACCTTAACGGAAAGTTTTGATTCCGTAAGTCGTGCATAACTAATTTAATACATACGGATACTGTAGTCTGAATTCTCACTCAAGTTCGGTACCTGAGTTGTCGATGCCGCCCGACTCTCATTCGCCCGCGGGGCTACCTACCTACCTACTGTACATACTAAGAGGTAGTACTAAGTCACAGTACAGTACAGTGCAGCACACTGTACCTATATCTGATCAGTCAATAATAACACTAGGTACGCTGCAGAGTACCATGGCATAGCACAGCGCTGTGAGATGAGGCATGTAGGTAAGTGAGCCCGCCATCGAATTGAACTAAGTTACCTAGTCGAGGCGAGTGATCCACAGTAGCACCCCAAAGAGCCCAGCAGAATCAGAGTATGAATACGAACTTACCTAGCTACAGCAGAAGCAGAGTATGTACGTGCGTATGCGTCTCCATGTCTATAAACAACATAACTTATATACTCTGTAAAGTACAGATTCACATACGATAAAGAAACACCGGTTTTCAAGAATGTATTCTGTTAACGGTATGGTATGGTATATAGCAAAGTTAGTATCCGTAGTTAGGTAGTATTCATCAACCACCATGATCCGAGATTGGCGCGGAGCACGGAGCACGGCTGAAGAAGAAAAAATGGCCGACCAAGAGACCGAACCGGGGAAAGGGTCCGTCCATGGTCTGGCCAAAGAGCAAAGACCAAGCAAGCCACGGCCACGGCGGCTCAAGATGGGTTTGGCGTCCGTCTGACAGGACGCTTGGGCCGATATAGTTCTAGGGTGCCATATTGTATCGTATCAAGGCCCTTGACAGCCAAGGATGCAATTGCAATGCCTGTATCTGTACAGTAGTCTACTGTACAGCACAGTACTCTGTACCAAGCACAACTTTCAACAAAACAGATCCCTTGTAGTTTACGAGCTGTCGCTTGTTGATACGTGCGTACAGTACTGCATCCTGTCATCGAGGTGGATCGTATTGGGTCGCAATTCGAACAACCCTGAATACCTTCCCAAGTAAAGTTGCTTTTTGGCTACCACTTCACTCACTTTTCTATGTGAGATTGGGCTGCATCGCTCTAACATTGGCTAAGGAGCCGACCAGTCGAGCTTGAGCTTGAGCTTGGGCTGCTCGTACAATGCCCAATTACAGTACCTAGAACATGCTAACTTAGTCTTGACCTCTCCTCATTCACACCCACAAACCTCTTGGCTATAATCATTGGCAACTGGAAGGTCGGTGCACCCTTTGTATGTTCTTGACCTAGAATACAACTCAATAGTCAACTAAGTATTCCCGGCAACTATATCCAAGTCATTGTGAACGGGATGATGAATTACGTGCCTGTCAAGGTAAGTAATGATGCGATTGGCGTTTGACAGGTTGAAATGGGAGGACAGGATGGGAATGACAGATTGAATAGAACAAAAGAAGAGATGACAAAAAAAGCAACGATTCTGAAACTTGTCAGGGTATGATTGACCGTTATGTGTCGCTTATGTTTTTTTTTTTTTTCCCCTACACGTTAGTTTACGCGAATCTTAGCTGGTCTCTCTAACGTACCTAGTCAAGTTGACAAGGACTAGGTATGCTTTTGGTCACATGTCACAATGACATAGACCAGGTTGGCTTATAGCAAGATCTGATAAATCCCAGTAAGAGACTATCTTGCGAAAACTAATGTCCCGGAAGAAAGCAAAGTCTATGACTTTGCGGTACATGAGGCGATTGTAATTCGGACCATGACTTAACCAACGATCGCTTACCGCCTGTAAAGTTTTATCGTATCGTATATCCATGATACTTCTCCTTCCATGGCATGTCAACCTTCAATGAGAATTGCCTGAGCAAATCAGTCAGGGTCAATGACCAGTACTGCGTAAATGATGGCCTTATGACGAATATCATGCAACTATTTATGCATGCATGGAGAGAGACTCTGGCCAGAGGCGACGTACTGTATCGTATGCTGCGATGACGCACCAGTATCCTGATATCCTTGATTAGTTATGTTGAACAAAATCTGAGTGCGACCTCGGGGCAACCACCATTCGACCTAGGCGGGGTGATCCGCTCCCGCAATGAGGAAAACGCAGGTATCGATACGCGCTGCAACCTGGTTCCAAAATCTCCAACGACTTTTGGTCGACCTGGACAGACGGACACAGACTGACTCGTCTCGGTTCTGCGCGAGTAACAACAAACACACGACTATTGAATCCGATGCTACTGTAAGAGGCCAGACCAGACGCAGGGGATCAAATGTGGTAGTTGATCCATATATGGCTTACCGATGAGGGTCCTGAGCCAGCAGGGTAGCCCCTGCACACAGAGACATTCTTCACCGTCCTGGATGTGTTGGGATATGTCAACGTTGTCGTGGGTCGTGTCTTCTTGGTCTTTATGAACTCAACCACCTACTTGATGGGCGAGTCATGGTCTTCAAGGCTTTGTTTTGTGCCAGTCCTTTTGACCTGCACAAGGTCTTTGTAGCCACCGATTTAGGCTTAAATGAGTTGAGGCTAACCTCTGGTTATGTTGCTTTTGTGATCAGCAAGGTTCCGAGGCCAATAGACGTAGATTGGGATGAGCTCAAAATGTCAAATGAAAGCTCCTGCATGCATCGACAAACACTTCTTCGGAATGCAAAGACAAAAATTCGCTGTCACCGCTTTTCTTTGTGTATCGGTTTGGCAAATACAACCCAGTAGCTTGTGCACAATGCCTTCCCTTGCTCTTTTGCGCACCCGTGTTCAGTAGATGTTTCGGCCCATGTGTGATGTTTGTCTATGCCGGAAGTGAATAGTCTTTGTTCATCGCTTAACAAGTGATGTTGTCTGTGTTGATTCGGGCAGCACACCCAGTAATGGAGGCTCGCAGACTTTTGGGAGACCGACATCAAACTGACAGCAGAGTTTGCCCGACCAGCATCTGAAACATAACGGAAAGAATAAGCCTGCCTGCTGTTCTTCTTTTTTCTTTTCTTTTAGCGCTTTTAGTATGCAGGAAGCCGTTGAGACGGCTAGCTGCGAATACATGCAGGTCATGATGAGGGATGACAACCTGGCAAACGCGAGATAAGCGATGGCGTAACTGTGAGGGACACCCAATCGGTTGGACGTCGACAGCATTCAATCCTGAAGCGTGGCGGAGAGGGGCGACATTAATCAATGAAGTACAATATGGTGTTGTGGGTGGATGTCGCTTTTTGCTGTCAGGAGCAGAATCACCACTCCGAGACTTGGCACCTTCAACGTTCCCTCCGATGAAGAACGCCCCCACGTTGTTGGAGCAATATTTCGAGACTTGTGTACTATGTCGTGCCACCGATTCAGATCTGGTATAACGAAACAGATGAACTCATGCAAGGCGGTGAGCTTTGATGATACCTCTTCACTTAAATGGAGAGTTTACCTTGCGACGCGTGCCTACCCATCGTTGGTAGAAGCAGATTGGATGGTAACACAGAGATGAGACTGGGGTGTCCCGCAAAACGTGTCAAAATCCAGATCTGCTGGGCGACAGATTTGTTGGTTTCCTGGGCCCACAAGGACCTAGGAACTGGAAGGCAAACCGGGGGGGCCCTGAAAGCCCCTCCCGACCAACGGGCTCTGCCGCTGGGAATTGTCGTCGGCTGTGACCTCTGACGGGAGAGCGATTGGAGGTTTTTGAACAAGACAGACCAGGGTGTCGAGTAGGGTACCTACGGTTCTTTTCCTAGTGCAGCCCATCTTGCGAGTACATCCCTGATGCCCCGGTTCCCTCTTTGGATGACACCAAGATGGTGAACAAATGGCAAAGTCTATATGCATCGGTCACATACAGGACTTCGAACAAACAATTGAGGTTGTCTCACTTCGGGTGAGATGTCAGGAAGGGACCATGCGGGGTGCGACAGCAGACAGCCACCACGTCTTGACGAGCAACAAGCAACAAGGGTTCGCATGAACAAGGTGTGGGTATGGGTATGACCTGAGCTAGCATTGTGCGTGCGAATGCGCATGGCCTGCATATCCTGCATAACAGGCACAGCGAGGTGGGCCATATCGTCGTTGACGGCACCAAACAGCAAAACAACCTTCTTAAAGATGATGGTTTGCATATCCGTAGGCACGTAGTGGATAGACGTGGACCTAAACTTGGCGGTACTTGCATTGCTTCCAAAGAGTTTCTGGTCAGAGGAGGAGATGAACGTTTTGTGACCTTAGATGACTAGCACGCTGGTAGGTCTTGATTGATGTATGTATGTACATATGTACGGATATGTATTCGAGAATTGCCGTCAGTGCGTAGTGTAGTAAATCGGGAGGATTCTGAAGCATCTCCGTTGTGCATTTTTGACAGATGTAACTAGAGGATTGCCGTAGGGATTCGTTCATAGCCGAACGTCTCGCAAAAACTGATCGGCAACTGGAGGCCGGCGCAACTCCGAGATGAAAGATGAATGGTCAGTTCGAGATGCCGGGGTGATTCTGTGGGCAAAAGTTGTACCCGGCACCCTTGTCTGAAGCCTAGAGAATGGGGCGAAGGCCTCTGCGCACACCAGCTCTGACAGATTCAACTTGCTTGGCTGATCCTAGCAGGCATGTTGAGTCGCAGCCCTGAACATGGCGACTGTAATAGCACGAGTTGGAATAGTAACAAGGATGCTGTTTTGTATGCCCGCAGAGGTCTCTAGTCGGGCGGCCGATGCCAAGGAAGCAATTTGGAGGACTGGAGCTTCGCTAGTGGTGATGACCCCTGATACTGTAGCCGATGCGGCCTTCACTGGGCTGCATGCAGCTGGATTAGTGATCGGGACTTTCAAGACCGTTGGAGAAACGAGATGGGCATACACTACACGTACCGCTCAACGGCGTGCTGATTAACGTACAGTACTGTACAGTACTGTAGCCCTTGGCGAGAGATTAAGAGCTGAAGTTGTAAGTGGCAAAACACCTTTTGAATATCCTTTTATGTGCATACACAAATGCAAATGCAAAAGCTTCTCATCTCAGATGGTGACTACCGGACCTCGTACAATAAAGTACAGGATGGGCATCGGTGTAGAGTTGTTCCGTACCTACTCATCTTACCTAGGTGCTCAATACTGTACCCAAGATCCATAGATGGAAGGAAGCAGGACCTCAATCGTTACTTCCATCACGAACAGACCCCTAATTTTGGCAGGTAGCTACCTAGGTAGGTACTTATGTATGTCTCTCATGTAAGTCAGGCAGGTATGCATTTAGAGCACCTTCCATTCCAAACCCTTGCAATGCTGGGTAACGTGATGTGAGCAACTCAGTGGAGAAATCTTCTCAGCTTGCTCGTCCTGGAATAGCATCATGGCATCACATCGCATTTCGTCGACCCTAATAAAAGTCGACCTCAACGGTGAGTGCAACGCCCGCTATACGGTGCCGAACAGAGTTTACAAATACTAAATAAGCTCCTGAATTATCTACCGAATCCAGGCACGCCAGGGACCATGTAAGTGCCAGCAAGCCTCAGTGCAACGCTCGAACTTCGCTTTCTCGATCCGATGTTTCCAAATGGATAACTTAAGCTTCATTCAGGTGCCAAGACCAGATATAGCTTTGCCTGTCGTCGGTGGCAGACCACAACGAGCCTAGAAATGCTACGGCACCTGCTGAAGTACCTGCTGTTTCAGTGCATATTGGCCGAAGGCTACATGTACCATGTCGCAATTTTATCCGAAACGTCTTGTTTTTTATTTTGGGGCCGATCGTGGTCTATGAGAATGAATGGCTATCCCAGCTCCGGAGGTGGTCCTAAAACGTTCCGGCCCCGTGCGATCTTCATGACGATCGTGCAACTTGACAAGCCAATCGCAACAAAAGTTTTGCTACCAGACCCTGGCTGTCTGTATCCTGTTTGTGCTAGGGTGGGCTACGAGCTATTGTGAATATATATCTGGGTATCGATATCTTTCCGGTGGTCGCTGGTTCGTCCGACAAGCGCGAATGAACAGAATCAACGTTGTCGAGAATTCAAGTTGTGGGGTCAACATCTGCTGGTGGACATGTGTCTTTGCGTTCAGTGAGGCGTTTGAGCTTGATTCCTTTGGGCCGCAGCCCCAAGTCCCAGGAACTTGGGCCTGGACTGTCCATCAACGCCACGGGCCTCCCGTCTCTGTACCCGCTCGAGCCGCGTCACAGTTAGAAATCCTAGCAATCTGAGTGGACTTATGTGACCCCCTTTCGAAATGCTGGGACGCTGAGTGCGGTACTGTTCAGTACGTAGCGAACAAAGTACAGCACCATAACTGCACAACACTATACTGCATCGCACAAGACACGCACAATAAGCAAGGCATTCCTTGACAGATTCTCAATCTCCAACCCCACATCGAATTGGTTGCCGAAACACACAATATGTAACTGCCGGGAGCATATCATAGGAACCCAGCCGAGCATAACTTTGAATCTCTTGATTCAACCTCAAAGCATGGGCGGACCTTGTCGACTATTGCTGCACTTGAAACTTCTGTCGAGCTTATCCCAACCGTTTACAGCACAGCACTTGCGTTTGGGGATAGTGACGCTTACAGTACCAATTCAAAATACCCACAGCAAGGTACTGACGTATAATTACTTGCTCGATGGCGGCGCAATCTTGAATCATGGTCAACCTACAAGCTGCAGATGCCACTGTCAGTGGCGGGTGTCGTAGCCGCTTAGCGCTATCCTTAACCAAGAAACTGTGGATGTGACAGCCCGTCAAGTATCGAGGCTACGGTCTACCGGCCAAAGGCAAAGCCAAAAAAGGAGTGTCATGGCACCTACCAGCGTTCAGTGACCCGTCATCCTTGAACTTTAATGGCACCACCAGCCCGAAGCCCATCGGCATGGGTCAGAGCGTTCTAATCTCGTGATCCCCTCATCAGCGGTGGTTAACGACTGTATTAGTGGCCTTTGACTTTTCAACGTTTACGCCCAAACGCACTTCGGCAATCTAGTGCCAAGCCACAGAGGCTTACCAACGTTGAAGAAGTGCAGATCGTATCGACTTGGGGATAATTTTATGTCCCGAGCCCTGATCTGTCTTGTCAAGTCATGTCAAGGTCAGGTCAGGGCAACACAATGACAGCACGCTCATATGCCCATTTTCGTTCCGGTATGCATGTGCAAGTTCAAGATGCATATGCAATGGCACCTCAAGCCCGGTCTGGTCTTCGCGTAGGACAGTTCAATTCATGGCACGTTCTCAACCGCTTTGACTACCTACCTCAGTCCATACCTATACACAAAAATGCATACGTACATAAAAGGGACATACATACATGCAGTAGGGGTGGGAGCGGCGAAAAGTGACACTCCACACCAAACTAAGAAGGCTGCCAGCATAGCGTCGCTCACACCATGGCGTGTCAGCCACCATTGACCAAACCTGGTCGCCTTTGCTTTCTCTGCTTCTCCAACTGGCTTCCTAAATTGAGAACTAAAAGCCACGGCCGCCAGGTCCTGGCCCGCTTGTTGAGCCCCTGCTCCATGTCGACCTCACCCCTGATCCAGAAAGCGGGCATATCCCAGCAACCACAAGTCTGTCAAAGCTGTTCGTGAGTGCTTTGGGATTGGTGACGTTTCTCTTATTCTGGCGATACTACGCTATGTTCTCCGAACCTAGGACATTTGTTTCTTCATCTTGCCCCATCCTCATTCCCCCTGGTTTCTTGATCGCCCTGTGTACCGTACCCTGTCGAAGCTCGCATGCCCGAACCCTCCAGGTTTATACTGCCCGTCAAGTTGTTTCCTCCGCACCGAGGTGAAGACGTCGGGACTGTCCATCCAGTACGGATACTCTGCCATATGCTTGCTTTATTACAAAAAACTACCCATCCCAGTCCACAACGCTTTGTTCCCACGACCTCGTGTGTGTGGCTTGGTTGAGTTGATTTCCCTAATACCACAACATCTCCAGTTAAGCCCCGGCCACTTTGAAATTCTCCGCTCAGACTGTCTATGGCCCTGTGTCTGCTGGCATTTCCTATCTTGGCTACCTCGTCTGCGTTGCCCTACGATTAAGTGCACCCCACTCCATGGGAGGGATTTGGAGCAACCCGTCAAGGCCATTAAGCCGCCATTGCACTCTGATATACAAAAGGCTTGGGCTTCCCACCAACGGTACATGATCCCGGACCCTCCACCATCCTCTTGAACCACCTTCTACCCTCTATTGTTGTCTTTGGTGATACGACAAGTGTTGAGCCTTCCTGGGAACGGTTTGCACAGTTTCATTCTTTACACAACGTTGTTGCTTTCTCAGCTGTTCATCGCTCTAGCACCAATCACTGGACGAACGTTCGACTGTACTTTGGATACACTTGGTATAAGAACCTAAGGTGTAATTCGTGGTCACTCTGTAATCGGGAAACGAGTAGTCTATCAACACCTTGAGACAGATCAAGTTGACCGCTGTGCGGTTCCTTTCTTGCCTTTCTGGCCGTCTTGTTATGGAAGATAGTCGTTCACTGTCAAGACAGTCTGAAACGAAACCACAATACTCAGTTCCTCAGCTTCCCAAGATGTCCATGATCGCTACCGCTTCTCCCTCTCCTCACCCTTCATCCTTCGGTATGCCGCGCCCCTGGGAGACCAATCGATGTCCTGATTATTCGCTCCGACCGAGGGTCGAGAACGACAAAGTTGCTCTTCCTTCAATTCGACAGGTAGTACTCACCATCCTCTAGGGCACACCTGCCTCTGTTCTTCCGCTGACATGATCTAGGCTTTCCCTGAGTTGCAACTCCAGAGCCAACCCCCACATGACCTCAACACAAAGCCGCCAGTGACAGGACCGCCACTAGGCCCCGCGCCATTGACCGCGGCGTCACCTCACTATGTGCACTCACCTAATTCTAGTAAGAGAAGGAGATTATCGATAGAGAGAGAGGCAGAGAGTGAGAGGGTTCGCCAAGTACCACGATTATGCTACAGTCCCGACCGAGAATCGCCCAGGCAGATCTCACCAAACCTACCAATCCAAGCAGGAGCACAAGAGAACTGGCCAACTTCTACAAGAACAAGCCCATACCTGGCAAACGGATCAACTACTCATTCAGTTTCAATGGAAGTAGGCGAGCGAGCAGAGCCTCGTTCGACCTTAGCTAGTCTTCCTCCACCACGATCTCTAGAACGGGAATCAGTATTAGTGAACCGTGGAGCAGTACCGGCACCGGCACCAGTATCTGTATCAGTACCAGTGCCTGCACCTGCAGAGAGCTACAGATCTTCACATCAGCCAATGCCGCATTCTCGAACCCCCATATCCGAGTCTGGAGTCTCGCCTTACCGAGAATCAAGTTATGGCTATCCTTATCACCACCCCACACGATATCAATCGCTATCAACAGGTTCTGCTCACTCGTTTGACCGTACACCGTTTACTCCTGGTGCATACAACACACCCTACCAGGACTTTGTTCGATTTGGCGATATGGGCCCTGCCAGCTTGAGCGGTGATAACAAACAGCGAAAGCGAAGGGGTAACCTGCCCAAGGAGACTACGGATAAACTGAGAGCATGGTTTGTGGCACATCTTCAGCATCCATATCCAACCGAGGACGAGAAACAGGATCTCATGCGACAGACGGGATTGCAGATGAGTGAGTCAAGCCAAGCGATGCCATGCCAAACGTGTGAAACATTGGTAAAAGATTAGAAACTAATGTTCGCACCTTACAGACCAAATTTCCAACTGGTTCATTAATGCGCGACGCCGCCAACTGCCAACTATGATCAACAACGCTCGCGCCGAAACCGACGCAATGTCTGGTGCTCGAGGCGGTGACATGAAGGTGCTTGCCACAACGGAGCGAGGCGACTTTGACCACGGGAAGCGAGAGCCCGTTGGACCTCTTAGTGACGGAGAGGGCGCCACTTACGACGAAGAGCTTGAGGCGCTGAGCCAGCGAAGACCTGGCACCATGGGTAGGGGTAGTGTCTGAAAGTCGAGACCAGGACCTCCCTTCACCCACTATTGTTCGAGTACAGTAATAGTTTACAGAGACACCCACCCCTGATTATACTCAGGTTTGGCATGGGAATAGCGAGATTTCACGTTGATGCTCTTCTATTCCTTGGTGTTTGAGGTTTTAGCCTACAAACGCATTTAGCGACGGGTTATTCCCATAGAATGGAGATGGATGGTGTTTTTGGGCCCAGCGCAGCCCAGCCACTAGGGCACGGATCGTTGAGGGAACGAAGCGAGCATTCATCAACGTCACAAACCTTACAAGGGAATAGGGCGGAAGACGCGACGTATACGGTGACAGCGTTTGAATGGATGGTTCAAGATAGATGAATCTCTGAGACGAGCATCGAAGCACACACAATATTAGACATTCGGCCAACCCCAGTACCTATCCAGTTATGGTCCAATCCAAGACCAGTTTGGCTACAGGCGAACCAGCCGCCTGTTGTAGTGTGTATCTACCTGGGTAGTCAGGACAGGTTGCCCAATCATATTAGATGGAATGAAATCAGATTCAAATGCAAAAGGAACGAGTGACCGACTGTCTGTGCCGTGCTGTGCTGTGCCGTGCGCTCATGAATGAGGACTTGAATCATCTATTGCCGGAGACTGATTCATACTGCACATACGCTTATGGCCTATTGTAATTAATTCCACCGGGCAAGTCTGAATGTAATTGGCTAGCTAGCTAACTTAACTGACCAAGTAACCAAGTTACTGACTAGAATGGAGCATTTTCTCCAGAGCTCGAGGATGCTAGGAATAGGTAGATATCCTTGTATCAAAGACTCATCTTGCGGCAGTGGTCTTAACCAACGATGCTGCGACCAGGACCTGCCCAATGCTGTCACGTAATATCTACCTAGGTAGGTAGTTACTGTGGCACTCGGGCGTGCCATGCCAGTGCATATTGAGTCTAGGTGAGTCAAGTGGAGGTGCCAAGGTCCTGGAAAGACGGGTTCTGCAAAGGGGCCATAGAAAAAGCGCCGGCCATTAATAGCGGCTACAGCTAGCCCAAGTTTGGAGCCACGGGTTTGGCCCAAAACCAACATCCAGTGGACGTGCAGTAGGCAGTACATGGTGAAATGTGAAATATTAGCGCAAGGCCGATGCCGGTGACAAACATCTGTCTGAAAGGGGGTCTACTGTATGTCGTTGATGGCCATCTTGAGGTCCGTGGTGAATGGGTTTTGCACGGAAAACTAACCGGCCGGTTCCATCCAGATCCTACGACTAGGGTAGGCCATCGGAAAGAAGGAAGAAGAAGGGGAAAAATTTGATAACTGCGTGTCCTGTCGTGCTGTGCTTGAGACCAAGTTAGAGGACCCAGATTGCTGGCATCTGAATTCGAGGGTAGGATTGTTATGGTATAGACTGCACGGAGATTTTCCGGGGCATGCTGGTTCGTAATTGGTATGAGAACGTAAATGAGAACCAGGATGATGTGGGTGTCATCGTGTGGCACAAGCAAGAAGAAAAGAACGCCAGACATGTGAATAAAGACAGAACAGCCATGACTTCTTAGCAGTGAGCAGGCCCAAATCATACATACAGTAATGCAGCTATGCACAGAACCATCCTGCGAGTCAATCAAATCCTTGGTCGGCAGTCTAATCTAATGGCGTACGACCAATAGTCGACAGCTTGTAGTTGAAGATGCAGACACGCAGAAAACAGGTGCGCCTCTGCCGCTGCATGGCACAGCATCTGCATGAGGCGTCCGAATTCCCCAATTTAGGAATTTCATGTCTTGCTGGGAGCTTGTTGACCACTATACAGTATTACTGTCGCCACCAGGTCATGGGTATCTGGGATACCTAGACGTGCTAGATCGGGCTTCGCAGAGAGCCATAAAGGCACGGTCGAACGATCTACATCTGTATGCACAACGTCTGGGGTCAGGGGTACAAGTAGGGCATGGGGCAATTCGAGGTTGACCGGTGAGGGGTGTCTCCCCGGCAGGCATGTTTCTGGTGACCGGTTTATGTATGTACCAAATAACATGTAGGAAAGATAGTGCACTGGGCCGATAGTCTCACATCGCGAAGCAACCTTAGATTCTTATTTACTTTCCTAATTATTGTGGATTCTCAATGAGCCATCGCCTAGTAATTGGAGGATGGTTGGGTCGTTTTGATGTTTAGTTGTGGACATCATGCTGTGTAGTGCGTTGTACGGGCCCTGCTCATAAGCAACTTGGATATCTGTATCCGTACATGTTCCTCAATAGGATAGTGACCAGGACATTGGTCATCGACCAAGCTGGTTAAACAGAAGTTCCTTTCGGATGATAGAGCGCATGACACAAAACGGGCTCTCGCCGCGGCAGGATGTAGGTAGACCAGGAGGAGTGTCTATCATAGCCCGTGGCGCGCTTAGTTGACAGCTAGGCGGATAGACGTGTCCTTCTTCGTATGCGCTCAAGACTAGGCTCCAAGAGCAGGCTAGTGTTATTAACGGGGCATAGCGAAGCAGTTCCTTTTGGATTTGCCAGGAAATTACGGTGATTCACTCTGAAACTTCGCATGATATTTCTCGGATGGTTTCGCAGTTCCTTGCAAATCAATCAAATTTCCTGTGCAGGCTCAGCGCATGCAATGTCGAATGGGTCTCGATAAGTACGTACTGTACAGTGACATGTGGCTTTGAGGAATGGCACTGTTTCTGATCGACAAGGATAGACCCGGTGGCTGAATAAGTCACCCTCCCTTTCCTCGTCCATGGAATTGGGGCAATCGAGCCGTGTGGCTGGATGAGAAACAAGACGCAAACAAACAGCCAGACAGATGCTGGACTGTAGAAAATCCTTTCCCTTGAATACATTAGAACCTCAAAATGAATCTCATCAGTTTGAGGTGAGACGTTTAGCGAAAGTCACTTTCTTCGCCTCTAAATCTCTGGTAGATAGATTGCCAAGTCTGACGAGGCACGCAACGGCGGGGCATAATAGCGATCTTGCTGGGCTGACACCCAGTATCGGGAAACCAATCGACAGCCAAGTGAGGCTGTAGATTCTGATTGTCGTTTTGCCACGAGGACTAGACTAGACTAGACTACGAATAATTGTCTAGAGATGGCCCGATGGCTTGGTGCGCTCAAAGATACGGTAAGGGCTGACTGAAGACACAAACAGTTGTGGCCGTGTCTGTGTGATGTAGACAACGCGCCTCATTATGCTACATACCTAGATATGCCTTGATGCTTGTGGCGCAGGGATGTTCGGGGCTCTCCAGAGTGTTGTTGTACTGTACTGTCGATCTCTGTATGTCAAAATGAAGGTTGCTGCTCGGTTCTAAGTTTAGCAATCCCGAGAAATGAATTAACTTTCGGTAACATGGCTCGTGCGTGCCTATGTAATTCATCCCAAGGTCGGTGTGTGATACTGATACAGGTGAGCCAGAGCCAGGCACGCATTCGTCGCAACCCCACTCCGTCGTGGCTTTGTGTTGTTGTTGTTATTGTTATTGTCGAGGTGGAGGTAGCACGATAAGGGTGGTTGTTGTTCCAGGCCTGCAACAAGATTGCACTCTTTCGCCCTGCCAGGCTGAAGATCAGGATCCCAGCACCATACACTGATCGGCAGTGCTATTTTGACTCTCAATGCACCGGGTGAAAGGAGGAAAAGAAAAATTGGACGTGCTTTCACTTTCAGCGCGGCTAAGAACGGGCACGGAGAAGAAACAACGCGAGAGTCCGAATCGTCAAAGCTCCAGAAAAGCACATGATGATTCGACTAACACCCAGTGTTTCAGGGCTGTGACATGCTGTCAGTCCCCTATTACCGGTACCGGAATTGTCAAAACCAATTTTCAGGGTCACCCTTGCTTGTATAGTATAGTCAGTATCTCATTGGAGGACATCGTGTGTAAGTCCGAGGACTAGGCTAGACTGGTTCAGGACTGCCGCTACAGCTACTGGTATCCGTAGGCTAGGCACTCTTGTCGATCCCAGATCGACCGGGCCCTTTCAAGACCGCCGTCAATGCGCCAACGATAGCGCCATTACCTAGCTGTCAATCATCAGCGCTTGTGCTTGTCGAACCGGCAGCAGACCGTCGTCAGGTCCCAATGCCAAGGGTGGAGTTGGCGGCCGTCGAGAAGCTCAAGAAGCCCTAACAAAGTTCTAGCTCGGGATGATGGAATGACTAGATTGCCCAAGTGTCAAGCCCAAGTTTGGTACTGAGGCATACAGATCCGTGCCCGCTCTTGGGTCTTGTTAAGCCGCCTATCCGCTCAGCTCAGCCGCTATAACAGCGAGCCACTGTTCCTTGCCTGTCCTGCTCTGTGTTCGTTCGAGTGGCGCGGTCCGAAGAATTAAATAATTGCGAGCGTAATGACGATCCGGTGACATGTTCATGTCCCGGCCGTAGCGCGGCAGCACCGAAAAGGTAACAAGCATGCTGTTGGAGGGCTATCGCAACTAGGGTCATGGATGATGATGATGACGATGATGCTGCCCTGACACCCACTGTGAAGTCAATCTGGGTTGAGAAACCTTATTACAGGCCGTGCAGCGCCTGAGGTACTGTACGAACGAGGATCTTTGGACGACAATGCGAGAAGTGATTGACGCGACAAGGAGATGATGATGTGTGACGACGGTCCAAGCTTGATTGACACAATAAGGAAACCGGTATTGGGGAACAGGTCAAAACTTGAAGAGGTTTAGTAAACATAACCGTTTTGAGTTTTGCCCCTTGGACTCGGCCCTGGAAGAAGAGCCCGGGGGTTAAAGTCTATCCATGCTGCCATGGAGAGCGGGCGGGTAACGGCGGTAGTGGTGGTAGGTGGTGTATGTACAGATAGAGCTTAGACCAACCAGACAGTCATAGGTACAGCACAGTAGTCTTGGAGATCTGATTGCCGAAGGCTCTAGGCATCCAATCTTAGCAGCAGACAGTGATATGTACAGTACCGCACAGGCTCACTCACAATGGACTGCGTTCCAGTTCACACTAGGTCAGAATATCGTATCGCCTGCCGGGGGATCCGGAGCGAATGTAGGGCATCGCATCGGTGGAGTAGGTAGGTACTGTAGTATGGAGCGCTGAGCTGTTGCAGGTATGGCCAGTGTTCGTACAGTATTGGCAGTGATGGTGCTTCTGCTGCATCTGCATCTGCATGACAAGATCAAGTTCTAAAGGACGAAGCCGAGACATAAGATTGGTTTGAGAGTGCTCCTCCATCTGCCGGCCGGTACCTTAGCGCAAGGTGTGGCTTGCCTGAGCATGTCTGACTCTGACACATGAGAAAAACTAGTGCCTGCGCCACGCCTGGGCAGGTACAGTACTGTGCCTAAGCTAGGTGGGTAACAGAAGAAATATCCTCTAAAACTTAGGTAGACTACAGAAATAAAGTAGACTAGATGCCAGCCTAAGATGGGATAAGATGACTAGATTATTTTGTCTCTTGTGCTTTTGGCGGTTAGTTCTTCTGACACCCTACGGCCAAGGTACTATAGGTGCTACTACCCCGAGTCAGAAAATGGGGTCTTGGTCTCTCTCTTGTCTCTCAGACTCTGTCAAGGTTAAATCAAGAGGTTAAATTCCTACTATAGAATAAGGAGGATAATCTACCTACAATCCTGCACCTTTTATGCTTAATCTCAACTCTACAAGGAGACGGATCCGTTTGTCAGGTAGTTAAAGGTATTTACCTGCTCGCGTCGTCGCTTTTCGCAAGAAAATAATTCCATACTGCCTGACTCATCCGATCTGTCGGGCTATTGTAAGCCTTCGGCCTTCGGACAGTTGAGTTCTCCGACAGCAGTCCTCTCCAGTCCAAGTACTCGTAAAGCCTCAATCTATACCTATGCTTGGGGATAGGTAGTTCTTCGTAGCTGCTATTCATCGTCAAACCGAAATAATTGTTACCTTCCATGTCAAGACCTTGAGTCGTCCCTCTTTGCATAATCCGACAAAACTGGAAGGCGAGACCCATCCTTAATCTTACCCCAGCAAATCGATACCTACCTTACTGCTCTGTACACTATATCTGCTACTCAATTTGAACTTCAGCAGGTATACTGACCGAATGAGTCTCAATATCACTGCTTGTAAACAGACATGCCTCTGGACACGACTGAACCCGAGCATGACCCTGAGCCTGAGCCTGAGCCCGAAATTTTAAAGACGGAGCCTTTAGCATGCGTCTCTTGCAGAGCCCGCAAGTTAAAGTGCGACCGCGTAAAACCGGCCTGCACTCGTTGTGTCAAGGTCTCAAACGGCTGCGTGTATCCTGAATCCAGGAGAAAGCCGAACTTCAAGAGGAGAAACGTCAAGGAACTGGAGGCTCGATTAGGTAGGTACCTATATAGTCAATCTGGAGATGGTCTTCATGGATAACTGGTTGCTAATCATGTATCTAGCTCAAGTGGAAGATTATCTCAAAGAAGTCAACAAGAACTCCTCAGAGGAAAAGACTGATGATGGCGATCCCATCTATCCTACTCAGTCTGATGCCAACTTCACCGGTGTTGACGTTCCCTCCGGATTGCCAGGCCTGATCAATGACTTGCCCGGTCCCAGCTTTTCATCTCTTCCACAATCAGCTTTTGACCAACGGTCGAATGATGGCAACACTCCCTTCAATACCCAGCTGATGAGTTTGGGCTTCTCTGAGCCCTTGCCCCCCGACAATGTCATGGAAGAACTGTAGAGACTCCCTTTGACTATCCTACCGTGAACGATGGCTGATGTTCTTAGCAATACCATCTTCTTCCAAAATCAGCATCGAATGATACCCATTATCCATCCGGGAAAATATCTACAAACCTTCTATGGCCCTCTGCTCAGAAAACCCCCAATGTGCTTACGATATGTGATATGGGCTTTAGCAGCTGCGGGTAACAACAAGTATGACGAGTACCACGAGGTCTTTTACCGTCGGTCACGCCAGTACATGGAAGCAGACACGATGAAGGGACATGGCGATGTCTTCGTATCCATACAGCATGCGCAGACCTGGGCCCTTGTTGCCTTCTACGAAGCAAGGATGTTGTTGTTCACGAGGTCGACCATAAGCGTGGCCAACTGCGTGCGCTTGTGCCATATGATGGGACTTGACCGTCTAGACGGGGACCATGTTAACATACCACCAGCATTAGGGCCCCCTCTAACGTGGGCTGAACTGGAAGAGAGAAGGAGAATATTCTGGGGCGTGTTTGCTGCCGATTCTCACTGTTGTATCTCGACAGGATGGCCTACTTTGATTGACTCAGACGACGTATGCCTACTTGACTTTTCGGACCAACACATGCTAATAACATCTTAGATTGCGACAAGACTTCCTGCTTCCGAGGAAGCCTTTGTCCAGAACCGGAGAGAGGAAGCACCTTTCTTGGACGATGCGATACAAGGCGCCCAATACACAGGCTTTGCGGGCACCATTGTTACCTGTCAGATTAACAAGCTCATACTCCGTCACGTACATCGCTCCAAACCCGACAGCCGATGCGAAGATCTGCTGCATGGGCCATTCTGGACTCGCCATAGAGACCTGGACAACACCTTATCCAGTCTCTTTATGTTCCTCCCCGAAAAGTTTCGTCTTCCCGAAAACTTACGTGACGTCTCAGCACTCCATCTCAACATGAACCTACATGCTGCGGTTATTTGTGTTCACCACGCGGCCGTTGAGAAAGCCGAAAGGTACAAGCTGCCAGATCATGTCAAGCGGAGCAGCGTCGCTCGACTTCGAGCCGCTGCAGAGGAGATTGTTAACGTCATGCGACTTACCTCAAACGTGACTCTTTTTTTCGTAAGTGTGCCTTGATAGCAGAGCGTGTTTACCTGACTTGAGCTAATGAATGTGAATATATAGAAGAGTCCACTGTCTGCTCTATCCCTGTACTGCACAGCTACAGTTTATATATATCTTGCTAAAGAGAATCCAACAACAGGCCTAAATGCAGTGGACCTATCTAATTTCCAGCTAATCATACAATGCATGGAAGCTATTGCACGTGTGCATACTATTACCCGAACATTCTTACAGCAGACATGTATCGACGTGGAGAAGAATGGGCTGGACTCTGTTATTCAGATGCCGTCACTGAGAAGGTACCGCAATGCTTTTGGGCCAAGCAAGTCCCAGGTCCCGATACTGGCTCGCACTTCAGCCGTAAACCGTTCCGGTCCATCTCCACCAGTGTATGCAAACGATAGACAGATGGAAGCCGAGCAAACGAGACTGGACAGCGTAGCCCACGCCATGGGCATAAGCTTGGGGAAGACGTGCTACCAGGCTTTGCTTGGGTCCGCCTACCGCAATATTCGGCCAGATGCAACAAGCAACAAGCGAAAGAGAGCCAACGAGAGTCCTATACCTGATTTGGTACCCGGCACGCGAAATAGCAGCCCTCTTGACTTGAACCTGAACCTCAACTTCAAAGGAACGGGTATGTGGCCGGCAGCTTTCTCGCCCCGTATGACTTCGGGTAGCATGTCCTTGCCTGATAGAACGAGTTCTTCGACTGGGTCATCGCCGATCAACCAAGTCTCGAACTCTGGCTCATATACTAAAACGGTGTCGGGGAGTAGCCATACTTCACCCGACATTGGCCTTAGAAATAGTGCAGAAGAGAATCGAATTGACCTAAGAGCCTTTCAGGACCGAATATCTACACCGATATGGCAGTCAACTGAAGAAACATTATTTGCACAGATGGCAACAAACTCGCTCGGTAGCGGCGGAACTGATCCTTGGGGAATATTGACTGCTGTCGACTTGAACTGGGATGCTGAAGGGCTACCGACAGGGACTTGATAAGTGTAATATATCAATTCCCGTGTACTTGTACATTGGAGCTTTTTTTCTTTCTTTCTTTTTTGGTCGAGGTTTTATGGTTCAGCTACATTCTTTGAAGAACCTAGGAGACAGAGGAGGATATGTATGAGGAAGTAGACTGACTATAGTATACCCATGGAGGTTGGTTTATAGACGATGCAATTGGATGCATGATACGCAACTCTTGTACTGTTAGGGTTTGAACGGGCATAGAAGGGATTCTATGGGTTTAAATGAACAACATATAGAAATTTCTTCAGATGGGTGATACTTGAGCAACCTTGGTTTTGTTTTGTTTTATTTTATCCTATCCTGCCCGTCAAAACTTGACCTACCTAGACCCCCTGTAACAATTACTGAACTATAGGGCTACCTGGTACTAGACTAGGGAGGTATCAAGGTCCACTCATCACAGCATCCATATCTTGTCTCTCATCATCTGATTTCTTCACACGCATCGTTTTTGATCATGTTTCAATACATAGTCGGCTTCGCAGCTTTTCTTGTCATCTTTTCAAACCCTATTGGTGACTTCTTCTATCCAGACCGTGCTACTCAGGTCAAAGAGGCTTCACCGCGTCCTGAGTTCAATGAGTCGCTACTAGCCATTGATGCCCCGAATGCGACTGCACCAGAATGTGCGCCCGATGGCTATCTGGCCAGGATATTGAGCAGAGAGCCTTTGATTGTGTATTTGGAAGGGTTCTTGAATCAGCAGGAGAGGGACCACCTACTGGAGATAAGGTATGTCGATCGTCTAAGTTGCACATATGAATGAATCCTCATACTTGTAGCGAACCAATCTTTGTACCATCAACCATTACCAACAACGGCGAGGCCACTCATCGCGATGCTTCAGTCCGTGACTCTCATGTGGCTATCGTTCCCAGGACTGACTCCGTCCGCTGCATCGAGGCTCGCGCCCGTGCTCTTCAAGGTTGGCGCCCAGAGCTTTGGATCGAACGTCTTAGGACTCAGCGCTATGGGACAGGCGGTCACTACAACCACCACTTCGACTGGAGTCATAACACACGCGGATGGGGCCGCGTGAGCAGTCTCATGGTCTGGGTCGGAGGCTCTCCAGATCTTAGCGGTGGTGGGACAGAGTTTCCCTTGGTGAAGAGGCCTGTGGAAAAGGAGTGGTGTCGCTTTATAGAGTGTGCGGATACAGGAGAGGACAAAGGCGAGCTCGGTGTCGTATTCAAAGTTGTACCGGGAAATGCAGTGTACTGGGAGAACTTTGCGGCAGATGGAAGGGGTTATGAGCAGACATGGCATGCTGGACTTCCTGTCCATGAGGGAACAAAGGTTGGGTTGAACATCTGGAGCTATGGACGAATCTGAGACTGGCGTGTATGTGTATGTATGAAAAGACAGGTGATTGATAGACTTTGACATCAGATCATATGATGTACAAGGTGCATCGATTTGTTCTCATTGTCTCCTGGTCATTGCGATATTTTGAGTCATTCCCATCGCCTTTCACATTGACCCATCCACTTCCCCCAAACAACAACCTTGCCCTGAATGGCCTCTGCAACTTGGTCTCTAGTTGGCTTTGAGGTAATCAACTTCTCATTCAGTGGTTCATTCAAACCAATGACTTCAAACCAATCTTGAAACCCAGTCAGTTTTTGGGTTCGTTGCAGCTAAGACGGGACAACTACTCACATCGATGAATTCCGTGGTTGAGAAGAGGCCGTGGTGGGATATAAACCATCCCGCTACGACTTGCTCCGTAGTAGAAACCTGCTGCAAGTTTGGGGGAGGTTTCATCAATGGGTTGGAAATCACTGCTGGAGACGCTCGTCTTGTTGGTAGGTACTCCCAGGTATATTCTACCAATATCATCAGCCTGGTCCTTCTTTCGATAACAGGGCCTACTCAACTTACCCATGGCAAATCGGGGTTGGTAATGGCGCATCCGGGTCTTCAGCTACGAGCAGCCATTCTCTTACACCTTGGTGAGAGTCCCATTGTAGCTGAGGGAACCTCCCTTGACCTTGGTGCATGTACTCTATTCCGAGAGTTGCACCATCTGGGCCGCATTCCGGAGACGTGACTGACAGCGTAGGCTCTGGCAGTTGAGAGAACGCAGGAGTGGTGAAGAAGGCTTTTGCATCTCTTCCTTTATAGTTTTTGAACAGCCAGCTGGCTGCTACTTCGATATAAGCTGCCATTATGCCTCTGATGATGCGACTTCACTAACAAATTGCCATGAAGCTGACATATGCGTGTCTATATAGACGTCAACCGGGTTGATAATAGATTGGATATTACACTTAAACTCCAGCTGTCTCTTCGGATCTACCGGCAATAATCATGTTGTAGACATCGGGGCCGAATCGGCAGAAACAGATCAGATAGTACCTAGGGCACATTCTCGTCTATTTCGCGGTTACAAGTTTGGAGAAAGTCAACTGGGTTATCAAAGTTTAATCATATCCGTGATATCGTTGGTATCCAACTACGAAGTCTAGCTATAACCCCAATGCAACCGCAAATGCTTCTATGAAACTCTATGTACAGTATCAACCGAGACGCCTAACAAAAAGCCCGAACCTTAAACTCGATGCAATAGGCGATTCATCATCAAACCAACTCTCTATCTAGATGAGAAGCCACGCAAATCCAAGAGCCACTGCCCCTGCAACCATAGATATAATCCCGTCACTTGCTAGAGGTGAAAGCGAACCAGCAGCGTTCTCGTTGCCCGAAGACTGAGGTCCTTCAGCGCCAGTAGCAGAGGGAACAGCATTCTTCCCAGTGCCAATCTCGAGGATGTGGGAGCTTGTGGCGTCAAAGTTACTCTGCGCCAGAGAGATCTCGTTGTTGTCCAGGTCAAACACAACGTAGGCACTCCTCAAAAACGTGTCTCCCAGGATGGAAACTTGGGTGGTCGAGGGTGCTATTCCAAAGGAACAGGCTGCTTGACCGTTGCCAAAGGACATCTGACGGCCTGTGATGTCGGTGAAGTCCAGGATCAACTCGCTGAGGGGAACTGTGATCTCGGCTGGGTCGTTGAATCGAAAGGTAAAGTTTCCTCCCTCGTTTGCTAGATCGCAGGGGACGTAGGCAGTTGTTTGACCCTCGACATATTCAGCGCCTACTAGTTCGTATATGCTCTGCACGATGCTGGTGGGGAGATATGTGAGCGTCGAGCCTGAGTCGAGAACAACTCCAAGAGCGAGATTTTCCCCAACGGTTTCTGAACCAGCACTGACGCTGTTGAGCTGAACATAGAATTCCGAGTACTCGTCGTCGATCTTCATGATGGGCACTGTGACCAGTTCGCCAATGAAATGATCCTCGTCGACTCCTCCAAAGAGGATCTTTCCCGTCGCAGAGTCCAAATCGTCGAGGTATAGACTATAAGCATTGGAAGCGATAGCCCCGTCAGAAGATAGTCTGGCTGGCATGTTCTTGTAAAACTCTGGATTGGGTTGGTTGACAACAGCTTCGTTAGTGGAATATCCAATACCAAGCACACCCTCGTTGTCTGAGGTTACATATCCAATTCCAAACTGTAGATCTTTGATTGAGACGTTTCCCATCCGGAACGTGTCAGTTGCATAGTCTCCAGATGCTCCCGAGCCGTCAGCATATGAGATATTGAAGTCGCTATTCACATATTCATACGTCGACGACTTGTTGGGGTTGTATAAACCAGACTCTGCGCAGATGTTGGCGTGGGTATCGCAGAGCTCCGAGCCTACGACATTGACCCAAAGATCACTGCTTCCAGTATCAAGATGAAGACGGAAGTTTTGTGGTGGCGTTCCTATAGTAGCGTTGAGGAAATAGAGCGATTGCTAGAGGAGGTTAATGTTATGTTATGGCTGTTACATATTGAGGATGATGACTTACCTCATTATCAATACCAACATTGACTGTCCCATCTCTTCTACTGAGACGTTTTCGATCATGGGCAAAAGGATCATCTACTTTGCGACGCATGATAGGAAGACTCATAACTCTGGGCTCCAGGCCATCTTGTCGTTCGTGTAGAGATATAGCGTGAGCGCATGCAAGTAGAGAGAAGAAAATGGCAGAAGATAGTTGGAGTGAATTCATAATTGAAAGCCTGTACAGTAAGTATAGTAGTTGGTATAGACATGAATGAGTCTTTGGACGACATGGAGTCCTTTTGATGTTTATATTTCGTTTTCCTTTGGGTTATTCCTTGGAGTAGGTTCAGTCCCACAACGAAGGCAATGCACTTCGCCTCCACGACTTTTACTCTGTCATAGATAGATCAGGATAGAGTAGAGGATAGTAGAGCAGAGTAGTCTTCGGGTGCAGCAAAACAGACTCTCGGGATGCGTCAACGATAGAAACGTCACCCTCCAACGTCAGGGCACCACCTTTTTCGGCACGGGGAGGCCGAGGAAGAGAGCGAGTCAAGGAATCATCCGAATAAAACATTGTATTTGTATTTGCAGGACATTTCCCCTTTGTTACCTGTTCGTAGATCATCCGTTAGCCGCACGAACCCCCTCATGATTTGCATGATGGAAACATATTGGAAACATCCATCCCGAGTCGTTCCATATTAAACTCTCCACTCAAGTACAGCACAGTACAGTAAAAGGCCTTGGCCATGATTGATTGATAGGAGGAGGGTCACATCCGATGAGACGCGCGGCTGGCGTAAACTTCTGTCTACTGTACCTACTGTACAGTACTATACTACGGAACATCCGGGGTAGGTACAGAGTTTATTGTGGACGTTGAATTATTAATAGATCGGGCACTTTCACTACTAACTTACAGCAGTGGCTACCGCTACTACGGGAGGTAAAGTACAAAGTACAGTGCTATAGGTACCCATGAAACGTTTACTTGAGGCGTCTGACTCCCCTAACTAACTACTACCTAATAAATGATACGACGTCCATGATATGACGTGAGAGGCTCATGGTCCCTGCAGCAAGTTAAAACATACATTAATTAATATAATATAATACAATACAATAAAACAAATATAGTATAGTATACAGAGTAAAAGAACTGGCTTTAATTTCTTGATCATATGATGTTTTTCTCTTTTTCGCTGACGACAACTTCTCGTGGCTGACGATCCATGCCGAACTTCCGATCATTAACGGAGGCGACATCTAACTTCTGACTTCCGACGCCAACTTCAGGGTATTCAATTCAATTGATTTTATGGTTTCACAAGCCATCGCCAAGACCTCAACATCCGCTTCTTAACGGACCTTCAGGTTTCATGCTGCTCTTAAACAATCATAGGTAGACTTAGTTGAGGCTGGGCCGTTTAACCCAACCAACTCACTGCTTGTGATGCTCACCACTAACCACTCAAAACACGTCTTATTTAGATGCCTACTGTAATCGTATCAGCAAACAAGAACACTCACCAAATCTTTGGTCGTTGCCTAATCATTTGCATCCAATACAAGGCTCCTCTGCTACATTCTCCTGCGGCTGAAGCCCTTTGAGGCATCGGGTCGGCTTATACCTAAACGGCTGTTAACATAAGCTTACAATTTAACTACCCAGACATTTGTATTTATATAATACGGGAGGCATCTATTTGTGTCTCTAATCGTTGTTCAAGTGTAATATTCCAACTGTAATCCTCAACGTGGAAACATGGACTCTGAGCTTATCGCAAATATGGACCGTTGGTATGTCATGTGCTCCTCTCCATCCAACTGATATTCAACTGACATCAACGTCCGTTTCAGTCCCATGTATGCTGTAAGCTTACAACGAACCATTGACATGCCATCTCTAATCTTGTCGTGTCCCTCATAGTCCTTCTTTGGCGCCATAGGCTGCGCGTGTTCCATTGTCTTCACCACCTTCGGCGCATCCTACGGCACGGCAAAGTCTGCAGGCGCCATCTTCCAGTCGGGCATTCTTCGACCAGACATGCTGATGCAGAACACGTATGAAGAATCAGCAAAGATCTGACCCAACCTAATCGGCTAACAAATGCAGCCTATGTGCTATCATGGCCCAGATTCTCTCCATATACGGCCTTGTTGCCAGTGTCATCATGTCCAACAACATCAAAGAGAAGATGCCCATTCATACAGCTTTCTTGCAACTCGGAGCTGGTATCTCGGTTGGCCTATGTGGTATGGCCGCTGGGTTTGCTATCGGTATTGTTGGCGATGCTGGAGGCACGTTCTCTCCTTGATCTCATATAAGCTGGGCCAATAACTAACTTTTCTCAGTCCGAGCCAGCTCGCAACAGCCTCGCCTCTATATCGGAATGGTCCTCATACTCATCTTTGCAGAAGTCCTGGGCCTGTACGGCGTCATTGTTTCTATCCTCATGCTCACCCGTTCCACAGAGGCCGCAGAGTGCAGGTACTAAATCATATGCCCACGGCTCAGCTTGTCAGTTTATCTAGGATTTAGAGTACGGGATCGAGTTCATGCGTCCCTCAGAGTCTTTCTATTACCCGTATCAAGTCACTCGGCTCCAATACTTAGCTCTGGGTCGTTAGCAAGATTTTCCAATTTTGTACTCTCTTTGGCAAGACCGTGTCGTCTAACATCACTTTATACTATGTGCTAAGACACTGTATGCATCATAATCAAGTCCGCTTCTTGTATTGAACAAATGTTGTGGGGTATAGGCACATCTAAGACCATGATAAGAGATTCATCAAGTACGTAGGCTCTCGTCTTATGACCCTTCCTCCTCTTACAACGTCCACTCGTTGACGTTATCATTATGTGTGATGAAAGGCTCATCGATCCTCTTGATGGCCAGATCGCTGCAAAGAATACTGCACCATGTTAGCTGTGGAGTCACGCAAGCAAATCGCGACTTACCAAGCAGACGCAACGAGAGCGTCCAGTTCCGCAACAACCATCTCCCTCTGCGTGCCGCTGACCAAACCCTTCTGTATCTGCGTTTGCAACTCCCTGATTCGTGATGACTTTCCAACACCTGCCTGCTCGAGTACCTTTCGCCCCAAACAGTCGGAGTGGAACGAGTGCTGGCAGGGAAAGACAAAGAACTGTCGACTCAACAGCGGCAGTCCGCAAGTATAACACTTCTCTCCAGGTTCCACAATTGCGTACCGATGATCGAGCGCAGCAATGTCAACCTTTATATTAGTAGCCGTTTGTGACGATTCATCCATCTCCTTCTTCAAGTTGTCAATATTACGGCTGTAGTCTTCCAATGCAGCACAGATCTCTTCCTTGAAATCGTCGATGACAACAAAATCAGGAAAGAAAGGAATCAAGTCCTCAATCTTGAGCAAGTCGCATCGCTTGAGAAACTCAATAGCTGTCTTGATCCCATTTGATTGGGAGATGACCTTTCGGGCCACAGCAAGCCATAAGCGTTTACGTAGTTGCGGGTTCGACATTGGTCGATCCGCAATCACTGCTGCCAGCTCAACCTCGCCGTGAGACAAAGCCAGGTCAACCGCTTGAAGATATTGCCCCATACTGGTGTAGATGTGTACGCACGATAATGTTCGGTGATGCTGAATGCAAAGTCGAAGAGCAAAGTCCGGGTCATAACGGGGTTCGTCTCCTTGCGCTTGTAAGTATGACAAAAGCCCAGCCTCATCCTTGGAAGGGTGAGAAGCGTAAATCGAAACCAAAGTGTTGTGTACGGCCGCATCCTTCGAGTTGAGTTGATAGACTGCATAGTTGAGGTATCTTATTGCCTGGTTCTGTGCGTTCGGACCACCCGTGAACGTCCGATTGTAGTCTAGAAAAGCAGGAATCAGATTTCTAGGCTTCAGATCAGAATGTCTCATCAGGATTTCGACTAGTTCTGGTGCAACGTATGTCATCAGAACGCTGCTGTATCTGTAAAAGACTTCGGGATCCGTCTGCTTCTTGAGAACATTCAGAACCTCACTCCACCGCTCCCGCTGAACCCAGTAAGAGAGCACATAGTTGTAGTCGTTAACAGCATTCGCAAAGTAAAGAAGCTCCCCTTCACGGCCATGGCTGCTAATCACATCGTATACCATCCTCCGGTCGAGATCAGTTTTGTACTTGTCAACAAAGTCCCTGAACTCTTTCCTCACGGATTCGAGTGTTTTCTGTGATTCGGCTGAGTTGACGTGTTCTGAAGGCTCCGCCTGTGTATTTATGGTATCATCAAGCAAGTTGAATTTGGACATGAAAACCTCGATCAGCCAACCCGCTATCATCATCCGCTGCATCATAGCAGACTTCTTGAGCGAGGCCAATTTTGTTAGCAGAAATTTTCTCAGGGCATCTGGTTGGTTGTTGTCGATGATGCTCAAAGCAATATCCTCGAATGGCTTATTACTACGACCGTACACACTAGCTGCCTCGAGCCAGTGACCTTTGCTGGCCAGATGGTCGCCATACGCAGCCGCGACTAGTTCTTTCTGCAGTGGTGTTCGAGCATGTTGCAGAGCCGGCTCAAATTGTTGCAGCCTGGTCATGATTTCCCAAATATTACGTTCTTCGTCTCGGACAACGATCTCAAAGATCTCCTCGGAGGTAAACAGCCAAAATGTGTTTTTCTGCATATCCACGGAGAAGCCAATGGGCTTCTGCCCTTGGCCAATAACGTCGTGTTCAGAGACCATTTTTCCAGTAAGGCGATTCGTCGTGATCACACGTCCCCCGACAAGGTGCACAATATGCCACTGCGTGAGCGCGATAGCATCGATAGCCTCAGTCGTTGCGACCCGCCTCTCACTATTCTCGGGAGAAAGAATCTGTGCTCTGGAGAGCATTTTTGATTCTGAAAAGACCTTGGTGCCGAGGTTGCTATCTGCGGGTGTGTTTGATAACTTTCCATGGAATACTCCCTGGTAGGATAACCAAGCATATGCTCGATCAGGAATATCATCGTCGTATGGTCCTGAGTCAGGGGGATCGGGGGATACTGCCAGGCTGGAAGGAGCGCCGGAGGTGGTCCTGGACAGTTCGTGAACAACCGGTTGCTCAGATTCGAAAAGTCTTGTATACACCGACCCTGAACCATCATGTCCAAATCCTATCCTTCCCACTAAGTGAAACAGGCGAGACTGCGTGGCTATCACCACCCTTCGGAGGTCTGATTTATTGTTTTGGATATTATCCACCCACAACCCTGTAATCGGACCATCTGGTAGTTTGTGTAGGTTCTTCAAATGCTTCACCTCCTTTTTGTAAAACTCTTTTGACGTCTCTATAAAAGCCTCGTAGATGTTGCCATCAGATGCACCGATCAATATTTCTCGTGTCGACGCTGTAGGCAACGAAGGGTTCCACGCCACACTCTCGATGGACACGCCTCGAAGACGTCCAAGTGGTCTGGGATGTTTTGACTGGGAATGCAGGTAATAGTTCTCGCCCAGCGCGGTGCAAATGATGAGGTGTGAAGCTGTCGGGTCAAGAAACATGCGCCGTATCATGCCGATCTCGGATGGCTTTTTGGGTAGGTCGATATCTGCCGCGAATAGACACCGTTAGTCATTGCAAATAGTCTGATAAGCATCTCCGAGCCCCTACCATCAATATCTTCGGGTCGTTCCAGGTCGATACGGAGGATTCGTCCGTTGGAGAGGGCGAGGACAATGACATTGTTGGCAACCTGCGCCGCAACGAAGTCGGCCGCCACTGAGAACTGCAACTGAACGCGTTCTACAGTGAAGATGGGTTCTTCGAGATCTGGGACGCCATTGGAGGCGTCGAAGCCGTCGTGGAGATCCAGGGCCATTATGTCGCGGTATCACAGGCGCATGTTCAAAGATCGGAGATGCAGGGAAGAAATCTCGCGTCTGGCGCACACTGAAGAGGATATTCGCTAGAGCCACGGTTGACTCGAGGTCGTTGGATCTTGTTGATGGGATTGTGAGTGAGAGCGGGAGTCGGTGTTGGTGGTGACGAAGTGTCGGTGGTTGGAAGGGCCCTGTACGTACTACGCAGAGGAGCTCCCCACCTCATGTGCTACGATAGGCAACTGCTCCTGGGCGATAAGGCAGCTAATTTAGGTCTGATAGCTTCTACTGTAGGCGGTCAAACATTACATCACTTTTTTGCTCTACTAGGTAGGTACTCGTCAAAATAAGCATATTTAAAAGTCTTGATAGACTGGGAGTAGGTAAGTATGATAGGATAATATAAGTAAGGTAGTCAGTCAGTGTACTAACATGTACACGTATTTCTTGTTGTCTTGTCTAATCATTTCATGTTCCCTTTAACTAGGTATGGACCATTATTGTAATCGTTGTTCCAAACAGCCCAAGACGACAACAAATTTTGTTGCACCAAAGCGCCATCCATATGTATCTTCAAATAAAGAAAGAAAACAGCCGCCCAAGATCAAATGCTGAAGAATGTACAGGTAAATGCAAAAGATTGGGTTGTCAGCCAGTTGAACGCCGCCCTACAAAGTATCTGCGCCACAATCCTGTATTACCCAAAAGGATCGCCAAAACCAAGGACCAATGATAATTCATACCCTCGTCATGAAGATAGTTAGACCATCGTCTAACTCGGCCCCGTAGACATCTGGTCGTCCGCACGAAGTGTGGGTTCGGAACTGTTGCCGTTGAGCTCTGTAGCCGGCGAGTGACTTCTCCCTAGGAGCTCCGCCAAGTCTGTACGAGGCGCATCGAGAGGCTTTCTGCCAATGATGATTCGCATCTTGATCTGAAGACCTTTTGACTTTATGGGATCCTTGGCAGCGTTCGCCAAGTCTCGTGCGGCCGCTTCACAGGCTTGCTTGCACTTTTCAGGGTCCCAACCCATATACTCTGTCAAAAGTCGCAAGCAATGGGCCTCGAGACCGTCCAGGCAAGAGATTAGCCAAATCTTGCCCGCCGAGGCCTCAGCAACTGTAATTGGAATAGAATATTCTGTTACTCGTACGTCGACGAAACCTGCATCCATGAGTAACCGAGGCTCAAGGTGATATGTACCTCTTGGGCGTCCCGACTTCTCCGACGCTATCTCGAGATCCCTTAGAAGCTCATGCATGGGAGAATTGTCCGGAAACTGGGATAAGAATTGGATAAAACCCTCGGCGCTAACAAAATCTTGTACCTCAATCCAACCACCGGGTTTCAAAGAGAAGAAGGTGTTGTCGTACACGAAACTCCAATTCCGGAACGCGCCCTCCATAAGCCGGAAGTGAATCAAGTCGTACATATCCGGGTGGCGATCCCAATCTTCGGCATCCTCAATTTCGAAAAAGACGTTCATGGGCACACTCTTGGTCTCCGCTATGGCAGCAATATCGGTTCCTACAACTTCACATTGCGGTTGCAGTTCAGCCATCTTGATCGCCCAATCGCCTGTACCTGTACCAACATCGAGGATATGGTCAGGGTTCTGGATAGGGGCGAGGGTGACTTCGCCGTCAAGTACGTGCATAAATACTTGATGTTGAATAGCCATTCGCCATTGCTCAATGTCGTCGTTGGGCATGTAGTATTCGCGACAATAACGCCGGCCATGAATTTCTCGATAGTCGAGGTCTTGCGCCCATAATGACCTTGTTGATGCAGCCCTGAGCACAAGGTCAGTAAGTGACGGACAGCGTATGATTAAGCAAATCACCTACATATCTGAGTCTGCCCCATGGGAGTCTGGAGAGAAAGGAGTTTCGACCTGGTGGGAGGGAGAAACTCTGGGATATTGGGAGGCGGGATAGATGGAAATCATGTCGTCTTCGTCGACATCTTCCTCAAGGTCGGAGTCGTTGTGGTGATGAGGCTCCTCGTCGGTGCCTACGATGCTAGTCATGGCTGTATTGTTTCCGTCGCTGTTCGCATGCTCACTCGGTGTACCGTCGCTAGATTGCCGGCCGCTCTGTACAGCATAAGAGTCCTCCGAGGACATGGTGCTCGTCTGAGACTGGTTGTGACGTCCCCGTGTTCCCCTGGGTGGTTTGGACCGTCGCTTCTTTGCCATGGACGTCTAGAGAAGGGATTTTTTTTTAAATATTCTTTTTAATTAGGAAAACAACAACAGCACTATCGTAGTCGAGTGGAGGTGACGATGACTAGCGACATGGCTTGGCTTCGGGGAGTGAGGCTGAAACGAGCGGCGCGGGCAAAAAAGGTTGGGCCCCAAAACGAGTCGTAGTTGCCGTCGTGATGACGGAGTGTCGATGATAGCAGTACGGTAGTCGAGTTATTAGTAAGAGGCGTCGATAGTATTGTATCGCAAGAGTCGCCCGGAGACAGCAAAGCTCGAAGAACAGGAAGAACAAAGCAATTGATTACTACCCATAGATACCTAGGTAGGTAGGTAGGGAGGTACTATGTATGTCTGAATGAATACCTAGAGGCCGTAGTAAGGAAGGGGAGCGAATGAGTGAGGGAGGATCCAAAGACTTAAAGAAGAGGGAGACCTGGGGATTGGTAAAGGTCCGTGAGTATAGTGGAGATCAACTAGCCTACCTAACCTAGCCTAGCCTACCTGGGGCCATGAGAACGTGGATCAGGGCTCGAAGTATTCGGAAAGGGACCCGTACAGTAGACTACGGTAGAGGATAGAACAGGGGAAGGGTGAAGGAGCACCAAGAAAGGTTTATGGATATGGATAGAACAAGGGAGAGGGAGAGGTCAGTGGAGGAGAAGCTGTCGGTATCTGTAGGGAAAGACACTACATACAAAGTATTGTAATGTACAGTACCTTGAAGCACAAGCCGGGGAGAAACAAGGATGACAAGCTACTGTAGCTAGCAAACTTGCTGGGACCAATAGAGATAGCCTAGAAGCTCGAGGCTCTCTTGTTCCTCTCTCAACTGGGGCAGAGGAGCACAGCAAGTGGAGGAAGTGATCCAAGGATCGGGAGGGAGAGCAAGGGTTGCCGGCCGGTTGACGACGTTTGCGGTTAGGTAACTTGTCGTAGCAATTCAATTTGGACTATCCGTAACTAACTGTCAACTGCTTCTCAGCCGAGTTGAATTTGGAGCTGTAATTTGTGTTGAAGTTGGAGTCGAAGTTGAAGTCGACAGATAGAGGGTTGATGATAAATGTACATATGAATATACGTACCTATCTCATAATGCTTCATGCATGCTCTATGCAGTCAGCTACATATAGTGCTTATCGTCTCGTCTCCATAGACCCAAAAACATCGTAATAAACAGCGATACCCTATTATCGTACAATATCTACTGCCTGTACTGCTCCGAGCAGTGGGAAGGCCGTGATAACCATGCAAAGTGTATTTCACCCTCCAAGCCAATTAAAGTATATTATTATTATTATTATTATTACAAACACCAAACGTCGCAACTCTCCAACGGCCTTTTTACCTTTTACTGTTATCCAAACGCGAGTCGACGGTGGTTCGGCGACCAGTGGAGAGGTCGGCCGGTCAGGGCTTATCCATTCCTCAGCTCAACTCAACTCAACTCGGTACTCTACTGTACGTATACTAGTCTAGTTTACCTATAGGCCGTTCCATATACCATTTCCGATGCATGGGATATGATGTTCGTGTTTCTGTCCTGTATACACTATTTCTTGTGATCCATTCTCGGCCTGAAGTTGCTCCGATGTTGGCATGGGCCATCATCAAAGCCTGGACCACACGCCGCGATGCACCATTGAACGGTCACCTAAGTACAGCAAATAGTTAATGTTTTACCTGCAAGTATTGTCGCTGTACCGTTTTGGTTTCCAAGCTGGGAATGTGGGTTATCTCTACGAAGCGCTTTCAGGACTGTAACAACAGATTCCAGCCCAACCGAGACCTTCTCTGTTGATTTCCTATGTACAAACGAGTAGGCTTGCTCTCAATCAAGAGTCTCGTTCCCACCCCTCGCTGGATCCCATCCCGGAAGAGAGGGCCTGGTCCATCATCCCATAGCGGTGGAGCGGTGCAACGCAACAGTATCCGTTAAAACGAGCAGGGAACAAACAGTCGGTTCGAGGTTGTGACGGGGGCTAGACTTGATTGAGAAAAGAGACAAACTGCAGCTGTGGGCCTTTCCTTTCCTTTCCTTGGTGCAGGTCGACTTGAAAAAGATGAGGATATCACCAAATGGAACCGCTACTTTATCGATTCTTTGGGATATACAGCACTGATACTATAGACTACATCTTTTGTCTGTATTCATTTTCCATGCTACGTATACGTACTACACATTTCCATAGTACCTAGAATATGTAAGTTGGTTACCCACCTCCACCCTGTTCGGAAAGAAAACGGTCCATTAGGCTGGGATTCTTTGAGTGGAATGGGGCACATAATGTTTGGACTAAGAGGACAGGGGTATCCTGTACCTTCTACCTGGTATCCGTACCGTACCGTACCATATCATACATATCATGCAGTACGGATAAACTGTACTCTGTACAGCAGTTGGCATCACCTCGAGGTTGTTAGTAGTTGGTCGTTGGTTGTCTTGTCTCCTCGCCTTTCAAACACATCCTAATCTTGCTTCCCCCAATCTCGAAGCGGCCCGTCCCCTCTAGAGCTTTCTCCTGAATGGTCAACCGAGTGCCAGTCAAAGCTAGGTACAGTACAGACTAGACTAGGTAGTCTAGTACATTACCCCTACTAATTCTGTCTATCCCGCTCTGTCTGTGTCTGTGTCTCTGTCTGCCTGTCTCTTAATGTCTCAGTCCATAAATCCCATTCAGTCTACAGTATTACTGATAGCCCGTGTCACTAGGAAAATCCGAAACTTTCTTTCCAATCAATCGAATGCCAACTTACATGTACCTGTATTCTCCGCATAGTGTAAACTCTAACATACAACCATATCTCGTCTATCAACATTTCGGCAGTTGGTATGATCCCACCAGCTAAACCGTACAAGACGGTACCGGTACGGATACAGTACCAAGCGAGCAGATGCCGGAAAACGTTTTCCTCATTCCCGGTAGGTTGGTCGGCTTAATGTTGGGCATCCATCTAAAAAGGATCTTCCCGCCGAGATCCCATTCGCTAAACAACCAGCTTCACCACCAACGTAACCGTACCTGTATGTACTGTACGTACGTGTTGTCTTTGTATTATGCGCTGTCAGAATTTTAGACTGGTCGGACCGCCGCCGCGGAGTAGTGCGATTGTATCCCCGACCCGCTGGTCTGGATGTATGTAGGTGGGTGGTATTGGGTTGCGTTGGCATTATCTTACTCTGCCTGCATAGAACCAACGGGGACGATACCAGGGCACTGGAAATGGAAATATTGGGATTGATGTTCACATTGGCCCCTGATTATCCGCTATTTGTACTTCTGAATGGCCATGTATCACGCAGGAGACGCGTCATAAAATCTCCTCGTTGGCTACCTACTATGTACCTTACCTAGGTATGTTCCCTTGTCCGTGACGGCACTTGGCCTGTATGGCTGACTGAGATGAGTAGGTATTTAGTCGAGAACTTTGAGTTGGCAACTGGTCGTTCTCGGAATATATTGCCCATGGCTGGGTATCCTAAACTTCGACAACTGATAAAAAAGAATTAATGAACTGTTAAAAGTGCCATCGATAGCTCCTTTGGAAGTACACTCCCTCTCCGTCTTGGAGCAAATGTAAACGAAACGAACCCAAAAACAAATCAACAACCTCTACAGAATCCTATCAAGCCCCAAAGTACATTGTCTTGTCTTTCGGTCTCGGTCTATCTATTTACACCGTTGTTCGTGGTATCTATGCTTCTCGACTTTCTTCTCTCGTAAATGCGTCAAAATCGTCATTCTCTGCTTCCATGCCACCGTATCAGACAGTAATCTGACGGTCGCTAGGTCGATGCACTCCATTCGTGTCGTCTCTGTTCCTTGTATCTCGACATCCGTTGGTATCTTCCTTCGTCTGTTGTTCCGGTAGCTTGCCTTGTCGAACATCCTGCGACTCAAGCGGCTCGTCGCGCATTGATCGTGCATCGTCTGGGACCATTTCACCGTCGCTCACAGTAGGGAAGGGCGTAAGCACATGGCTGATATCTCCCCACCAAGACTCTCCAAACTGAGTGAACCAGTCGACCGTGATCTTTAGGCCCTCGTCGATAGACACCTTCTGTTCCCAACCAAGTCGCTTTAGTTTAGAACCATCAACTGCATATCGGCGGTCGTTGAAAGGCCTATCCCGAGTGTATTTGATCCACTTGCGGAGCTGTTCTGAGGTGTCGTGTGAAATCTTCATTCGATCTAGCAACATCGAAGAGAGCTCTAGATTGGACACCTCGTCATGCGAGCCGACATTGTAAATCTGGCCAATCTGCCCCTTGTGCAGGATTGTATCGAAAGCATCTGCTGCATCGCCAGCGTATAGATACCTCCGTGTGGGCATCCCATCACCATGCAGCACCAGCGGTCGCTGGCGGTTTAAGAGACATATGAACTTTGGGATGATTTCTGGCAGTCGTTAATATACCAAGCGTGCATGCTTTCTACGTCTATCGCCTGGTGACTCACTCTCTGGGTATTGGTGAGGGCCATAAACGTTATTGCTGCGCACGATTATGGCTGGAAGCTTGAAGCTCTTTTGATAAGATTGTACCAACATCTCGGCGGCTGCTTTGCTGGCAGCGTATGGGTTTGTTGGGGCTAGTATACTAGTCTCAAGAAGGTCGTCGTCGTCGTCCTTGACCTCGCCGTATACTTCATCCGTCGACACATGGACGAAGCGACCAATGCCGACTTTCTTGGCACTCTCGAGTAAAACATGAGTCCCGTAGACATTTGTGTGCGTGAAGCCATAGGAGTTGCCGAAGCTGAGGTCTACATGCGATTGAGCAGCAAAATGCAGAACAGTATCAATGCTGTATCGCTCCATGCAGTCAACGACTTCAGCGGGGTTGGTGATATCGCCATGGTAGAAGGTAAAGTTTCGTGATTCACCAAGAACGCCAGTATTGTTAAGAGCAGCACAATAGTCGAGCTTGTCGAATGAGACAACGTTGTAGGCGTGTGGATATGTCAGAGTGAGGTGGCGGACTACCCAGCAAGCGCTTCAGAGACGCACAAACGAACGGCCGGTCAGTGGAGTCGAACTTGGCATGGTGAGGCAGGGCAGTATAACACTCACATGAAGCCAGCGCCGCCTGTAATCATAATGTTCTTGACATCCGAACGAGGTTCGAATTTGGTTGTGCCTACGAGTACAGGGGCGTGTTTCCATACGTCGTTCTGTCTACCGCGTTCATCTGGCTTGGCTGAGGGAGGATTTGTCAGTTCATGTTTCTCTGATTGGTCTGTATCCTTTTGTTCCTAGATGACGAGAGACCAAGAGGCCGAGGGAAGTGTCTTACCACTGGCGTCACCGTTGACACCTGGTAGATTTGAAGAAGCAGTCATGTTTGCCAGAAAGGCCTTGAGGTCGAGTTGACAGGTTGTGATAAGATAAGATTATACTAGAACCATTGAATTGCAATGGCAGAATAACTTGTCTGCTGATGGAGTACCTTATGCAGACGAAGCAGCGTGCGTCATGAACAACCAGGATTTTAATTGTCGCAAATCAAGCGAAGCACAGCCTATGGGTCATAGGACAGGGGATGGATAGAAAGGTACGGTACTATGCATGAGAGAATGATGAGGTCCTGGGGTTCAATACAAGAAGAACGTATGCATAACAGAATCCAAATTGTAGAATACGGACGACTTTTCTTGTGTAACAAACACCGCGTCGAGGTTTTATTGAAGTGGTAAGCCGCTGAATCAGGTTAAAGGGGCAAATCAAATCACCACATACCTACCTAGTAGACTAAAGAATTCAGTCTTACCTACCTATCTGTACGGAGAGTACATACTTCTTATGGCGGATTCTAGCGTGGTCTGCCCACTGAAGGGATGCAGGTTACAGCCCCTCTAGCCTGTAGCAGAGCCCGTATAACGCCACTCACCCGGAACCTGGTATTGGCTGAGATGTGGCGCCCGTTCCTGGAAAGGAACGTTACGCCACGTCGATAGGTAATCCTATATCGTTTCATAATATTAGGTAGGCTATAGAGTAACAATCTCAGCTACCAATAATAGAATATTCATTGCAAGATGTTTCCGGACTGTTTGCATCGAAAATTTTCTTACTAATATTCAGTGACGACAAGCTCATTTGCCTTAGTACGTTGACACTTCTAAATGTTGAACACACTGAATGTAGCGTAGCATAAGAATGAAACGGTTCAACGTTGTTTTAATTAGGTTACAATATCCGTCGGTGCGACCCGCAGTTACAGACTCTCGTTATTTTAACATAAACTCTATTACACTGTGTAACTCGGTTTGACTTGGCTCTGTTGTGTTGCATTGTCAAATGTCGGTTGAGAAGCATAGATTACAGATATCTCTACCAAAGGTGAAGTAGCCCTGGAAAGCTTTTCGGAATACTCTACAGAATACATTCAATACATAACCTAAATGATGACCTTGGTAGTATACAGCCCGGACCATAGGATGGTCGAGACTTTGACAAATGGTCTTGATGATCAAGTGAATGACACTCCAAAAACAGCTTGACTCTTTTATCTCGACCCCCTAGGTTGAGAGTGCATGGTAGAGATATCCATGCCTATGAACCCCAGTATCGATATATTAGTACCTATCCGCTGTTACTGGGTAGGTACCTAGGTAGCCAGGGCAGAGTAACTTCTAGCGCGGAATGTTGCCAAGTGGATTGCTAACATCCAATACCAATGTTTGTCTAGATAGGTAGGTACACAATCCATTTGTGACTTGAATTGATTGTATCAATAGAGTATTGATCATTGTATATATTCAGACCTAGAACTCGCTGCGGCAGACTTGATCTAATGACCAGTCGGATGGGACAAATAGAAGACACAAAGAACAAGAAGAAAAAACATCACTCATGAGTCTTATTTATACATTATCTCATATCTGGGTTGCCGGAGGATATCTCGGTTCTTGTCGGCTACACGCTTGGCCATATTTCTCGAGTAGCCAGTATCTGTTTAGTCAGATCAGTCCTCTCATAAAGCATGATCTGATAAATCAATGTTTCACCAAGAATGTTGAAAAACAAGTTTTCAAGAACCGAATTATATACCAACGGCCTTAGTGCAGAGTATAGGAGAATCACAAAACAACAATCACAAAGATACTTCGCCAATGACGTATTCATTGTCTCTCTATAGCTACTTTGGTCGGTCCAAGTTCACGAACGCCTGGCGCCACGACTACCACGTCATCTTTAGTAAAACAATTACAGGTTGAACCTCTTGCGATCCTTCTCCATCTTAGCCTTCCACTCCCACTGCGTCGCATCGTCGCCGTCGCTTCCAGCTCTTCCAATGCCCTTGTCGACTCTCCTCAGCTTCAAGGTGAACCGAGGGCCCAGCTCTTGCAGACCGGCACGAATACCTTCCACGCCCTTGATCTCCTTGCCATCAGCGCCGACAATACTCTTCTCTGTCTGTCGCTTTTCACGGAATACGTAACGATGCCGCCTCACAAAGATGTAATCGCGTTGGTTGTGAAGTGTTGTCACTTGGCGGCCTTGGAACTCTGGCCTAGGAGGGAAGAGCGTCATGAAAAGCTTAGCTGTCAGTAGACCCAGAGGGGTCTTGAAGTTATTGAGCAGGAGTTCAGGGTAGTGGTTTGTCGGGTTTCCGTGGCCAGGGAGTTTCTTGCCCTCGATCCAATTGGTGATTGAGAAGTGGAAAGTTGGGCCGGAAGGTAGATGCACAACCGTGAGACCTGTTGGCTTCTTGGAATCCTCGTTAAGAAGAATGACAGCCGTGTATTCACGGTTCGTGGCATACTTGCAAATCTCTCGGAGACTATACTTGTGGCCATATCGATGCGCGGATCTGGGGACATAGGAGCTGTTGGGGAAGAACTCGCAAAGGACGTTGGCTTGCTCGTGCAAAGTAGAGTTCAGCGATGTCGTAACCAGGATCTTTGGCTCTGGGGCGGGGATATCAGTAAAAAGCGAAGGAAACTTGAGGGCGAGTGAGGTGGGCGTCAAGTCAAGGTTTGTGCTTGTTGTAGACGGCGCGACACTACTGTCTCGCTGTGCTCGACGCTCTCTCTTCTTTTCAAGCGCAGCTTGTCGCTCCTCGTCCATCTCTTCATCAGAGGCCAGCATACTGTCGACATCGTCGTCTCTGTCGAGCTCCTCCTCGGCGCGCATGGCTACCTCGTGAGCGGCCTGCTCTGCTGCTTCGGCCTCTTCGATGCGACGGCGCTTCAGCTTCTCGAGATCCACCTGAACACCGAGACTGTCATCATCGATATCATCCCACACTCGTTTCGAGTCGATCGTAGAAGGTTTGCGCTTCGCTAAACGGGCCTCCTTGAGCTCCGGATCCTTGGCTTCCTCCTTTCTGCGCCGGTGTCGTTCCTCATGTTTCTCTTTGTTTTGATGCTTCTTGTACTGGACAAAGAGCTCCTTGCGCTTGAGCTTGTTAGCAGACTTAAGCGCCTGAACAGGCGGTTTCGTGAAGCCCATTTTCGAGTAAATTAGAGTAATTAATGCAATAGCGGCTGGACTGCGAAAACAGACTGAGTCTGGTCTAGGTAGGTAGGAAATAATTTGGCAGAGGGGCATTTCTGTCCGGCAGAAAAGTCCAACTTTTTGGCGGTGAAGTCATGTTTTGTCCAATGATATAGTGCGATTTGATCTCCGCCCCACTAGTCTAGACATTGTCAACTTTCGCAAAAAAAACGACTTGCAACCTCTCGATTTGACCGACGACAAAACCTTGAATGGACACAACCTATTTTGTGTCGTATTCAAGAAAAATTAGCCAAAATGGCCCCAAACGGAACAAAACGAAGAAAGATTGCCCATGCGTCTCAGGATCAAAACGAGTCAAAAAGTGCACAAAAGTCCTTCTTTAAGAACGCCGCGAATTGGAATCTTGAACAAGACTACGAGTCGCGCCCCCGCAAAGGCAAGAAGCAGAAGGAGAGCAACCGACTGCCTATCAAGACAGCAGACGGTCGGATTGAACAAGCCCAAGGACAAGAGGATGACGCAGCTTCGATCGAAAGCGATACAGAATGGCTAGAAGGTCGTGAGGATGAACAAGAGGAACCTGAGGAAGAGGAGATCGAGGAGGAGCCCGAGATCCCTGTGCCTCAGCAGATCCGAGCTGCCCAGGAAGAATTGGCCAAAATCGCCACGCAGATGAATGAGAATCCAGAGGAACATGTTGGCGCATTCAAGGCCCTCGTCAAGATTGGACAATCCAAGATCATCGCCATCCAGATGCTCGCCCTCATGACACAAATGACCGTTTACAAGGATGTCATTCCCGGATACCGAATACGTCCACAGGAGGAGAACGGTCCAAGAGAGAAGCTTTCCAAGGAGGTTCGCACCCTGAGGGGTTATGAGCAGGCACTTGTTTCGGGTTATCAAAATTACATCAAAGAGCTTGCTCGATGCTCCAAGCTTGATGTAAGGGCAGCCAAGGGGGGACCAACTCTAGCCAGTATCGCTATCACATGTGCCTGTACTCTCATCACATCAGTGTCACATTTCAACTTCCGCACAGAGCTACTCAAGATTCTTGTCACCAAGCTCAGTCGACGCAAAGTCAACCAGGACGGTGTCAAGTGTCTGGAAGCTCTTCGGGAGCTCTTCAAAGAGGATGAAGAAGGGCGACCAACTAATGATGCCGTTGCTCTGCTTTCTAAGATGATGAAGGCCCGCGAATTTCAGGTGGACGAGAGTGTTATCAACCTTTTCCTCAGTCTACGTTTGCTATCCGAATTTTCCGGCAAAGCCTCTCAGGATCATGCTGAAAGTACCGAAGGGCCCTTTAAGAAGAAGAAGCGCGAGTTCAGAACCAAACGCTATCGTAAGGAGCTCAAAGAGCAGAAGGCTTTAGACAAGGATATGGCCAACGCCGATGCATCTGTCAGCTACGAGGAGCGCGATCGTATGCAGTCGGAAACTTTGAAGCTCGTCTTCGCCACATATTTCCGCATCCTGAAGCTAAGAATGCCTCATCTTATGGGAGCAGTTCTCGAAGGGTTGGCCAAGTATGCCCATCTTATCAACCAGGACTTCTTTGGTGATCTTCTCGAAGCTCTTAAGGATCTCATCCGCCACAGCGAAGAGGACGCCGAGAAGGGTCCCGGTGGCGAAGAGGACAACGAGGATGAGAACGAGGATGACGATGAAGATGATGACATCCCGGTTCGCAACCTTACTCGCGAAGCTCTCCTCTGCACCGTCACAGCCTTTGCCCTGCTCGAGGGTCAAGATGCTCACAACTCACGTAACGATCTCCACCTCGACCTGTCGTTCTTCACTACCCACCTTTTCAAGTCTCTCCTTACCCTCTCTACAAACCCGGACGTCGAATTGACACGCCCTGCCAACTCAACCAATGCAGCCACCAAGATCAATGTCCAAACAACAACAGTTCTTCTCCTACGTTCGCTGACCGGCATTCTTCTTCCTCCGTGGAACATCAGATCGGTACCGCCTATGCGTCTCGCCGCCTTCTCCAAGCAGCTCATGACGGCCGCACTTCAGCTTCCCGATAAGTCGTGCCAGGCTGTCCTGGTGCTGCTTAGCGATGTGGCGCATACTCATGCCAAAAAGGTCCGAAGTCTATGGGACACCGAAGAGCGTAAGGGAGATGGTCGATATAACCCCGTTAGTGATAGTGTAGAGGGTAGCAACCCTTTCGCAGCGACAGTTTGGGAGGGTGAGCTCTTGAGAAAACATTATTCTCCCAAGGTGAGAGAGGGGGTGAAAATACTGGAGAAGGGGATGTCCGAATAGAGTTTTGAATGAGCAGAAATATACCAGCGCTGTGTTTATGACTTTCATAATACTGCTCACACATCCATGTTACTCCTAAACCGAGAGGGCGTTGGATGTATATCCTTGAAGGCGTGAGATGGTTTGCTTGGCTTCCTTGGAAACCATGCTAGAGTTTTGATAACAACATGCAATAAGTAACAACGAAACGATCCTGGGCTAGTCTTTTCATATTTGACCAAAATCAGACTATAATTTCAATTCTGCATTAATCGTGACCGATTTAATGAAATTCTCTGATCCCCCTATTATCAGTACATGGCCAGTGTCTTTAATGTATCGACCACCCTTTCATAGTTCTTGTGTTTTTTCCACGCCCATATGTGATCCCGGTAACACCTTCTCAATTGGTTTTCTTTCATCAGTGAGGCAACATCCTTTATTTTGCCCACATAGACGACCCTAGCCCCTTCGTTGGCTTGCGCGGCTTTGAAGGGTGGGCAGCCGAGCCGCTGTTGCTTCCCTCAACGCCTCGACCAGGCAAGTTCGGGACGAACGAGTCTGGAACTTGAACGTTCAGAGTCTGTGCCTGGTTGGTATCAGGAGATTTCGGTTCCATGACAAGGCGGCTGCTTGGGGTTCCTGAAATAAGTTGCCCATCAGTAATTTGAATTGGCGTCACTATAATCATTTGTCCAGTTAAGCAAGTGGGACGTGTGAGATTCCCTGCCAAACTTTGGGTCTCCGCTGGCTTGTTTAAGCCATCCATAAGTAGGGTAGCCAATCCATTAGATGGCGCTGGTACAAAACCAGGAGCTTCTGGGCGAAGGCGCGAGTCGTTTATACCCTCGAGTGATAGTTCGTTCTTACCTGGTTGCTGCTGATGTGGGACGGTGCATTCTGCAGTCTCGTCCTGAGCCTGGGAAATTTTCGGAGTGTCGTTCTCTACCTTCCGGGCTTGAGGGACGATATTGGTTGAGACATCTGAGATGTTGGGCTTTGTGCTGTTCTGTCGGGCTCCTGCAGTCTGTGGGAGCTTCATCACAGGTTGTGGCTTGAGTGAAGGTGAGATCTCGGGGATCTTCACCTTGTTGATACCCAGCTGAGCAAATGCAATTTTGGGCTTTGCAGTCTGGAACTCGGTCCCGGTGTGCTTCAACTTCAGTATGTCGTCAGATGAATATCTCAAAAGAACGGTAGTGTTGGACTTCTTTACAGCCTCATCCTTAACCTTGACACTTGTTGTTTCCTGATCGGATTCTTCGTCTGAATCTCCCATAGAGTAGAAGGTGCTTGCCATACTGCTCTTGGGGTTTTCATCCCGTTTGAGAGTCTTTAGTCCCTCGGTAGCGCTTGCCATGGACACTCCGGTAGCAATCGGCTGCTGATGGCTGGTCGAGCCTCGGGAAAGGTCAACATTGCTGCTCGGGGCAGTAACAGCAACAGAAATGGGACCCTTCGATTCTAATGCCGTCTTCTCTATATGACCCTGGATGGGTTCCTTGCCTTTGTCCTCTGCAGTAGGGACCACAACGGGGCTAATAGCCTGGCTGATGGTGACTGGCGCCTTGTTTACTATCCTCATATCAGTCCTGTGCACCACCCGAAACACTTCAGGCTCTGGCTACTAACGTTCTGGGGGTCTGGGGGTCACTTGAGATACTCCGTCTTTGTTGTTCAAGAAATTAAGAGCACCGGCTCCTAGAATAGGTCCTGCACGCTTGGGAAGGTCAGACATAAGAGTGGCCGCGTAGTAGTGGAGACTTGGAGGGAGTACATGAATCTTGCTGGGGGCAGCAGTTGGTGCATGGCGTGAGTTCTGGGAGCTCCCTGATAATGTATTAGTCCACAGATGTGTCAGTCAGATAGTGCAAAGTATATCCTACCTTGTCGCTTCATGGGGAGCGAGTTGCCTTTGCCTTTGGATTTACCACCGTTACCGGCGCCGCTCTGGCCCTTGAACATCCTCTGTAGTTCTTTGGCATCGATTAAACTGCCAGTGTTGGCAAATTTAAGGCCAGACATGGTGGCAAAGATTGGCTTGGCGAACGACAGGATCTCTCGCAGTTAGAAAGGACGAATGAAGTAAGGAGAAGAAATAGACGCAGGAGGCTTCGCCTACCTTAGGTAGTAAGTGCTAAGATGGTTACTAACAATAATGTGAGAATGCCTGGAGAAAGTGAGGTCGGAAGGCGACGTAAAAGATGGAAGGAAACAAAAGTGGCAGAGGAGGGAAGGTGAAGGAAGGAATGGGTGCCTGCCTATTCTACTTACCGACCAACCTGCACCTATCCACAGAAGATAAGAGAGGGAAATAGCAGTGCCGGAAAAGACTGCTTCGCACGCAGATTATGCAACAAGCAGAGAATAGCAGCCGACAGTATTGGATGCCACCGGTTTTAGGGACGCAGCTTTAGCACTGCTTGCCGGTGGTATGCTTTCACTGGCCAGCACCAAGCTTGATTGAGAGTGAATACCATGGCTGCCTAAAGTGCAGCAGGGAAGATGGAAATTTTGTTTATTTATTTATTTCGAGAGAAACTGAGACTAGAAGAGAGGAGTGACAATGGTGGCAGCCCGATACATGACGGCCCAGGCATCGATAGCACAGACTCTGTGTGCGTCTAGGTAACCTCCCTCAACTAACGAGATTGTGTTAGGCTTAATCTTTGTAGATATGATTTGATTGTTTGGACTATGGCATCAAGGCAGCTCGAACCAACCCTGCGGTTTCCAACTTGAGTCTAAGAGAAGACCATTCCCTTTGCCGGATTCTCACAGTTCACAGCCATCTATGGCTGACCTTAACAGCACTATCAAAGAAGTCTCAAGCATGCATACACCCGTGCTAGGTCCTTCTATTCAATCCGTGCACGTTTGGGTCCAACTGTAGTCTCAATAGCGTTGATCTTGGGAGCAAGATACTGTGTGCTTGAAGATGCATTCAGCCATGATGTTTCCACTTTTGCCACTGTCTTCCGAACAAACTCCTGCAACGCCCCGGCTCCAGGAGCATCCTTGACAATGGCTATAGATGACACTCTGGGAACTCCCAAGCAGGCGCTCAGGCGCTCTGAACATGGCTTTGAAAATCCAACCAGGCGAATCTGGCCGTCATCAGGAAGTTGATTTGTTGCAGTCCCAATCATTTGCGGAAAATGGCAGTTGAATGTCGAAGCCTGATTGCCTCGCGCTACGAAAACCATAGAATACAGCCTTTTGGCTTCGTTTTCTATAGAGTTGTTATCCTTGGACGACCAAGACTGGAAATTCCTGGTGATCGAATTGAGTCCGACATCTATATTGGCCTCAATCTCGGGCATTGGCGGCACAGCAGGTTGCTCTAGACCATCCCCTGTCTTCTTGGTTTCTTTCGCCAATTGTGCTGCACGCTTACCCTCTGATCGCTTGCTGTGTGTTTGGCGATGTTGTCCAATGGGGCTCAATAAGCTTTTGCTTGTCAGCAAGGTCTGCTTCGCTCTGATACCGTTTGCCCTTCTATCTGGGACAATGCTTGGACTTTCAAGGGCTACTTCACTTACTCGCACAGGAGCTCCAGTATAGTGTCTTGATCTTCTGCTGAGACATCGGGCCTAGCTCCTTGTTAATACCATCAACATGGATGGCAGAGCTGAACATATGGACCTACCAAGAAACAGTAGAAAAGGGAGTGTCAAGTTGGTGAACAACTCTCTTACGGCCGCCTTGGGTAGCTGAAGCAGACATGATAAATACCCGGCGACGTAGATCAGGCAAGTAAAGTGTGACAGTTGGTTGCACCACTCAGATCAAGTAAAGTTTGATTGGGAAATGGATAGACGTGACAGTGCAGGTTCTAAGCACATTGAGATGCTGAAAAACAAAAGTGCTTTGCTCGGGCTGCTTGGCTTTGCTTGATTGCGATTGCTAGGAGCTATTCGCATGGAAATCTGCATGCATGAGCAATGTGGGTCAGAAGTTTTGAACGGGGGAGTTGCTTCTTTAGCGCCGTATTATATGTCACAAGCCGCAGGTACAAATTCTGATCTAGATAGAATCTACTACTATGTATGTACCTTAGCTGCTTAGTACCTAAAAATGGAAATCGGTATGGAGTGACGATCAACGAGATGCCCAACATTTTAACTTACAGGAATCTTAAACTGTTACAAAATGCAAAGAGGTGTCGGAGATGCTGTGTATTCAAATTAGTACAACGGAGACACTATGCACAATTCTAAAAGAACTTCTATTCTGTTTCATTTTATTAGGTGTCGAGGAGGAGAAAATTGGTTTTATTTTTTAATAAATTCAGCGTAAGATTTTGCTGATGTACCTGAAATGAAGTTTATCACCACATAATTTTGAGAGGTCAGTTACCTACCCTAGGTACGAGACTGGAGGTAAAAAGCCGAGGTGACACAAGTTGATACGGAGTTTTGTCATTTTGCAAATAATGGAATAAAACTAGTATAGTTAGTAGGTGTAACAACTTAGGTATCTATGCCTTTCGGTAAGATATGTATGATTGGGTCTCCAGCTAGCTGCCATCTATATTTGCAGCCATGAAACAATCTAGCCTTCCCTTGGCAAGTCGTCTCTTCCCTCATTTGTTTTGATTGAATGGATGCCGAATGTCTTGATACCAATAGATACCCCCACCAAAAACCGACATGGCTGTCATGACAGCCACGGCAGAGTCCCGACAGAACTTCGGTGCATTGGTTTCCTAGGTTCATGATCTCGTGTACAGAGCTCTCACTCCAGAATATTCAAAATACTTGAGAAACCCCATTAATCTCTCTGGAACTCCTATCCCAACTCATAGGAGTCGGTAGTAATTCAATGCGATTAACTTGTTGCATCGCATGCACTATCCTCACCCCGTCCATGCTCCCTCTTCCTCCAATTTAGGTGCCTACCTGGTAGTCTACCCCGCCCAATACAGGCCCAGGTACAGCTGGAGGCTGACAACCTATGGGTCTCCACTAGAAAGATGGACGGGACGTGTCACTGTCAAACCATTTAAGGCAACCACCAGTCTTGCCTGACCTTTTAAACACTACGACGTCAGAGCCTGCCCACCTAGAAAACCCCCGAAAGTTTTGACACCACTTAAGGTAAGTACCTACCTGACTTTCGTCCTCACTCAGCAACCAGATGTACCTATCTCTCTTATCCTTCCCCACTCGGATTTCTTTTTTGTAGAAACAACTACAGCAACTGCAACTGCAACAGCAGCAGGGCAGGTATATTTCTTCTTTTTCTTCTTTTTCTTCTCTCTCGTAAGCAGGCTGGCTTATTGACAATTTCTTCGACAAGGTAAGGATAGCACCATTCCTGTATTCCACCCTCAATGTTATTTTCATCCATCGTCTATTCCCATTATCCGAGTACTAAGGTATACATTACCTTCGTCGTGCTTTCCCCCTCTTGTTCTACTATTTGCACCCCCAGTGCTCCTGCCGTGGCGGGGTACCCACACTAGCAAACCGCGACCGCGCCCTGCCAATCCATACTCCAGCTCCCCCATATCCTGGTTTGGCTTTCACCTTATCCTCAGATCCATCTCAGAAGCCTTATCCGCTTCATCCACTTACTTCTTATCCATCCCACTTCCAGCCTCGAAGCAAACATTCTTGGGAAACCTTTCATCTGATCTGGTTTTCGACCCCAGAGCCTCTTAATCACCCGCTTCTTCGTCTACAACCCTTCCCCCGCACTAACTCTTTGGCTCTGATTCCCTGTTCGATATTCATCTTGAGCTTGGGAAATCTTGCTGCTCCCCCACTACACCTCACACCTCTATCAAACCCACATGTTAATTTTGTGCAGCTATCGCCGGGGCGTCTCTCGCGACGGTGTGACGTCTCTGTACTTTCACGCCTCGTCCCCGTTGACCTCTCTTCTTCACAATTCCGATGGATCCAACCTCGAGATCCCCCGACCTTCCAGATCGCTCTGCCTCCGCTGAAGCCAGCTCGACCCGGCCGAACCCTTTTGATGACAGCGATATCTCGTCTCGCAAACGCCGGCGTACTTCTCTCTCTGGATCTCCTGCCAATCCCCTCGATACAGTAAATCCCATTCGCGACTCTTCTAGCTCCACCACCCTCGACACCGATTCTGTTATACCTCGACCCTCGGTTGCAGACCCTCCGTCAAACCCCGTTGCGCCTGGAACACCAGAGTCAGGATCTCCCATATGCGAACGTCCGGCAGAACCTCCTTCCAGCATGGTCACCATCAATCTCAGAAATGTAGCTCAGGTATACTCATCTTCAGTGTCTCCTTCTCCCAATGCTGTGGTTCAGCCAGCTGCGATTGGGAATGCGACTGATGCTGCCAACGAGCAGGTTCAAGAGAGTGTGGAAGATTCTGAAGTCGATATGGTTCCAGCTCCTCAAGTTCATGATATCACGCGGCCAAACTCTCCACAGTCAGCGAGTCCGCCTATCGAGGTTATTCCCGTACAATCAGACGAGGATATGCTGTCTGACCAGCATAGTGCTGGCCTTTCCATAATCGAGGATGATCCCACCATGATTGATCCCATTCATGATTTTCCGTTCAATGAGCCTGGCGAGACAATGGAGGGGATGGTAGTACGGCTCACGAACTATCTTGGAACACGTAAGGCATATTTTACTCTTCCTGGAAAACTAGACACTGATCGAGTCTAGAATCTTCAATTGACGCATCGGTCATTCATAAACTGCAGCAATGGCTAAACCGATATCTTGACTACATTAGGAGCGCTGGTCGATCAACGGCCATGGAGTCATGTCGTCTCCATGTCCCTTTTTGGGTGACATTCCCACGCATTGTTCCAGCGATGGCTTTCCGTCGGTAAGTCCATAAATATAGTCAATGTCAAACAGAACTGACTTATCGTAGACCTCCAATTTATGATGACGAAGCTTTGTGGGAAGACAGTAATGCATTTTTCATAGGATTTGCCAAATTATCGGCTTGGTTTGTCAGTCAAGACATCATTTCCGTCAAGGAATTCGTGGTAGAACAAGAGTTACGGGGCCGACAGGTACCCGAACTTTTCTCATCGAACTACCTCCACCATCTTCATTCGATAACCCTACAAATGCGGTTTAGCGATGACCATGCTGACCACTTAGAACATGCACCCTCATGCTTCGTCAGATCCTATCAAGAAAGCACAGGCGGAAGCATTAGCTGTCTTTTACAGCTGGCCAAAAGCTTGGCAGACCTCATACCTACATATCCTCGATTGACGAATGATTTGGCATCGATATGCCAAGTAGCATCAGATATCATGACTGACTCCCTCAATCGCCGTATTCCGGACAATACCTCGACAGCCAGCCAGAAACTCGAGGATGGGTTCGCTTTGTACGAACTAGTTTGTAACATATTGGATGCAATGATCGAGAAAACCCCTACACAGCTCTTCGCTGATAATGTCATCAAGGGCATCTCGGCTTTGTCGGATATGCTCAAGGCAGCACTCAGAGGCGGGCTTCCGGTTGCAAGTCGCCAATTACAAGAGCATCTGGCAGGGTTCCCTACAGTCTCTCGCGATTATGCTGTCGAGGCAATTGCTTTGAAGCGACGTTTTACAACATACATCAAACTCATACGGTCGAGCCAAATGCAACTTCGATTTCAGGGGACTACACAGATGTGCCGAGAACTTGTCGATAACTGGAAGATTCACTCCGACCACACCTATACCGACAGCTTCAGATACATTGAGCATATTGCCGAGTACCTAATCAGATCCGGGTTTATCAACTATTTCTTGGGATCCAACTGCCATCCCGAGATCACTGTTGAAGGCGCCAACATTGTCGGTTTTATAATAGTGACCAAGAAGTATCAAAGGGAGCACATCGACATGATATGGCAAGGGATCACCACAGGAGAGGACCCCCGTACAGTCGATGCCCTGACGCGCATGATCATCAATATTGCCCATCTCTTTGACGCCGACGGCCTTCTGGCTCTTTGCGATAGATTCCAGACACTTCCCGTGGATGCCTTTACGCCCCCTATCCGATTGTTATGGGAGCATGTTATGAAGTTTGTGGCCGACAGACCCTCAGTAGGCCAACCTCTTGGGATTCAGCCTTATAATCTTTGCCTACGGTTACTGAGGGAGTCTTCGATCTCCACATGCGGGTCGCAACTCGCATATCCTGAAATGCAACAAATCGCAACGCATAAACTCCAGGATTTACTAAAATGCGGACCAGACCACGAAGGAAGACAACAATTATACCTTAGCTGTCTTCAAGACATTGCGAACAAGTCAACCACCACCTTAGGCAGCCTCTACTGTCTCTCTATAATGATCCGTTCGAGAGTTGTGGCCACCGAACTACACAAGTTAGTAGAAGAACACGATTTCACAAGGCTTCTGGTGGAAGAATTAGACCATGCCATCAATTCTGGACGAGATATGGGTACTCAGATGGTCCTCGCCTCACCTATTTACCAACCCCGGAGGGATTTTATCGCCATGGTCATACAGTTGGAACCACACACCATCACTCAAGACCTCGGCTTCAAACTTTGGGGCATGCTTGTTGGTCCGCTATCTCTTTCGGTTGAAGACAGACGAGCCGGTTGGGAGATACTGAACAGTCGTAATGGCGGATTCAACTCTGACAACCACCCCAATCACTTTCTTCAGACCTGTTCGTCTCTCTACCTTCCAAGCCTTCCTGCTGAATTTTTCTGTGACGGTGTGCTGGATTTTGTGCGGGCCGAGGTTATGCTTCGCCTCAATGAAAAAACAGACCTTGCCCTTGATGATCGGGAGGCAGTTCGTCAGAGTGGCATTGAACAACTTTGGCGCATAGCTCTTGAAGCTGAAGATGAAGGCTCGGCTGAAAGATCTCTTCAAACCCTCACAAAAGACATCTATATTGAGAGTGAGTATATTGCTTCCGGTCCTGCGCACCGGACGCAGTCGATCCATTTGGCTCTGGTTGATCGATGTTTAAGGGAGCTGAAACATGCTGCGAAGGATATCGAGACGCTTAGCCAGAATCTCAGAGGCAATAATGATGCGGATACGGCACCTGCTACTGCAGAACAGAAGTTACAGGAAAAGGAGAGACGATTCATGCGCTCTTTGAGATTCTTGCAGCACATGTTGGATGCTCATCGCTTAAAGCCAAATTTATCCGCACCTGACATGAGGACCCTGATCTTCGAAGCACCCTATGCGGTTCAGGGGGATTCTGCGGAACTCAAGTATCAATCTTTTGATGGCGATCAGCAGACTGATATTAAGCCACTTGTGATTGGAAAAGGAAACACTGCAGCTTCTTTGCTCGCTAGCCTCCGCGAAGAAACCGGGTTTGAGAACTATCGAGTTTACTATAGAGGCCAGCCTTTTCTACCACGTGAGGCAGACATATGCAAATCTCTAGAAGATCTCCGTGTCCATGATGGTCTCATACTGGTCAGGCGTGAAGAGGCTGGTCCAGCTCTCTCTGATCGGGTTAGACCTGGCGCCTCCTGGCTAGAGATTGAGATATCTGCGCATTTCGACGAGATCTGGGAGTATTTAAGCATGAAGGATGTGATCGCAGAACAAGTGAGTAGATGCTTGACGGTAAATACGATATTGAGCTAATCTTTCCAGATCCTCAGCTTCCTCATCACCTTACCGACAGACGGTCACCTCCCGAAGTGGATCGACAACGGAATAGCGTCGTACAACGATGTTTTCCCTCCGGGCCAGCCTTACAAGTCCCTCTACGCTCTGCACGTCTTGGTCAAGTATACCAACCTTTCCTCCTCTGGTTACGTCAGCATTGATGACAGTATGAACGACACACCTTTGACCTCTTCTGTCACAAACACCAAAGCTCTCGAGACGGCCCTGTCCTTGATCGTGCATGCCATCTCAGACAGGAACATCTTTCAGCAAACATCGATGGTTATGCGATTGAGGCTCACGGCTACTCTACTGCATGCGTTTCGGCAGTTCTACGACAGTATGTGCAAATGCTTTTTTTTTCAACGTGCCATGTCTAATAATGAATGATGTAGGAATCGTCGCTCTAGAACTACCCGCTATCTCGAGTAGCCTGTTCATGCCAGATCCAGGCCGTCTCGTCGAAATACTATCTTATGTTGCAAGCTGTCCTAACAAACTGTCTTCGGTCGCCGTGCCCATCGCTCTTAATATGTGTTTTCGACTAAGCGTCATGGACGGTCAATTTTGGACGAAACTCAGCACGAACCCAGGCTTTGGTGAAGCTCTACAATGTCTTCTACTTACCGATGCTCGTCAGGGTATCAGAGCGTCTGCGATAGCAACGGTTCAAGAGCACTTCAATCTTATGGAGCCTGCAATTTCTTTTTATGATCTAGGCAACACCATTAACATTTTGATAGCAAGATACTTTTGGGTCCTCCTTGAGGACCTCATGATGGAGGCAACTAATTTCCCACATCAGTGCGAAGAACTCTTCCAATTGATCCATTTCATATTGGTAAAGATCAACAAGCACGCACCTGATTTCATAGATATCGCAAAGCTTGCGACTGAAACCAGTCGACTTCTTCTGGAACATACGACAATCGAGGTATGAGATTGCCTTGATCCGTACTACACGAGCACACGAACTAACCCTGCAAATCTATAGACTCTGGAATCATTGCATGTGGAAGATAAGCTAGCAAAAGGTTTAGCGTCGCTTTTGTATTTCTGTCTCCATCTGGACGCGTCTATCGCACTATCTGAAGCACTCCCTAGGTAAGGAACAAGATCCTACTGTGAGCTATCCTGACTGTATATAGGGATCTTGCCATGTCATTGTTTTGGAAGCAGCTGTATCCTCGCAAGTGTCTACCACGTGGAACGCCTGTGCCTAGAGTCGTTCTTAAAGCAGAAACTCGAGCCAAGCTTTGCGAGGTGATACTCCTTCTCGTGAAGCACGACCGAGACAGGATCCAGATGGTCCTGGAAGGGCTTGGCCAACAAGTCCCATTCTATGAAGATGAAGACGGCATGTACTACAACGCAACAGAACCTCACTTACTAATATCTTACATAGATGACCCGTACCTCTACGATTTATCCTACCACTTCGATCGATTCAGGGCACTGCGTTCTTCAAGTGGCTACGCAGGACTGCAGAACTTGTCCAACACTTGCTACCTGAATTCTTTACTGACGCAGCTTTACATGAACACTGGCTTCCGACGGTTCGTGCTCAATTGCCGTATACGCTATGCCGAAACTAGCCAACAGCTCCTTGATAACACCCAGAAACTCTTTGGCCATATGCAGGAGAGCTATCATCGCTGTATCGACCCGTCCAACTTTGTCGGTTCTATCAAGACATATGACGACACTCCGATCGATATCCACAATCAGATGGATGTCGATGAGTTCTATAACCTGCTCTTCGACCGTTGGGAAAACGAGCTTCTTAGCCAAGAGGAAAAGAGAACGATGAAATCGTTCTACGGCGGTCAGCTTGTGCAGCAAGTGAAATCAAAGGAATGTGAACACATTTCGGAGCGGCTGGAGCCCTTTTCCGCAATTCAATGTGATATCAAAGGGAAAAGCACGTTGGAGGAAAGTCTACAGGCGTATGTAGATGGCGAGATCATGGAAGGAGGTAAAGCGAACCCTCTTTTAATTGCAAGTTATATACTGACCAAATAACTAGATAACAAATACAAGTGTTCAACGTGTGATCGCCATGTTGATGCAGTAAAGAGGTATTTGATACCCTCACTAGCTATTTGATGACCAGCTAACAAAATCCCAGAGCCTGCATCAAAGAAGTCCCGGAAAACCTCATCTTCCATTTGAAGAGATTCGACTTCAATCTGCGTACCCTACAACGAAGCAAGATTAACGACTACTTTTCATTCCCCAGTCGAGTTGACATGCGACCATACACCATCGAACATTTGAGCAATCCGGAGAGCGATAGTGAGGAGGACATATTCGAACTGGTCGGTGTCCTTGTTCATTCGGGTACCGCCGAGTCTGGACACTACTACTCCTATATTCGTGAGCGTCCTTCCCCAACAGATCAACCAGGCTGGGTCGAATTCAACGACGACATGGTAGCTCCATTGGACCCAGCGGAACTGGAACATTTAACATTCGGTGGTCCGGACAACCGTTCTCTGCACGACTCAAACGGTCTTGTATTCGATAAGAACTACAGTGCATATATGCTGTTTTATCAGCGAGCTTTGTCTCTTCGTGCTGAACAGGAAACAATGGCGAGTCTCAGTGTTCCCATGCCTCTCCGCGTCGAAGTGCCGGACAAGCTCAAAGATCACACCATGGCCGAGAACACACTGATCCTCCGTCGTCACTGCATCTACGACGAGACTAGCACGAAGTTTGTTCGTCTGTTGTTCAATCACTCATTGGCGTACTGCGACACTGAATGCGAAGCTGATGCTAGCCTGAGTCTTAATGACTTTATGTGCAAGTTTCAGCAGGAACATGGACTCGAGAATATAGCCATACGTACGATGATTGGTCATCTGGACCAAGCTGTTACCAGAACGAAGGATATTCCGGATTTTGATTCATATCAAAAAAGCCTGACGAAGGCTATCGTCTCTTGCCCGTGTTGTGCTTTCGCATTCTACAGCTACTTTGAGGATTATCCCAGCGCACTTCGCATACTACTGCAACGCCATCCGGATCCAGGTGTACGGAACTTTACTTGCAAAGCTTTTATTGCTTCAGTCAAGAAGATATCGGAGACATTTCCTAACGTGTACGATCCGCGGGAACCATATAGTCCGGCGTCCGATTCCGATGGAGACGAAAGCCTTAGTAGATTCGATGTTTCTCCACGTTCTGTTATTGGCGGAGTAATGCTTATTTTCAACCACCTCTGGCAATTCTTTCATGTCAACATTAGGGCCTGGGATGAATACTTCGGGGCAATTCTAGGCTTTGCTGAACTGGGCCATCATGAAACTGGACATGTGTTGGCTGCAGACTTTCTGGAAAGGACCATTCGGATCATCTCAGCCGATCCCTTACAAGAACTTACCGGAGTCTGGGCTAGGATGCTTGCTGGGGTTATTCGACGAAACAACGGTCCAAAACCCCCTTCATACGCATCAATTATCGGACTTGCTCAGCACCTGATAAGCAAGATGAGTGCGGATCTCGGGACTGACTCAATCGAAGAAGATCCAACAGAGCGTCTTACGCAAGCAACCGAGCCATTCAGTTGGACATCGCGTGAGGTAGCACTCATATACAATAGTCTGGATAACGTTTCTTGTACCAGTCTATTTGTTGAGAAACTGCTCGCACTTGATCAGATGCCCAACCTCAGCGACGCCATCATTCGTTACTTAGTACGATTGGACAGCAAAATGGACGACAGGGTCCTAGCAACATTGAAACAGTGCATTCGTGGCGAAACTTCGACACAGGTTATGGATCCATTCCTGCGTGCCGCTGTTCCTTACATCGACAGTACCAACAAGCTGGATAATGCCACGGAAATAGTGCAGCATATATCCACACAGGTGAGGAGCCTCCAGAACACTGAAGGAGTGTATTTTGTACGCTTCTTCAGAGCGGCTGTGAGTCTTGAAAAAGAAGATGAGGGATTTTCTGGGGTAGTTCGCTCTTACAGTCTTGGACAAGTGTCACAATGGGTGCCTTTACTTCTTGCATGGCCTGACCAGCAAGTTCGTCGTGCCACGAAAGACTTTCTTGATTCCGCACTGTTCGATGTCCTGAAGGGGAGTGGTCCGGCCATCGACGTGGGTACTCGTGATAATAACGACGGCATCAAGGAGACAACAAGACAGGTCGGGATCATGTGTCTCGAGTATCTCAAAGATCATCACGTCCGTAGGCGGACTAGTGTCAACAGAGAAGTTGCGACTGGTTTTTTGGAAGTGATCGAACGATGTGGTGCGGCAGTGGATATGGGTTCAAATGAAGCAAGCGACGCAGACAAAAGGTTTCACAGATTGCACGATGGTAAGTGGAATGTGTTGTGCTCAGGAGTTGTGATCAACAAGTGGCTTACAAGTGTGATAGATGTGATCGATCCTTTACGCAAGCTGGTCGTCGATGACATGGAAGACGATGGGTCCGGTATGTTACAGTCGTTCAGCGACTCTGATACAATCATAGCAGACTTGTGGTAGCGGCTGACGTTGGGTTAAAGACTGGGAAGGATCGTGCGAGTCATCTGAACAGATTGATGACATTATTGAAATGAATACTTCAGGAATGAACGAGCTACACGATATGCAGAAGGTATCATGATAGTGAGCACCAAGAAAGAGCTCAGGGTTGCTTTCTGGTGGTGTAGACACAAGCACGCCAGCCGAAACTTGGTCTTCTCTTACTTGTTTGCTATTTCAGCTTTGCGATGTCTAGACTCGAGCGGGATATGAAGTCGCAGGTCAACCAATGGCTGCTTCGGGCTAGATATGAATATTACAGTCAATATGGAGGAAGCGAGTATCTCTGAGACGCAATTTCCTAGCAAGGAGTGGCGATGTACAGTACAATGCGGTCTGAAGGCCATGCAGCGACAACATATTGAATAAAAGTCAGAATATCGCGGGCATGTCTAGATCATGAAGCAATCGTCACGATAATGACGAGTGGCGAATGGCAGGGCCTGCACCTTGGCTGAACGATAAAGAACTGGCTAACCCGTTGATGGTGAGCGCTTTATACATGTATTCTATCTTTAGTGACATGGCTAGAAAATCGGCCAAGACCACAGCCCCGAGGCTACGGTGCCGTTTTGAATATGGGAATTCCCAAGTTTACAAACAATTTCGGGGAAACAAAACAAAACTATAGGTTAGAGTCGGAACTTGATGGAGGAACCGAATACCTATAGTAGCTACATAGTACTCTGTATCCGTATAGTGGGAAATGATGCAGGAACATGGCACGGTAATGGTGTACATGGTTGTTAGAGAGACTGTTTTTAGAACAAGGGATCATCCGTCTCTGCTATATTTCCAAAGATATATGATATGGTTTCATCTCTAAGCATCTTCATTCTTCAACCTGTTCGATCACAGTCTGCACTCTGCAGGTTCGTCGTCAGTCACACTCACACGCATACAGCCACTCAGATGGCGCCTCTGGCCGCCGACAGCCTTCTAAATTAAGTACAGGGCTGACAGCGACCAATCGAGTCTCGTTCCATGAACCCCACCAGTCTCTCGAAATAGTAGCCGAGAGACACTAATGCAAGTTAGCCGCCGATATACTTGCACTAGACCCTTTTTGGTCAATCTTTCCTGTAAATCACTACCGTCCAGTAAAAGGAAGAACACCGCTTGTCCTAAACTGTGATACTCTACTGTGTTTCCCCCCCCTTCGACATCCATATATCATGTCAATGGCTCTGAGGTCTAACTGGTCTCGGCATCATCCCGTTTCATGTTGTCCCGTCTGCCAGGGTCGTCAGGCGGGCCTTGTTGGGAGGCCACCTGAAGAGGAAAAGGTGACTGACTGGAGAGTGAAACATAAACAACTTACCGTTCTTTTTTTAGAGCTGTCCGGGGAAGAATAAGCTCAAGCGGATGGTGTCATGTTCTTTAATACTCCTGTTTGCCATTCATCTTCTCTTTTCTTGAAACTCTTCTTGAGGCAGGATTACAATAACGACGGTTTCACGATATACCAGACCAGGCCTGAGAAGGATACCGCAGCTGCTGTGCAGCTTTTGCTTGATCCAGTTCTTTTGTATTGTATTGTATTCTATTGCTTTTTCTTTTCTAGCCGAGTGTTGCTCGTCCTTCATTTGTTATCCTCTTCACATACCGGGTCAAGCAGGCTGTTTAAGTCGTCCTCTTTACTGAAGCACGACTTCGCCTTTGCACTTTCAAAATGTCGCTCAAGGATCGAATCTCGTCCCCGCTCGAGGCTGGTACCTCTATCCTCGATGCCCACCATCTACCGCCGCACCTAGCACCTGCTCTCGAGCATGCATCTTCTTGTCTTGCTCGAAAGTCTCAGCACATCACCCTTGTTGTCGCTCGTCGAGACTACCAGCTTCCATCCGTCGTTCCGCCCAAGGGTTTATTGACTCCAACGACTCCAACGACCCTATCTCCCGGTTTCCGTCTCAACTTCTCACAGGGTCCCGTTTCTAGGCTCAGGTCCTTGATGAAGAAGGGTTCCTCAGTGTCCCTTCGATCAATAGACTCGCCGCGAAGTGGGCTATCTTCGCCTGGCCAGGTTCCCCCACTTGAAATATCCAGCCCTCGGTTGAAATGGCCTATGTCGCCCTCAACACCCCTGTCTCCTCCTCCCATGACACCTTGTACTGCCTCGTCGACGACTACAGATACCATGAGCTCCATGATGACCGCTTCATCGGGTTTTGGTATGCGGCTCATCCACACCAATGAGCTTAACCCTAGATCTGAAAAGATACTGAACTCGATATTGGCCAAAACAGAAAAGAAGTTTGCCCTTGGGTAAGTGACCAGACTATTAGCGGGCAAGTCTCGACTAACACGCTCTAGACCAGAGTGGCTCTCGGCCGCTGTCAGGCCTTCATCCTGCGGCCTCACAAATCAACTCATTCACAGCTCCATCATTCAAAATGAGGTCCTCTTCTGCTCGGAGGGCCTCACCATTTTATCACTTGACAGATTGTACAGCTTGAAGAGTGCTCTTTCTAGCTACTCAAAGACGAAATCCCCTCTCCGCCTCGAAGACGCCGTCGACGAACTCAGACGCATCATCCTAGCAACCAATGGCACAAAGGTTTCCAAGACGGCTATACTTCGATCGTATGACTGGTTGAGTGTGTCGAACTCCGCCCTGGTCGATTTGGATCGCATGTATCGACGAGCATACGGAGGACCGGAACAGCACGGGGGAATTTCAGGCCTTACGAGCTTCGTCGAACCAGCTATCAAGCCCATCAGCGATTCTCAGGAACGGCATATAGAGGAAGAGGCGGACGAGGTCACGACTAACGTAGCAGCGTCTAAAGGGAAAACACCATCGCCGAAGCCTTTGCTCAAGCTACAGACGAATTTCACTCCCGGGCCTCTTCTTAGGCCAAAACCAAAGAAATTAGAGGCTTCAGCCCAAGTGCCAGCTCAAGTCGAAGTTAGGGAAGAGGAAGATGGAGATCGGACAGCACGACCGACGGACCAGTTGTATTTCACCATGCAGCAGTGGGAGCCGCCCTCAACGATAGATCAGGTCCTAACTGCAGGACCAGTGAATCGAAGTGCCTTCAGTCCTCTCACACCAACCCCTATCATGAGTCCAGGGTCAACTAAATTCGGTCCTATGACACCGCACGAGTATGATGATATATCCCCGACAACACGGGGAGAATGGGGGTTCATGTTGGCGGACAATGCCTTCCAAAGTGGTCGCAAAGTTGGAGTCGAGACATTTTGATACCTTTCGCTTGTTTTACTTTGGTTTCTCAGATCGGAGTTGGATTGCATGGCGAGCGATTTGCCTTTTGAGACAACCCCTTTGGTTCAAGCATGTTTATGCTTAAATGACTCTGTATTTTTGGTTAGATACTTGAATAGGCATAGACGGCGCATAAGACGAATATATGTAGACTGAAAATTGGATAGGAAAATGGAATATTCTTGCATGTCGTGTATAACATTGGGTATCATTATTATCGTCGTCACCATCCATATTTGCCTGCTGCCTCCTTTCGGTTACTCCTCCCCTTGGCGAAGCTGTCCTCGAGGGCATCGCGCTGGCTTTGTACATTCTGCACCAACTGCTGCAGGCTATGTTTACCACCTCCCTGTATCGCCCGCACAGGATTGTGGGTTTGCTCTTCTCCTGCGGCTCGAATCTCCTCATTATGTCTATATTCTTGGTCCATATTGAAGTTGATGACCTTCTTGGCTGCTTGGTTACCGAGACCACCACGACCAAAGAGTTCCCGTCGTTGGGCTGGTGTTAGGTTGAGGTCTTCAACGACAGTATCCAAGGATTCAGATCCCGGCAGGGTAGTTGCCGACGGGCCAGCTTGTGCATGGCTGGCGTAGTCTCCATAGGCTTCCTCATCGTAGCCTAATGAGCTTTGCGCCGTCGCAAACATGGGCTCGTAGCCACCAGTAGAGGTCTTCGTTGTAGACTCTGGTGATTCTTCTGTGTGCATAGAGAAGAGGGAAACCTTCTTTGGGACTGCTGCTGGCGCAACTGCCGGCGCCCCAGCCACTTTGGTTTGTTTCAGCCCGGCCTGCTCATGCTGGGGCGCTGATGTTGGTTTCGCCAGTCCGGAGTTGAGCTTTTTCTTCTTCTGCGGGTTTCTCGCTACTGACAAAGGCTTAAACATCAAGGGCTTGCCGACAAGTTTGACCTCTCCCGCGGGCTTCTGTCCTTCAGGGATGTAGGGCTGCGCAGCCTTTGGTGGCGGCAAACTCATACCCTCCAAAGCATTGTCGTTTGCCCTATCCTGGTCTTCCCCTGCCTCTCGAGTAAATCCTGGCGCAGCACTTGTCTTGAATTGGAAAACTGGCCTTGTCGATGAACTGCTCGACGCTGCAGGTTTGGGTATGTTGGCATTTTTGGGCGCTGGAAGAAACGAGTTGAACCCAGAGAATCTGCCACTGCCGCTACCTCCGCCAATTTCTATCTTCTTCTCCGCGGGTTCTGGAATCTGCGCCTTATCGTTTGAGAGTTGAGGAAGGCTGACCACGATCTTGCCTGGGTTGGATCGATCGACAACCTTTTGGAAAGGTTTCTTGGATGATACGGTTTGTTTAGGGACGGGTTTGACGGGAGCTTGAACTTCATCTTCAGAGCCTGAGCCTTCGGAGTCAGAATAGTCGACGAGACCCATTGCGCTCGGTTCAGTAGTTAATTATCGGATGATGGAAAAAAAAGAAAGATGAAGGATGCCAAAGAATCGCGAACTTGAGTGTCGCGATATGAAGTTCAGAGGCTCCACTTCTGTCTCGTCTATGAATGGCCTGTGCTTGTGCTTGCCTTCCGACTAGCTACGTACCTACCTACCTACCTATGGCTCTGAACTTCCAACCCCACTGCTTCCAGTTGTCGCAAACCTACATACATACCTACTCTACTACCTGTACTTATCTGCTGCAGTAGGCAACACAATGATAGATACGATATCTATCTAATACCTCCTTTATTCTACCATCAGCGGCTCGGGTTGTGATAAATATGTGAGAGAGGCAAGCCACTTACTTTCGACTTGATTCAACAACCTCCGTGGTACAGTCGCGCCTATCAAAGCTGCCACCATGTCAGTCATTCAACTAGAAGAGTGTGTACCGATCGCATATCAAGTATCTTGCCATATCTAAACTAATCTTCTCCAGACTCGTCTCTTATCAACTACGTACCAGTTATCTCGACGAAATTGCCGACGGCGTAGGAGAGCGACTACTTAACGTTAATGATGGCTTCATAAACTCAGCTCCTTTCAAGGCTGCTGGCTGGCGGCCAAACTCCTCACACCATAAGAGGACGCACTCGCCTCCAATTCCTACTGCAATTGCTTCTGAATACTTCCAGGCGCCAAAGCAAGCCGGACTCACACTCGAGGATGGAGAGGAGGATGGCGGCATGCTCACGGCGGCCGGGTCAGACACTATGGGCCCGGGAATGGCTACGAGGCGACGCAGGCGTCGCGAGCAGATGGAAGAGGAGGATAGCAGCGATTTGAGCGACGAAAGTGACGATGATACAGACCAGAGGGCTGCACAGCAGATCAAGTTCGCAAAGATGCCGGTTAGAAACAGAGCAGGCTCGTCACCACTGCAAAACACCAACCTTCGTCAAGTCGGTGCTGTTTCACCAAGAGCCCCTCGCCGAGGCTCACAGTCAGCTTTAGGGACAGTCCAGGAGAGGCCACGTAGGGACACGGTCACAAGTAGCGAGATATCATCCGAAAATGAGACCGATATTCCTACGGTCCAGCGTCATCGAGAGGCCGCACGCGCTGCAGCGAGAGCTGCAAAGCTTCAGGCCAGGATTCTGGAGGAACCCTCACCCGGCATCCAGCGAGCAGATACATCCCTCCTTCCGGAAGAAGAAGAGGACTCTGATGAGGCTTCAGACATGTCTGACGATTATGCCGAGAGTATAGACTCGGCATCGATTCTCGACGGTGTTGAGAACGCCATTAACGCATCGCCTACTCGTCAGGTCGTGGGGACACCACCAAAGAATTTTGTGCGACAGTCTACAATTCGCAAATCGAAGCCATCGACACATCCCATCGTTCTTGGAACTCTACCTCCTCCTAGGCCAATGAGTATGATTCGACCCTTGAGTGTTGCCCAACCGAAGAGTTTGCTCTCAGCCGCTCTTAAAGCCAAGGATAAGAAGTCATCCATTCCTTTTCAAAAGTTTGCACATTTCAGCGGACAGGGTACCCAGGGATCTATTGCCGTGCGTATATATGCCCCTTTCTCAAAAATGCCAAGCAAGCCATTCCAGGTCCTCATCCGGCCACGCGTCCACGATGGACAAGGCGCCGAGAGGGTGGTGACAGTAGCAGACCTCATCGGTCTGAGTCTGTACCGATACAATGAGGAGAAACTGGAACCCCCTTTGCCCAAGGGAAAACTTAATATCAACTGGTGGACTCTACGTATGGTTGAAGAAGGTGGTGAAGTCGATGATGACTTCCCCCCCTTTGAGAGGACTAAACCTCTGATGTCTTTCACTACGGTGAACAATGCTGCGGCTCGAGGTGGAGGGCGCATGCGATCAAATTCAACCGCCTACGACGACTTCGCACTGGCAGAGGCTTCAGAAGACGAGTATCATGAGAACAAATCGCTGACGCCTCAAGAGGACGAGGAAGAGGAGCCAGTGACCTCACAGGATAGCAGTGGCGGCGTATCCCTTGATTCCACACAGCCAGACGAGGACGCAACTCCTCGGGGCACTCCAGGGCCAAGTGTTAACTCAGTTCTTTCCAACCGGCCACGGCAAAATCCCATCGTTACAACAACCTATCGATCGAATGCTCCTCCAGCAGACATGCCACAAGCACCTGCTGCGGTACCCAACACGTCCCGAGGGCAGCAGAAGCTACTCCGAGTTCATATCATGTCCTCAGACCTCGCACCAGGCCAGATGGTAACACTTGATGTTATGACAGACACTTACTTGGCAGAGGTTCTGGACGTAGTCTGCCGGAAGAGACAGCTAGACAAAGCCAACCATGTCCTCAAACTACCCAGTTCGGGGGCAGTCGTCATGTTGGATCGGCCTGTATCTTCCATTGGAAATGTCTCGGACCTCGAGTTGTACCGAAGACGATTCGCAACAGATGGCCCGTTAACCATGACCGGGTCGCCGAGCAGTTCGTCGCCAAAGACTTTGCCACTAGCTGAGCAAGCCATGCAGAAGCGCAAGAAGTCGCAAACACCAATGGTTGGTAGTCATCCATTGGCACGTGAGTCAATGAAGCAGGATGAGCTCAGCAATGCCAGCTATAAGAAATACACCGTCTGGCGGAAACAGCCAATGCGCATCGTAGGTATGAGCGAGCGCATCCTGGTGATAGACGGTGAGTATATACACATCATGCCAGCGTCTGGTGGTAAGGCGTTGCACGACGGTTCAGGCAAAACAACAACGGTGCACTTCAGCAACGTAGTTGGATGCAAAGTACTTCGAAAGCATCCGACAAACGTCAAGGTGAGTTCACTTTTCGAGATTCATGATCAAGTTCAGGACTAAATATGCCCAAAAAAAACAGCTTGTTGTATACAAAGCTACGGAAAGCAAACGATACGATTTTGAAGCCCGCAGTGCGCTGGAGGCGGCCGAGATCGTGGAGGAACTCAAGAAAGGCATGTTCAAATGAATTATCTTGATTCTGGAATTACCTCCAATATTTGGCACAGATATGTGCAATTTTCTCTGGAAAGTGACTGGATATAAAGAAAAAAGGAAAATCTACAATATGGGCATTTGAGATTTGCATAATCGTATTTCGCATTTCCTTTGCAGTGTGCACTGTGCACACCGCACACGGTTAGTACTGTCGGTTTGCAGTAGTTGCGAGCTTGTCCATTGCTTGTCTTGCTAGCGGAGGGACCCCTTTCGTCACAATGAAGAGAAAGAGAAAGAGAACGAGACAAGCCTGGAGGCTCGATCAGCCCACTATTATGCATCGCATCTCGATGAGAAGGAAAACTTTTTGGATTGATCAAATTCTGTGCTTGGTATGGGCTTGGCAAGCATTGGTCAAAACAGTCAAGCAAGGCAGGTTTATGCTGAAATGGCGATCCAAGGTGCCAAGCCGGGGTTATGGCAATGAAATATTATGGAAGCACGGAGAGAAATGGAGTCAGAGTGGAACACCTAGGGGCGTGTGTGGCGTTGAGGCCAAGACGGACACGACCAGCCAAGCAAGTACTGTACTGTACGTATCCGTACACATCCATTCATACCTACAGTACATACGAGTGTTGTACGTAGATATTGCGCTGTGAGGGCCATACATGATGATTTCAAACAATGATCCTAGTATGAGTTAATGAGCTGGCCATGCTGCAGATACTTTTCGACCTACTGTACTATACCTACTGTACTTCACCACATTGTTGAAGATTCTTTCCGTCCGTTGCTGGCTGCTTGTCAGCTTGTGTTCAGAAATGGTTGATCCTGAAGGACTGCAATAACAAGGTCCAACGCCAAGGGAGGCAATGTAAGGTAGGGAACCGTCCTGTATCCGTACCGTTGGCTAGCTCAACAAGCTAGAGTAACGAATCTGCGCTTAGGTTGTTATTAGGTTGTGTAGGTTGTGTCGCGTGCCGCGCGTTCAGGGACTCTCGCAGTTTACTGTCTCGCTCAGGTCAGGTACTAGAGACAAGAAAAAGAAAAGAAGCTTAGTACTGTAGGTTAGTAGTCTGCAACCGAGATCGGGATTGGCAAGTAATTCCCAAAAACGACTTCCTGGGCGTTCTGATATTTCGTTTAATATATTGACTCTTGAATTCCTCAAGGGTAGTAGTACTGTACTGTACAATACAGCACGATGCTGACAAGGCTCAGACAAAAGGATGGACTTGGTCCCTTGTCATCGGCAATTCCCACTGTTGCATTGCTGTACATCAGTCGATCCTCACTCTCTCCCTCTCTTTCTAGTCGGCCAACGCACACTGTCGGCGGGTGGTCTGTACTCAGTATCCAGGCGTTGGCACTACTTTTGGTTTAACTTTTCAGCTTGAGTAGATCTTTGTTCCTAGGTTGAGAGCCCCCCAGAGAGGGGGGACATAAGGTTTTCTCTCCAGGACATGGTTCAGTCCAAGGTCTTTTGTGTATATGTCTATTGTTTCATATGGGTGAATGTACAACGTTACGGCACCCACGATTACATTAAAATGCTCCTGTAAATCTTGGAATGGGTTTGTTTCGTTGGTAATTGTGCTGTAAATAACGTCGAGCATCTGCAAAGTACACGAGCGACTGCTGTGTGCATCTTTTGTGAAACTTATACGTCGTCCATGTCTCTACAACTCCAGGCAGGGCTGAAGTGTTAATGACTATGGACGGGTAGGCTGTTGGATAATTTGCTAGGAATGGAACCCTAGCAGGTAGTAGTCTGGGGAACAGTTAATACAGGACTGCAATGGAAGTTTCCAGGGGCTGTACTACCAGCCCAGCCTATAAGAGAGTCCTGACATTCAATTGGATGGATCCTGGCAAGGCTCATGGACCTCACTCACGCTTTGATCCAGTGAAGCACAGGCAGTGCATACAGTACCTTACTGGGCATTAATAGCCCGTCAGCAGCAGGGTAGGTACTGCCTAGGTAGGTACCTAGTCTATGCTGTCCGGAGTAGGAACCGGAGCAAGAACGAAAGGCAGGAAGAGCAAGGGCCGCTATTGCCTGCAAACAAAAATATGGGTCTTTCTTCCTTCCTTCCTACTCCACTGTGACGCAAATAGTCAGCCGGAATTACGTGAAAGGAATGATCAACTTAAGTTCTGGCAGGAACAATAATTAGAGATAGGTACAGACAGTACATATGGAAGTCAGCACAGCAGCACCATCCATGGAACGAGTGAACAGGGCAGGAAAGCGAAAAGGATCAGACCCGACGCTTGTTGCCAGAGCGAAGATCTCACCTTACAGCAACTTATTATTACCTAGGTAGGCACCTACCTTAGTATGTATCCGTACCTCTCAGACGTTTAATGTATGTAGGTCTTTCGCTGACTAAAGCGCTACGTCTTTCCCTCTTTGGTAACTCAGCTCACTTTCTTGGGTTAGTAGTCGTGGCTGTGGAAAACCGGGAGCAAGAGCAAGTGGCTGACTTTAACCCCACAATTGCAACATAACGTCAGAACAAGTTTCCATGTTCTTCAATCCTTGTCAAAAAGTTCGTTTTCGACCGACTCGTCTCGTCTGACTTGAACATCTTGCTTCCAGGGGTACTACTAATCGATTCTGTTTACAACACCCTTGTCCACACAACTGTACAATAGGTAATTTCCTACCTAGGTAGATGCAAAGACTCAGATGCCTCTTAAACGTGCAGAGTTAGAGCACGTTGGTTCAGCTAGGCTACAGTACATACAGGACAGTACAATACCTAGTCTGGCCGGCAGACTCAACTACGGCCACGCCTGTCACAGCATAGTGCATACATACCTAGGTAGGTAGTATGCACGGAATCGTGATGAATGATGATGATTTATGGCCACTGAAAGACAGGGTACAGTACTGTACTGTATGCTTGGCAGCCAAGCAATACCATACCGACACGGTTCCTGACTTTTAGCTCTTGGTTCTTCATTTCGATATCATCTCCTACTCAATTACCGGTTTTTCTGATATAGAGACAAGAGGTCGGCAGTGAACCCCTGATTGCGGAATCTTATGCAGGTACTCGCGAACTTGAATCTCTCAAAGACGTCACTTGATGAATTGTCGTCTAGCTTCGCTTCTGAATGAACGAATTCGGTAGCTGGGCAACTGCTCCCAACCCAACCTGGGTCTTATGCTCTACTCCAAATACGGATACCAGACCAGGGTATATCGCACACCGACCGATGCTCTTTGTTGGGGGTTCAATGCATGCCGCGTGGGCTTGAGGCTCAGTTTCACAAGGATACAATAACTCGCTGTCAAAATTGGTAGGCTGGCTGAGCCCAGCTTTGCTAACATACCTACACCTAGCTGATGCTGTTTATTTCCGGAGTCATGTGTACTTTACAGTACATAGGGTGAGCTGAAACAGAGGATCCCCTCTTCGGCACTGCCTTGCATAAGCTATGGCGCAGCTGAGGACATCACACGTATGCACTGGACTCTGCCGTACTGTACTCTACTAAGAACATCATAGCTATTGCTACCCGAGCGTTTACTCTGCAACGCAGCCTAGAGCTCAGAGTCGTTTGCAGTTGAGCACAGTATATGGTGTCCAGTCAGTACAGTAGGTACTGTTGGTTGCGGTCTCAATGACTGACTGACATCAGTCGAGTGTCAGAAACATGCCTAGGCCAAGTTGTCTGGGGCACGGACATGCATACTTGGGATTCAGGTACGGCTCAAGTCCGCTGGCAGTACGGTAGAGTACGTTACTGTACGCCGTACCCGATCTATGGCCTAGTTACGGATAGACGTGCCTCCACTGCTCCAACATGCGAATCGCCCAGCCCCGGGCTAAGGACGGGCAGTCCGGGGTGAAGAGGCGTGCACATAGAATCATGGTCCAAGGTGTGTAGTTGAACTGCATGGCATGGGTAGCCATCTGTGTACATAAACGTCCTGACCTCCAGCCATAACTCTACTCTTCTTTTCCTCTCTTCTTTCATCCATCAATTCATCATTGCATTCTGAATTCAGACCAGACTTGTCAAATCTCAATCAACACTCTTTTCGCTATCAACTCAACCTCACCAACACCACCGACATAATGAAGTACTCCGCTGTCGCTCTCCTTGCTGCCCTGACTGCCTACGCTCAGGTATGATCAACTCATTGTACAAGTTAATGGACTTGTTTTCTAACTAACAAACAATAGGCCCAGTCTGTCGATATCCCTGGCGCTGACGATGTTTCTTCTATCATCGGCGACGTCTCTTCCCGTATTGACGACGCTTCCTCCATCGTCGAGGATGTTTCCACCCGAGTTGAAGGCGAGGTCTCTTCTCGCATCAGCGATGTCACTGGTGCTACCACCACTATGACCGACGCTTCTACCGTTACCGAGTCCTCTGGAACCGCTTCTGCTGAGACCGAGAGCGAGACTGGATCCGAGACCGTCGACACCAGCGCTCTCGCCAGCGTTACCTCGGCCCTTGCCGAGGCCTCCGAGTCTGTCCAGGACAAGCTCGACTCCCTCAGCTCCGCCGCCGAGACTGCCACTGGTACCGCCAGCGAGGCTATTGAGGATCAGATCGCCTCTCTCACCTCCAAGGCTGGTGCTATCGAGAGCAGTGCTGGTGCCGCTGCCAGCAGCGCTACTGACGACAATGCCGGTGCCATGCCCACCGCTGCTGTCGCTATGGGTGCTCTCATGGGTGGTGCTGCTCTCTTCGTCAACATGTAAAATGGTTTTTGTACAGTACGGCAGGATATACAGCAATTAATGAAACGCACACGGTCAAATCTTTAACCATTATTTTAAATTCAAGCACACGGGTTCTGAGTCATTCATCTTGATTCAGCGTTGTCAAAGAATTGCAAATCGCGGGATTCATCACTTGGACTAGTTCAAAGTCACAGACCTACTATTAGCACGATTAATACGAGATGAAGCATGAATGCTTGATAGGGCTCACATCTCACGCGATCCTGTTTGGCGTCTCCCTTTGATGTAGGTGTGAACTGATGCTAGCATGGGCCAACAATTTACACGGCGTAAAACCAAGCTTATGTCTTACTCTAATCCTTCCAGGGATGGCATGGATTGTGTGGTCGGTTCGAGCCAAGGATGTGAAGCGTCGTAAGCTACATATTCAAATCATGTTGTGGTTGACGGTTGTATGAATGGTTCTGATGTCACTTGATGATTCACGCCGGCGATAAAGCCTTCACTATCCGTACACTCTCTCATCATTAGCACAGTTTCGAAGGGGAAGATCAGCAAATACATATGAGACAGGTAAGTAGTGATTCAAGCTAAGCAAAGAGGTGGCCATTCACTATCCGACCCCCATTCCCACTGAGAGGGATATGCACAAGTATCTGCAGTGGCCAAGTCTATGCAGACCAATCCTCCAATTAGTCCTTTTTCGGTCAATCTGCTGGAATCACTTTTCCGTTGTTTCGGCCTCCCTTAGGGGTCAATCAGCCGTTGTTTCACTCCAGCTCGCCATTGATGAATCCTTAGGGGACTTGTAGACAGTACGGTGACCATCATAAAAGATTCCATGAAATCCTTCACGTGCTATAATGTCTCCAAGATCGGACTCTACAACACAGCTGTTGGTAGGTTCATGAAGATCGTGCAAGGTTATTAGAGACCAAGAAGGCTAGAACCGCTATCCAAAATATCCATCGTCAAGAAGCAAGTCAGGACTCATCAATAGTAAGTTTCTCTTTCGTATATATATAATTCAATGCTTCAACTGAGATGAGCCTACCTCTCGACCTGCCCTGGAGGGGTCAGCCTTCAGTCGTATAATTCGAATAGACAACCACTCCCGATCAGCTGGATTACATATGTTATCGATTGTCATGTTTGGACTCCTAACTTGTACGTCTCCAACGGCTCTCTAGAAGTGTAGATGATAGATAGATAGAAAAACTCAAGTAAGAGGAATGTTCGTGATTACCGTGCTGTGCAGAGCGAAGCTGTCACCGGATCATGAAAAGATGGCATCCTATATTTCTTATCATTATGTTTATCCTTTCGGTATCAACCTGAATAAACTTGTGTAAGGTCGGCTTAATGATATGATATTTCTTTCTCTTCCTCCTGCATAAGCTTGTCTTGACCCACGGTCATCTTTCTCTTCGGCGCAACATGGATGATGGATAGCCTTCTTCTCATGAAACTGCGTTCAGTGATAACCAGCTTCATATCCACTCGTGATGCTTGGGGTCTCATGGAAATTCAGCTAAAGTAGGTATTTACATTACGTCCTCGGACGACTGTCCGTCCAGAGCTTATCAATGATTTGGAATACGGCGGTTACGCCCTTCATGGTAGCACTGTCCACCTCTCCTCCCAGTTTTTGTTGGATCTTGTCCGGATGCCATCGTACACGCTCTTCCCGGAGCTTAGCTACGAAGGCCTTCTCCCCGATATCTTGTGGATTCAATCCATTGACAAAGAACTTGCGCACTGTCGCCTCTTCAATGTCTTCCAGCTGACCGCCTTCCACTGGCCAAGCTATCGTTACAGGTGTGCCGTCCCATTCTGTCCAAGCGGTTGTGTAGTCTTCCCATCGCTGTGCCCAGCGTCGACGTTCTCTACGCTCTTCGCCACGACGTATGCTCCGGTCCATGTCCTCTTGCAGTTTCTGCGCGTGGCGATCCTCTTCAGCTTTGCGTTTCTTTGCTTCCTCACGACGAGCGCGCTCTTCAAGCAGACCAGCGTGCGTCTTTTCCCACATTTTCTGCCTTACATAGGCTGCATACTCTTCATCGGTCATCTGCTCTAGGTGTCCTGTAGGTCCTACACGCTCGTTGGAATAAACGTGGACGGGTTGGCCATATACGCCCTCCCAATATGCGGCACCTTCATCGTCGGCCATGGCATCAAATAGGGATTCTCGAAACGCCGCTTCAGGGTCTAAAGGCTCCGGTTCATGAGGGTTTTGTGGTGTAGGTGAGCGATGTTGTCGACGGTGTCGGTGGTGACGGCGACGCGATCGCCTGTAGTCCTCCTCCTCCTCCGCGTTATCTTGGTCATGATCTCGATGCCGATGTCGACGCTGGTCTCGTGAGCTGCGACAGGATCTCTGACGATCCTTCAGCCGAAGACGGGAACGCCTTGGAGCTGTGGTATCCTTCCCGCCATCGCTGAGATGGGCGCTGGCGCTCTCTGTTTCTAGTGTCGCATCAAGCGAGGACTCTCTCCTGACGTCAACTGGGGACCGGAGGTTTGGTGACTGACTCCTCCTCCTCCTGCTGCTTCGAGGTTTCTCTGGGTTGATAGAGGAGAGAATGTGACGTCTTCGGGGTGACTGCTCAGTTTCGCCCATCATGCGAGGGCCGTATGGTTCGACGGCATCGAGCCCCAGAAGCTCCTGGGCTTCGCTTGTAAGTTAAGAGCGGGAGTGGAGAATGTAAGTTGAAGTTTCAATGGTGGGGTTGAGGTGAAGACAAGTAGTTTGAGAGACTAACGCAGCAATATCATCCATGTTAGTACAGTACTTACCAAACAAAACTAGCAATACATTAATAAGAAGTCATCCTATAATGGTAGATAGAAACCTCTTTTGCGTGTGAAGTTTATCATTTTGTTACACATCTGAAAAGTTGCGGGATGCATGTAAGTATAGGGTAGGCAAAGAAAGAGTCAATAGCACTGTACTTGCTTCCAAGTTGGTTGAGTACCTACCTACGTAGGTACATAATCATATGTCATATGGTTAAATTGTACCTTGATGAGGCAGCCACGATAAGTCAATCATCAACATACCATTGAAGTTACCACTGTCGTTCATACCAAAAGAAGGAGGAAAATGGAACCAACATTAGATGTAAAGGTAGAAAGGTTGATATGTAGTATATGACAGCCTCTCCGGATTCAACAAAAACATCATCACGGCCTCGGACTAATCTTGTTATTAATCAATAAAGACGAATTGATGCTATTAACCCCTGAATTACTTCCATGGTTCCAATGAATGTCAGGTCTTCATGAATATGTATAAGGTTCCATGCCGGTTCTTTAGGGGGAATTTCAAGGGTCTAAAATGCCCCGCAGTGACCAATCGACAGCTAACAGATTGTTGCAGGGCTCCATGGTTCGGGCAGGTTCAGCGCTGAGACTACCTACCTAGTACTAGCTGCCCAGCCCCAGGCTCCAATGGATTGGATGTCTATCAATCCAACTTCTGATGGGCGAGGCCAGATAAAATTGTTCCTCAACGCCTAACCTCTGGACTACGTCGCCGCCCTTGCATCGCCCGTCCCTCGCCGTTGATATCTAACACTGTTCCCTTGATCAGCGCATACAGGAATACGCTCCGAGGGACTCACTGGCAGTCGCATCATGCGTAAATAGCTATTACCATCGTCATCTTCTTTCTTCCTTCTCTTTTCGCATCAACCTTGTTAATCTTTTGCGCATCCTCATTCGACCTCGATCTCGACCTCGACTGACATAACATCTACAATGGGAGGAATCCTTCTTCTTCTGGGCCTATGTGTAAGTGTCACCCACATGTTCCCCTATAATATCGATACTGACATTGAATGAAGCTGGTCATGGCTCTGGCGTACGTGCGATCATGACACCAACCCATATGTCTCGTTCATCAGCCGCTGACTTGTTGAACAGATCGTTCCTTGCTGGAGCGCTGCCATTGTCCATGTCACTTTCCCAGTCACAACTTCGACTCCTATCAAGTGTTGGCGTAGGAATACTGGTCGGCACTTCACTCATTGTCATCATTCCCGAAGGAATCGAAGCCGCGACCTCACCCGCAGAGGCCGCTCACATACATCGTGTGAGAACCCTGGTGCGCCGGAGCCCCTGGAGCCATCCTCTCCCCACACGCGACCTTCCCGAATCAATCGTTACGATCAGCACAGGCTCGATTCAAAAGCGCGACAAGGAATTGGATGTTGAAGCGATTGTTCGTCAAGTTGTGCATTCAGCTGCTGGAAATGCCCGAGTCAAACGCGTGGATGTTCACGCAGATGTCGAGGCCGCAGCTGATGTTCCAGCGATACCAACGGCCGACGATGCCACAAAAGATGTTGCTAAGGGCTCAGATAAGACAGAGACCGGACAGGAAAGCGGGCACAGTCACGAGGAGAACCACGGAGCGGAACACGATCACGAACATGCGCATGCGGTCCCTACGTTTGAGATCGGCTTCTCCCTGATGTTAGGGTTCTTGCTGATGTTCCTTATTGATCGCCTGCCCCGTCATGCAACTGAGAGCCTTCATTCTGCGCCACAGACACGCCATATCAGCCTTGACAACCTCAACAGTGATTCTGCTTCCGTTGATGAGGAAGCAGATGGGTTCTTGGGATCCCTGACACCAACACCACGACGAGCGCGAAGTTTGGCAACGACCACGGGCCTGGTAATACACGCCGCAGCCGACGGAATCGCCATGGGTGCTTCCTCAACCACCTCGGACATGAAACTTGGCTTCATCATCTTTGCAGCCATTATGATCCACAAAGCCCCTGCTGCCTTTGGCCTAACCTCTCTTCTCCTCAAGCAGGGCCTATCAAAGCGAGCTGCCAGAGGGCATCTCATTGTCTTCAGTTTGGCTGCTCCTTTCGGGGCGATTACAACATGGTCCTTGATCACTCTCCTGGGCGGTGGTAAGGTTGAGGGTGATCACTGGTGGACGGGCATGCTACTTCTTTTTTCTGGTGGTACATTCTTGTGAGTCTTTAAATAATCCATGAAATGTGCTTTCGCTAACGGTGTGCAGATATGTCGCAATGCATGCCATGCAAGAAGACAGCGGTTCCCACCAACACGATCATGGCCTCAATGGCTATGCAGATAGTAGCGCTACGACTCAGCGAAAGACCAAGGGCCCGCAGATGCGGGATACCCTGGCCACTATGGGCGGCATGCTGGTGCCGCTTCTCACGCAGTTTGGCCATCATCATTAAGTCAGGCCTACTGTAGATTCTTGAATCATCCCAGACTCTTGGTGCTGCGCATTTTGAGAGGTTGGGTTGAAGACTGGAACAAATCACCTTCCACAAAGCATAGATCGATTCAGCGCCTTTCCAAAATTATGTTTCTTTTCTTTTCTTTTATTCTCTTTCTTTCTCTCCTTCCCCAAGAGCCGGCGAGCTCTTTTCAACTATCATGGCAATGGACGAAAATAGACATACAGCAGCTCCAAAGGGGCAAAAACGTGTAAGTGGATGAGATTTGCATGGGTAAAATGGGATATGTAGATGCTTTGGTATAAGGATTTGTATGAATAGGAATTCGAGCCGAGATACAGAGTACACCGAGAAGCATACCTACCACGTACCTAGACACTGTGAGGCTAGAGTGCTCGTATAAATAAAGGAAACCCGCCAGGTTGTCTATATTAGTTACTATGAGAGAGAGATGGGATAATCTTTGTATCCTGCACCTTGATTTCATCGTATCCCAACAGAGATCGTTCTGTACTGTATAGTCTATAGATAGCCCAGGCTTGGTATATCGCCGTGCACCTTGTTTCGTACCTAGTCGCCAGGACTGTACTGTGACTGGAATAGTATAGTCACAAAAGAAAGTAAAATGGCCTGACAATTCCTGGATGATTCGAAATCCGATCAGGGGTGATTAGGTACCTAGGCAATTATCTACTATAGTTCTCAAATGCAGATTGACCGATCCGATCTTCTGGGCTGTATTTGACTACCTACTACCTAGGTATAGACTACGTCGTTACGCTGATGGTGTGACGGAAGGATTTATTCAAGATGTTGAAACAAGCGAATGTCGATGATAGGGAAGAAGGCCAAGGAAGGTGTTCGGCCAAGTCCGCTCACACAGGAGTTTAGGTTGCGAAAAATGGATGGATACTTGGCAAGGGGCTCAACTGCAGGCAAGGGTCTTTTCTCTGTCTACAGCACAAGGAGCCTCTATTTCCAAGGCATCATGCATTGCTAGCTTGGTGCTATAAAAGTCAAATCGCCAGGGCATGGCAAAGTTAAGTTGGCCATTGACGCCATTGGCGCTACTGATCTTCCAACGACCGACGTCTTTCTTTTCTTCATCTTTTTCCAACTCCTTTCCGACCTACTAAGGCACTAAGAGGCATCCGTCAGAGATTGATTGACATTATGGCTTTGTGGCTTGGGTGACGTTTAGGTACTCAAGTACCTAGTAGAGGCAGAGGTAGTATGGATGCAATATTTATTCATGCTGCATTGAATGAGACAACATCCATAGGCAGGTACCTACCTACAGTACAGCATCTTACCGCAGTCGACATAAGATCGAGGTAACATGAAACCTCGTATTAATGACCAGGCATATTCCACCTGATCTCATAGAGACTGACTTGACTGTAAGGAGGGGGGTTTGTTAACACATCATTGTAAATGGTACAGTAATATCCTATCCAATCCAGACTTTTCGAGAGCCGCTCCAAGTGTCACATCTCATCACATGGCTAGACTGGAAGGGGGCAAGGACGCGATGTCTTGCAGCAAGTCTGCTTGCAGTTCATCTCAGTGCGGAGATACCCATCCATCATTACATACATACATACGACACCTACTGTACTTGTTTCCACCATCAGTAGATCTCTCACATGTCATTCTATACATCGAGTTTGGCTACCAGTCGTTATGGTTTAAACCAGTTATGTACTACGTAATTCTGAGAACCGCGCACAGCCTTGATTCAGCAGGAACCAGCATAGGTTCTGAGCGTTGTAATATACTTGTTTAGGCAGGTACCTAGGTAGTTGATAGTTAATGCGAATCTGATGGGCACAAATATGCCAGGGAGAAGTTTTCGAATTAATACGGAGTATCGGCCGAGCAAATGGATAGGAATGGGAAACGCTCAGATAGACTTGGCTCCGTTTCAGCCTTTAGAATGAAACACCGGTTCCAGAAGTTTGGAATCCCATGGTACAGAGTTAATTGTTGATGAGCGAAGGAACAGGTAGGTAGGTAGGTACCTAATAGAGGTAGGAACTATCTAGGTAGGTTGAACAAGAAAGAAGAAGGAAGAGGAGGAGAAGGAGAAGGAGAAGGAGAAGGAGAAGGAGAAGGAGAAGGAGAAGGAGAAGGAGAGAGCATAGGTAGTGTTTCTTTGGTAGGTAGATTCTGTCCTCCTGTATCATGGATGGATAGATTGTTCTACCACGTCAACAAGAAACCTTGGAACTTCATCATCGGCTGTCAATCTCTTTCAATACCGGACATAGAGTTCGAATTCAAGGATTCATACCCTTTCTTTCTTTTGTTTCGCTGCACGCCCTCTCGCCCTATTCAGCCAGTAAGTCTTCTTTCTCGTTCGTTCTTTGTCTCGCCTCCCTCCACTCGTGCGTAGTCGGACATTCACTTCACTTCACTTCACAGCATCAGCATCAGCATCAGCATCAGTCGTCTCAACGACGGATAAACCCATTATCCAGCCGCACTGGTGAGACAATATAATCCCACTCTTCTTTGTGCTCTATCCGTCCTTTCCTCTTTTGTCTCGTCAGCTCAACCCAGGAGATATCCATCAACTAACTGGCTGGTCACGGCGACACCCGGCATAACATAACCCCCTTTGGGATTGGGACCTGTAAAAAGAAAGACGCAGTCAGCGGTTCTCTTTCTCTTCCCTTACCTTACCTTGTACCACTGACGGGATGCGGACGGATCCTACAAAAAGAGGGACCTGAACTGTAACGAATTCCGTTTAGCGCCTGGGCCTCCTCGATCCCGCCATTGTCCTTGGCCTGCAAACGACCCGACAAGACCCACGCGCCAGGTCATCAGCCAGTCCCGGGCTTCTTGTACATGGAAGCCAAGATTGCAATCCTAGAACGTACCCGACTGTACCTACCTACCTACCTACTGTACAGTAGGTACTAGGTCTAGTCTAGTACTCAGAGAGGCATTCCCGTCTCCGTCCCCTTCCCCGTCCAACCTGGAAGTCTTTCGTCCCTGGATGGCATGCCTACCTTACCTAGGTATCGAATGGCTCCCTCCACAATCCCTCTCTAACTCAAGTCACCCTTGAATTTTGCTTCCTACACTACACCCTTTCTCTTCTCTTCTCTTCTCAATATTTGCAACTTCTTTTCACTTGACGTAGTTTCCTCCGATAATGTTTCAGCGCCATACTTAGCGACTTGTTTTATTCTATGTGCTGACATCCTCCACGAATTGCTGGCAGAGGCCTCGCATCGGCTCGCTCTCCGTTTCCCCCACCCGCGATCCATCTTCGACGTATTCTCGATATCGCCCGTCGCCAGTTACAATAATCTGCCTTCATCGCGTTTCAAACCATAGTTCTTGACTGCGCCCAACTTGTAACACGACTTTGAACCATCCCTATTTACGGCGACAGACCGGGCCATGGCCGGTTATCAAAGATCCATGAGTTTTTCAGAAAGGCGAGGAAGCGCTATTAGCGACGACTTGACACTCAGCACAACCACCAACCCAATGGTCAACCACCGCCTGGAAAAGCTGCCTGAGCAGCAACGGCATCTGCGCGGGCCTCCAACTCCTAGCATGTCGACGCCCGCCGCAGACTTTGACCAGCAACTCACTGGTTCGCCTCCACCGCCTCCCACGCCCGCTGCATCCCCAGGCCCATCGCATTACCAGCCAGATTGGAGTGACGCTGCCGACGATGAAGATTTCTTCCTCGCAAAGGTCCGACAACATTTCAAGAGCTGTTCCGGTCCCCAGCGAACCCGGGTCCTGGCAGATTTACTGAACCTTTGCACGAGCCAACAATTGAGTTTTGTTCATCAATTTGTCAGCCCGTTACTGAAGAAGGATCCCTTCACAAGTCTTCCGGATGAATTGTGTCTTCGGGTATGAATCTACCCTACGTTTGCAAAGGGGTCATTGATTTTTCTTTCTAAACTAACACTTGGGTTTGTAGATACTTTCTTTTATCGACGACCCGAAAGTTTTGGCACGAGCCTCACAGGTGTCCAAACGATGGCGAGATCTCCTGAGCGACGACATGACATGGAAGAACCTCTGTGTCAAACATGATTACGGCCGCCGACTATCTGAGGTGTACACTCACGCTCCCAATTTCTCTTCAAGACCTTCTCTCCAGGCTCTTCATGGGCTGGAAGGTGGCGATATGGCTAGCAACAGCTTTCCGGGAACACGCCCTTACTCCCATGCCTCGGGTACCCGGTCCTTTGATGGACAGAATACGTCTGGTAGACCCAGGCTACGAACTTACAAGTCTCATTTTAAACAGCGGTATTTGGTAGAGGCTGCTTGGAGGTCTGGTGGCACAAGCACAACACGGAATATTACCCAAGAAGGTGGTGTTGTTACAAGCTTACATTTGACGCCCAAGTATATCATTGTGGCGCTTGATAATGCAAAGATCCACGTATTTGATACAGAAGGAGATTCGCAACGCACCCTGCAAGGCCATGTTATGGGTGTTTGGGCTATGGTCCCGTGGGATGATACCTTGGTCAGTGGAGGTTGTGATCGTGATGTACGTGTCTGGAATTTGAAGACTGGGTAAGTACACTCACTACATGCATGGCTTTGGCCCGTTACTAATGAAACTTAGCGCATGTTTACACACATTGAGAGGCCACACCTCGACCGTTAGATGCTTGAAAATGGCGGACGCGAACACTGCGATTTCAGGATCGCGAGACACCACACTGCGGATCTGGGATATCCGAACTGGCCTCTGCAAAAACGTCCTTGTCGGGCATCAGTCTAGTGTTCGATGTCTTGAGATCAAGGGTGACATTGTTGTATCCGGTAGCTATGATACATTTGCTCGAGTATGGAGCATTTCCGAAGGCCGCTGCCTTCAGACTTTGCAGGGCCATTTTAGTCAGATATATGCAATTGCTTTTGATGGCAAGCGGGTCGTAACGGGTAGCCTGGATACAAACGTTAGAATCTGGGACCCAACGTCCGGGTACGTATCTGTCTGTAAGGGTGTCGATGTTATTTGCTAACATGTCAATAGTGAATGTTTGGCCATTCTTCAAGGTCACACATCTCTCGTTGGCCAGCTCCAGATGCGCGGAGACACGTTAGTTACGGGTGGATCAGATGGATCGGTCCGAGTTTGGTCGCTGGAGAAGATGTGCCCAATTCACCGTCTTGCAGCCCATGATAATAGCGTCACCAGTCTGCAGTTTGATGATACTCGAGTTGTAAGTGGCGGTAGTGATGGTCGTGTTAAGATATGGGATCTCAAGACCGGGCACCTCGTTCGAGAGCTCATCGCTCAAGGTGAAGCGGTCTGGCGAGTTGCGTTTGAGGATGAAAAGTGCGTTGCTTTGGCCTTGAGGCAAGGCCGCACGGTCATGGAGGTAAGCAAAATGTGAACAAACAGCCACCGAGTGTATTGCTGACTTTATTAGGTATGGTCGTTCTCACCCCCAGAAGATATGCTTTATGACCGTCCCCTGTCGCTTCAACAGCGGGTATTGGAGGATGACCCGAACCGCCCGTTGAGTGCCATGGCTATTGACTATCGTTCTTCGCAACCAACACTGGCTGGTCCTAGCCGAGATGCTTCAGCCCAGGATGTTGACATGCATGACGCTGGTCCATCAACAGCCCCTCTGCAAGGCGGTACATTTTTCCACGACGATTAAGCTGCGAGCTATTCAAATCCTTCATGGTTCTACCATGGCGACTAACTTGTTATTAATCATGGAGCGCACCATCATTTCAAAGCGGTTATATTAGTGGACTAAATGCTCAGTCCCTGACGGATCCGGTTATCCGCGTTGCGCAATGTTTGATTTCTATTGAATTGCAGTAGAGGCGATAAGGGTATTTTGGAAGCATGTTCTCGGCGTTGCTGCATCACCACAGGTTCATGAAACATTACAAGTCATGAGTAAATGATGCGGATTGCATGGACAAGAATTATGGGAAACTGGAGCTATAGGAACGGAACAAGGAGTTGCATTTTGACTTGCGAGGGTGGTCTGATTTTATCGGGAGCGGATAACATTCTGGTTCTTGATATTGCTATCTCAGTTATAATACCAGATCAGCGACGTTAGGTACATATAGAAGGATTAGACGTCACCCAGGGTGACTACAAACAAGATTCAATATTTCTTTTTACATGGTGACGGTGCGCTATATTTGACAGTAAGTTACGCAGGAACATGCATATCCCATTGGCGAATCTTCTTATCACCAAAATGTAAATTGGGAGTAAAATGTTGAGTTTGACAAGGGATCCATCGCCAACATGCAAGACTGACTAATAATGTACCTACTTACCTACCTACTAAAGTACTGCCTACTAGGTACTAAGTGTGAGGACTGAGGACACAGGGGAGGGGACCTAATAAAATCCATTGTCGTGTCTCGGAGGTAGAAGGGACGGCGCCCCACATCGGCGAGAATTACACCGACGAAAAGGTGCGGTAGTCGAAGGGTCTTAGATGATCCAAAATGGCAATATAGAGACCATTTTCAATAAGAAAAATGCGAATTAAAGATACTTCGAGCATCTAGGAGTATAGCAGTGTTTCTTTAAAAGAACTGAAGTCTCAATGTGATCTTCTGCGAGTCCCAAAGCGATCATGAGCATGTATATATCACGTGCACGCTAAACCATCATAGGACTAGACCTTACCAACAATTGGAAGCCAAGCTCAACGCTCCCGCCGCTCAACAGCGACTTTTTCTGAGCTCCATCCAGCCAAGTCGCAGTTATCAACTCGACAACGTCCTGATCCCTCAATTGATCCAGCGGCACCTCCATAACCACGATGTTGTCTCGAGCTCTCCGACTCCCCAGAGCTGTGCCTATGCGCACAAAGCTCGCTGCTCCTGCTTATACCGCCATTCGTTCCGTCACCACTGACGCTGCGTCTGCGTCCTTGAGCCACTCAGTCCCTAAGTCCGATGATGAGCCTTTCTCTGTTAACCTCAGCGATGAGAGCTTCGAAACCTACGAGCTGGACCCCCCTCCTTACACTCTGGAGGTGACCAAGAAGGAGTTGAAGGATATGTACCGCGAGATGGTTGTCACCCGGTATGCAACATCAATTGTTGAAGCTGAAGACGCTCTTTGCTGATAATCCCGCAGACAGATGGAGATGGCGGCTGATCGTCTATACAAGGAAAAGAAGATTCGCGGTTTCTGCCATCTTTCGACTGGTCAGGAGGCTGTTGCCGTTGGTATTGAGCATGCCATCACCAAGGAGGACGACATCATCACCGCCTACCGATGCCACGGTTACGCTCTCCTCCGTGGCGCTTCCGTCCGATCCATCATCGGCGAGCTGCTCGGTCGACGTGAGGGTATCTCATACGGCAAGGGTGGTTCCATGCACATGTTTGCTAAGGGCTTCTACGGCGGCAATGGTATTGTCGGTGCTCAGGTCCCTGTCGGTGCTGGTCTTGCCTTCGCCCACAAGTACAACAACAACAAGAACGCATCCATCATCCTTTACGGTGATGGTGCCAGCAACCAGGGCCAGGTCTTTGAGGCTTTCAACATGGCCAAGCTCTGGAACCTGCCCGCCCTCTTCGGTTGCGAAAGTAAGTCAATGTCTTTACTATTCTTGGCAAGATTTTTAACAATCCTACAGACAACAAGTACGGTATGGGTACTGCCGCCGCTCGTTCCTCCGCCTTGACCGACTACTACAAGCGTGGTCAGTACATCCCAGGTCTCAAGGTCAACGGCATGGACGTTCTCGCCGTCAAGGCTGCCGTCAAGTATGGAAAGGAGTACACCGCTGCCGACAAGGGTCCTCTTGTCCTCGAGTACGTCACCTACCGATATGGTGGTCACTCCATGTCCGACCCTGGCACCACCTACCGAACCCGTGAGGAAATTCAGCGCATGCGCTCCACCAATGACCCTATTGCCGGACTCAAGCAGAAGATCCTGGATTGGGAGATCACAACTGAGGATGAGCTCAAGAAGATCGACAAGGAGGCCCGCGCCCATGTTAACGAGGAGGTTGCTGCTGCTGAGGCCATGGCTGTGCCTGAGGCCAAGCCCGAGATTCTATTCGAGGACATCTACGTCCGAGGATCCGAGCCTGAGTACATCCGTGGACGTATTCCTGAGGAGAACCACTACTTCCAGTAGAGGGGTTAAGAGCGGAAGCACATCACTATAATGATTTCAGCACTTGTTGCTTGTTGTAATATACATCCATGATCTATCTAGAAAGAGGCCTGGCATGGTCCGAAAATGGAGAAGGGCGAGGACCCAGGATTGCTTTTTTACATGTAACTCATGGATGCCTACTGTCTTACTCGGTTCACATGAATATTTCCACCCAAGTTTAAAGCGCTTCAACATGATGATATTTTGTCAAGCGCCTCGGCCTATCTCGCCCGAAGACACAAGAGCTTGCAGACGACCCTTTAAAACCCCCGACTGCGCTAAATAAATTTGAATCGCACTTTCCCAAATGTGGAAATTGCCGGATGTATAAAATAACCAGGACACAGAACCCTGCCTGTCCGGGCAGGGCTGCTGACAAAATGACGTGAGCATTCCGGCACTAAAATATACGGTAGACTATGCTAATCTTTCCGACACCCTTCCCCAAAAGTCTCCACGGCTCTTTAACCCACCTGCTTTCCTAGGCAACCAAGTCACGTGGTGCAGACATTTTGCGCGTCCTGGTCGCACCTATCGTCGCGATTAGCAGGCATTAATTAACGCGACAGGTTGCCTAGCCGGCGCGTCATGCTACTTGGTGTCAGCTCAACTCGTGGGCTCACGATTGCCCCTCTCCTTCGCCAGACCAACCCAAAATTGATATTCCGACCTGTAAACTATTGCAATTTGTGTTTATTATCTCAGAAAGCGCCAGGAAATTCGTACAAAATGGCACCCAAACAGGCGACACTCGGGTATGTCAAGTCCGGCCAGAGCACGATTGGGTGCGTGTGGAGGAACATTGCAACTCTGCGAAACTCAATTGCTAACCAGAATTGACTATTCTGTACAGAAAATTCTTCGGAGCAAAAAACGCGCCAGTCCAACAAACAAAGCTTTCCTTCAGCACCAAGCCCAAGAAAGACGAGGTGAAAGAAGAGGAGGAGGCTGATCCGAAGGTTCAGTCAAGTCCAGGTTCAGATAAAGGTGACATTATTCCAATGGTTCCATTCACAGTCTAATACTGGAGTTAGAATCAAAAAAGAGAGCTCGCGCAAAGAAGATTGAACTCGAACCGACCCAAATTAAGAAAGAGGAAGTCGATGACGATAGCGATGGACCTGTCACCAAGCGAGCACGACGAATTCGGAGACGAGTTGAAGAGGACGAAGATGAAGAGATGAATGAGGAGTCCGTCAAGAAAAAGGAATCTGCTTCCTCCAGTAAAGTCAAGTCGGCCAGCCCATCACCAAAACCGAAGTCACCCAAGAAGTCTAAGGCCAGGCCCAAAGCAAAGGCTGTCAAGGAAACTACCCCCGAAGAGAACGACGAGCCCACCAAAGAAGAAGCCTCGACCGCATCTGCTTCCGAAGCTGAAGCGGAAGATGAGGTAGACATTGACGAGAAGCCTGAGGTTGCTGCAAAAGCTCGTGAGAAGGTCCAGACAAAATTCAAGTCGAAAACCAAAGATCCTTACCCTGATTGGCAGCCTGGTACCCCTGTTCCGTATGCCGCGTTGTGTACAACCTTCTCTCTTGTTGAGATGACCACCAAGCGTTTGATTATCATGGAGCATTGCTCCTTATTCCTTCGTCAGGTCATGCGTCTGACACCTGACGACCTGCTGCCCACCGTCCTGCTGATGATCAATAAGCTGGCGCCCGATTATGCGGGCATAGAGCTGGGAATCGGCGAGTCATTGATTATGAAAGCTATCGGCGAAACTACTGGACGAAGTCTCCAGGTGATCAAGGCTGACCAGAAGGAAATCGGCGACCTTGGGTTGGTCGCTGTAAAGAGTCGATCGACGCAGCGGACCATGTTCAAGCCCAAGCCTTTGACTGTAAAGGGCGTCCACCAAGGATTGATGAACATCGCCACCGTTGCCGGCAACGGCGCCCAAGGTCGTAAAGTTGACGGTATAAAGAAGCTTCTCGCTGCAGCTGACGCCAATTCCACCGGCAAAGTGGATATTACCAAGGACAAGGGTGGACCAAGTGAGGCCAAGTTTATTATTCGATTCTTGGAAGGGAAGCTGAGACTTGGTCTCGCTGAGAGAACTGTCCTGGTTTCTCTGGCTCAAGCTGTTGTTGCTCACGAGGCAGACGCTAGGGGCAAGGCTCCCAGTACCACTGATTTGGAGAAGGGAGAATCAATCCTCAAAACGGTTTACAGGTAGGAAATTTTGATCAACGAGAAGAACATGCGCTGACAAAACGTAGTGAGCTACCCAGTTACGATGTTATCATTCCTGCTATTCTCGAACATGGCATTATGAAGCTCCGAGAAAACTGCAAGCTTCGACCTGGTGTCCCACTGAAGCCTATGTTAGCCAAACCGACTAAGGCTATCACTGAGGTCCTTGATCGGTTTGAAGGACAGAAGTTTACGTGCGAGTATAAGTACGATGGAGAAAGAGCACAGATACACTATGTGGCCAAAGATGCACCCCAGGAACTAAACGAAGCGAGTCAGGGTGCGGCCAAGGAGGCGGCAGCTGGTGTTGCTAGTATCTTCTCCAGAAACTCGGAGGACCTCTCCAAAAAGTACCCTGATATCCTTACCAAGCTCCACACATGGGTCAAGCCTGATACAAAGAGCTTCGTTCTAGATTGCGAGACTGTGGCTTGGGACGTTGACGAAAAGAAGGTATTGCCATTCCAGCAGCTCATGACACGAAAGAAGAAAGATGTCAAGGTCGAGGATGTCAAAGTCAAGGTCTGCGTGTTTGCATTCGATCTCTTGTACCTCAATGGAGAAGCTGTTGTTGAAAAAGCCCTTCGTGAGCGACGAGAGCTTCTACAAACCGCTTTCAACCCAGTAGAGGGTGAATTTGCCTTTGCTACCCACATGGACGGCCAGGAGCTGGACGAGATCCAAGTCTTCCTCGACGAGAGTGTCAAAGCGTCATGCGAAGGCCTCATGGTGAAGATGTTAGATGGGACGGAGAGCGGATACGAACCCAGCAAGAGAAGTCGTAACTGGCTCAAGGTGAGTGTCCATAATATCTGCTGTCGAGGGTAGAATGGCTAACTGCTTTCACAGATCAAGAAGGACTATCTTTCGGGGGTTGGCGATTCCCTGGACCTTGTTGTTCTGGGTGCTTACTATGGCAAAGGCAAGCGTACCTCTGTGTATGGTGCATTCCTCTTGGCCTGCTACAATCCAAATTCGGAAACATACGAAACTGTATGCAATATCGGCACTGGGTTTTCCGAGCAGGTTTTGGAAGACCTCCACAAACAGCTCTCGGAAATCACCATTGACAGGCCCAAGCCCTTTTACTCGCACTCCTCTGGTGGCCAGCATCAGCCTGACGTTTGGTTCGAGCCTCGATATGTCTGGGAGGTCAAGACAGCAGACTTGACCCTCAGCCCACGCTACAAGGCTGGTGCCCATGAAGGTGTTGATCCCTCCGGCAGCAAGGGGATCAGCCTTCGATTCCCACGCTTTATCCGCGTGCGTGATGACAAGAAGGCTGATGCTGCTACAACAAGCCGACAGGTCGCTGAAATGTACCGCAAGCAGGAGAGCGTGACAAAGAACAAAGGTCCTTCAGTTGATGACGATTTTGAGTATTAGACTTATCATTTGGTTTTTGGCATTGATCGTCCGGAGGCTGGAAGGTATATGGCATGGCAATTTGTTGCAATGGCGTTTGGTGGCCATATGGTATTGGTCCTTCCGAAGTAGCGGAGTATATGCTTCGATGTAATATTCAATGACTTCTTCGACCTCAATGATTTCACCGTGCATAAATGTCAACTAGGCCAAGCAAACCCATCTAGGGCGGTTGATTGGGCGAGCATACAGGCCTGGAACGGCACCTTTTACCGCCTGAAGAGCAAGTTATGCTACAAATACTGGTCCCTTCCTTTTCATGCACATGATCCAATGTTCTTTTCCATGAAGCCCGTTAGATGCTCATCTGACTTTCCGATCTGGTTATTGCCCTACTGACTCAACGACGCCAGTGTAGTAAGTACATCCTCTAGCATCTCCCTCTCGGGGTCGTCCTTTCCGAGCTGCTTGTCTAGTTGAGCTGCAATGCCATGGATAGCAGCCATGGAGTGCCAATACCTTTGCCGCATGGCCGAGTTGGCTTCGACAAGTATAGCGCAGCAGAGTTGCAAAGCAGCAACCATCGCTTCCTGACAAAGGGGTGAGAGTCCAGAGTCTGGAATGTCCCATGCTGCTACTGCGGTAATCAGATCCATCCAACCCTCAGGTACACCACCCGTTTCTTGCTCAACTATGGGAAGCAGGACGCGAACAATTTCAGTGGCTCGCGCTGTGTCTTGGTCTTGAAGTGTCCGGCTATGCTGAAGAACTGAGCCGAGATCGCTAGTAAGAATTGCCCAACCTTGGTTGGCAAGAAAAAGTTCGCGCCCTTGTGGCAATGTAGTCAGCCCTTCCAGTGCGACAAGCACAGCAGATCGAAAGTCGAGCTTGTCTTGTGAGCTAGATTTGTAGAGGTCCATAAACATATCGATCAATCCTGTAGCTTCTTTTCGCAGGGTGCCGTCCTCTTCCTCTCGTAACCAGAGTGCCAACGCTCGTACAGCAGATAGTATAAACATGTCGTCATCAGCATTATCTTTCATCGAGTCCCAGGCCAGTGTGTGGTGTTTCCCAGTCGAAGTGTCTGCTGTGCTAGTACGAGCGTCAGGATGCAAACCCATCGCTCCAGCAACTGATGCGTCCCATCGGTCACGCAGATATTCGGCCGTGAGGGACATTGTCTCCGAGATTCCCTTGCGGAGCTTGAGAAGGTTTTCAGGGGACATGAAGAAAGTCTCCAGGGATTCGTCTTCAAGACATTGTACGAGATATCCGACGAAGACAGAGATGACATCGAAAGCAGATGTGAGCCGTGTCGATATCTTGGAATATTCGGGCTTGTTTAGCTGTTCCAGAAGACTAGGAGCGGAAGAACGTATGTCGATGAGGAGAAGGTTGATGAGTAGGTAAGAAAATGCCTTGTCCTCCTTTCTATCGTCTGCGAAGACGAGTTTGGGAGCTTCGCTGGGGAAGGCCTGAAGTATTGAAGCAGTGGCGTTGGTATAGGCTGCACGAGCCTCAGGTGTTGGCCTGCTTGTGACGAGATTCTTAATGTAGCTGACAACATTCTTGAGCCACTTTGGTTGCTGGGGTAGGAACTAGTATATTGATTAGCAGATATGCTTATTAGGTGTCACTGGTAACATACGGCGGAGCTGGCGTGGCGGAGAAAGTAGCCAAGGAACTCAAGGAGAGTGACCGCGTCAGTTCCAGTAAAGGATGATATCAGGCTTTGGATTGTATCGTCGACTTGTCTAGCCAGTGTAGCGTGGTTTTGAACGCGTGTGGTAGAATTAAGCCAGGCAAAAGAGAAGATGTCGAGAACCTGTGTATGGCTAGGTGCAATTTCTGTAAGGGGACTAAAGTCCTGTATCTTGACGAATGTTTGTGCTCCTTGTTGAGAACTGACCAAGGTATGCAGCAGCTGAAGTATCAGCTTGGTTGTATCGTGAGAGCTAATGCATACAGTCAGTATCTGATTATAGTATATGTATCTTGGCGGCGGTACCTATACAGGACTGCGCTGACGAGTAGAGGGATTCTGTCGATGAATTTTGCGTCACAGCGAGCCTGATCTGGAAGCAGAATGGAGAATATGTGTAAAACAGACACGACCAAGTCAAGCAACTCGTTGGAATTCTTGGTTGAAGGGTTTGAACCTGTCCTCAAAAGGCGATCAAGAAACTTTGGTGATAGACTGGACCACAAGCTCTGTACAGTCTGCTCGTCTTGCCGTAGTTGTTCTGAGCCATCGAGGACAGATTTAAGAAGCGCTAGCCCTACGAACCTTTGAGTATCATCCTTTGTTTTGAGGAGCGATTGTATCTGGCTGATGTCTGCGAGTTGAGAAGCTGTAGCTGTAGCTGTAGTTGTGGCTGTATTGTCTGTCATCTCTAGCCCAGATGAGATGAGATGAGATGAGATGAGATGAGATGAGATGAGATGGAGTATGAGTGTTTTTTCCTTGTCCCTTTCTGTTTTCAATCTGATTGCATTCGAGCACTTGGAAGTAAAGACTGGTTGGATAGAGAGGTAGGTATACTACGATGTTTGTCAAGAATAAGTCCCATGTTGATGGATCGAACTTGCGATAGGTTTAGTAGTCTAGAATAGTAGTACCTCCATAGGCACAGCTTTGCGAGGCCCACAATTTAGATTGACACCTCGAGGCATTCTAGAAGCCTCCAACGATGATAGCATCCAGATCCATTACTGTTGATAGAACAGAATATGCTATCCATAGTAGATAAATATTGAGATCCAGTAGGTAGGTAGGTAGGTAGGTACTACTGAAATAGGTGTAGAAGCATGGAGTGATTCTGCCGGAAATAGATCATGGATGGCAAGACAATGTTTTAGCCAGCCAGCCGTGACAATTAGTCTAATTGATATCCATACTTACCTACCTAGGTATAGATGATAGGAAATATTACTGAGAGAAGGGGCCTCCCCTGTCTCAGATATAAATAATGAAGGCGATGATGGATGCTTCCAGGTAATCAATTAGACGCTTTAGGCAATAAAAATTAAAGCTTACAGGCTACTAAGGTATGGATCCATAGGTACCTTAGTACTATACCTAGGCACCTATAGATCGCCCGCAGGACAGGACAGGATAACAGCCACTGGAATCCCACTTACTGCGTGTCCTCCATTACCTTACCTCAGTACTAATCTATTAGTAGGTACATATTGTACTTGTACTTGTATTGTCACTTTATCAACAACATTGTATACACAACCTCATACCTCAATTCTCTCCCTCTCGATTTGTCGAAAGCGAGCGTCGCCATCGCACAATGTCATGAGCCGAATCATGTCTGGAGCGCCTCGAGACGATACCTACCCTTACGCCTTCGCATCCACGTCCGCTTCGTCCTCGTCGCACACGCCTAATTCCGATGATCGCGACGAGCTTGACTTTCTTCATGACAACGAAAACGAAAATGAGAATGACCATGTCAGACCCAGCAACGATAGCGGCCGTGGAAGAGCTAGAGATAGAGACCATGTTCTAGGCGACGACCCTTTGCAAGGCAACTTGAGTGCGCCCATGACTTTCAAGCGAAGACAAGGTCCCTCACTGTGGTCTGCTCCTTCTCGACTCCTCTCCGCCATCACGGGTTCGCGATCAAACGCTTCTTCGAGAGGAGCTTCACCTGCTGTCTTCTCTGGCTCCAACGCTTCCCCGCGCGCCGAACCTGTCATCTTCAACGAAGCTACCAAAGATGGAGCGCCGCACGACTGGTACGTCGAAGGGCCGGGACGTCGAGTCGGATACGAGGATCTCACTGCCATCGACTGGATTTTTGAATACACAAAAGAGCGCCAGAGGCTGCGTATGCTCTACTCCAGCGCATCCGGGGTTATAGGTCCTGTGCGGCGGCTCATCGATGCTAGCCAAGTCTGGATCATTCTGCTTTTGACAGGAATGCTTGTGGGAGCTGTCGCTGCAGGAATCAACGTTACGACCGATTGGCTTGGGGACTTGAAGGAAGGATACTGTTCCAGTGGCCCAGAAGGCGGCCATTTCTACCTTAACAAGGCCTTTTGCTGTTATGGCTATGACCAGGGTTCCAAGTGCGATGGCTGGAAGTCTTGGGGTGACGCTCTGGGCGTTCATTCAAAAGGCGGCAAGTGGTTTGTTGAATATCTGTTTTTTGTTTCTCTCGCGGTATGTTAAGTTATGCCCTGACCCGTTCACCCTTCGTCCAAGTCATAACTAACAGCTGCCCAAAGATGCTGTTTGCTTACGTTGCTGCCGTGCTGGTCCAGGAATATGCCATCTACGCTAAGCATAGTGGTATCCCTGAGATCAAAACTGTTCTCGGAGGCTTCGTCATCCGACGGTTCCTTGGAATCTGGACTCTTGTGACCAAATCGCTTGGCCTTGTAAGTTCGAGCTATGTCCATCACACGGTTGTTACTTACAGACTCGCAGTCTCTTGCTGTGGCATCGGGCATGTGGTTGGGAAAAGAAGGCCCTCTGATTCACGTCGCTTGTTGTTGTGCAAACGTGTTTACGAAATTGTTTCGAAACATCAACGACAATGAAGGTAGGGCATGTTCTCAGAGGCGTCAACTATCAACTGACATTTGTAGCACGGAAACGCGAGGTCCTCTCAGCCGCTGCCGCTTCGGGTGTCTCAGTGGCCTTTGGCTCACCCATTGGTGGCGTGCTGTTCAGTCTTGAAGTGAGTGGCGCTCATACAGTCTCAAAAATGTCGATACTAACCCTCAAAAGACTCTGTCTTACTACTTCCCCGACAAGACTATGTGGCAGAGCTTCGTCTGTGCCATGACTGCTGCTGTCGTTCTTCAAGCTTTCGACCCCTTTAGATCTGGCAAACTTGTCTTGTATCAGGTTCACTACAGCATTGGATGGCATGGTTTTGAACTATTGCCTTACGCCATTCTTGGTGTTCTAGGGGTAAGTTAGATGCCATCTCTCGATAGGTTCGTCTAGCTGACAGTATTACAAGGGCATTCATGGCGGCCTCTTCATCAAACTGAATATGGCCATCGCTCGCTGGAAGAAATCAAACCGATGGATCCCTGGTCCATTCGTCCAAGTTCTCATCGTGGCGTTCTTCACTGCCCTTATAAACTATCCCAACTTCTACATGAAGCTCCAAACGACTGAGCTCGTTTCTAATCTCTTTTCTGAGTGCTCACAAGTTCTCGACGACCCTATTGGCCTCTGTAGAACAGGCGCCGCTTCAGCCAAAACCATTGTTCTTCTCGTCTTTGCTTCAGTCTTGGGCTTCTTCCTCGCTGCTGTGACGTTTGGCTTACAAATCCCTGCTGGTATCATTCTGCCTTCAATGGCTATTGGTGCCTTGACTGGTCGTGCCGTGGGTATTGTCATGGAGATTTGGGTTACCAACCATCCGGGCTTCTTTCTCTTCGGCTCATGCGAGCCTGATATTCCTTGTGTGACACCAGGGACATATGCTATCGTCGGCGCAGCAGCATCTCTAGCTGGCGTCACTCGTCTAACCGTCTCCATCGTGGTCATCATGTTCGAGCTCACTGGCGCTCTTACTTATGTTCTCCCTATCATGATTGCTGTTATGATATCAAAATGGGTGGGCGATGCTTTCTCACGCCGTGGTATCTATGAATCGTGGATTCATTTCAACGAGTATCCTTTCCTTGACAACAGCGAGAATAACGACGCCATCCCCGATATTCCGGCTGCTCAAGTCATGACTCGCATCGAGGACCTCGTCGTTCTTACTGCAACGGGCCATACCATCTCGTCGCTTACGATTATACTCGAGATGCACCCATACCGTGGTTTCCCAGTTATATCAGACCCTCGAGAAGCTATTCTTCTTGGTTATATCTCCCGTGCCGAGCTTGCTTATAATCTCTCAGCCTCCACGCAAGCACCCCGTTCGCTCCCCCTAGAGACAGAAGCCTTCTTCTCCCACCAGCCCATGGCTGACCCCCGGACGACACTTGATCTTCGCCCATGGATGGACCAAACGCCTCTCACACTGCCATCGCATACAAGCCTTCATCTTGTCGCTACTTACTTCCAGAAACTTGGCTTGCGCTACCTCCTATTCAGCGATCGTGGCGTACTTCAGGGCTTACTGACGAAGAAGGACGTCTGGTACGTCCTCAATGGTGCTGAGGAGACACGGCGTACTATGGGTTTGGCATCGACTGGCGTTGGCCATGAGACTGGCGTAGCGGATAGGACGCCAGACGACAACGGTGGTGGCGAAAGAAGCGGGCTTTTGCGAGGTGATAACGCTGATGATGGGGATAGTATTCAAGGCGAAGAGCCGATGTTGTGAAAAGAATGATTTTATATTTGATACTGGGTTTTGTAACATACAATTGGTTTTATGAACGCTCTTGCTTTTTGACCACATATAGACAATCCAATACGAGGCGCCATCGGCGATGCCATGTAAGCAGCTTATTCATCTCTTATTACGCAGCGCCTGCACTTGGTCAGCGTATTTGGTGAAGCTTGTTGGTCAAAGTGAATGTCACAGTCACAGTCTTGTGAGGGGTAGCAGAAAGGTTGACCGATAGCCTGAGACGCTTGGTATAAGGACATTATCACCCAAAGTGTATTTCACCACCGGTTGTACAAACGTAAGCACTACCCCATCTAGATAAATGGCTGAAGAGTGGCTTGAGGTATAAGAGACCTCCGGCCCCCGACTCTTGTCAGTTGTCTCTAGTCAAGCTAATTCCCACTCATGATTCGTCTCCTCACCTTGTCTTCACATCTCACTCACACTTCGAGGACCATTCAACGTCAACCGCTTCATACAATGGTCACACATTATGACGCTATTGTCCTTGGCTCTGGCCAAAGTGGCAATCCTGTTGCCAAAGCATTCGCCAATGCGGGCCACAAGACAGCTGTAATTGAGCGCACAGCACTGGGTGGGACCTGTGTCAACGTCGGATGCACACCTACGAAAACCATGATTGCATCCGGACGAGCAGCGTTCATGGCCAAGCGAGGTAAGGATTATGGCGTACGCGCAGGAAATGACAGTTTTGAGATTGACATGGCTCGCGTGAGGCAACGCAAGCGCGCAATCGTCGAGCAATGGAACTCGGGTAGTGTCAGGGGTTTGAAGGCAGCAGGGGTGGATGTTCTTATGGGAGAAGCAAGCTTTGTTGGAGATAAAAGCCTTAGAGTTGTGTTGAATGAAGGGGGTGAGAAGGAGGTCAGCGCCGACCGGATATTCGTCAACGTCGGTGAGAGATCATCGCGGCCGGTTATACCAGGGTTAGACGATGTCGAGCCGTCACGAGTCCTCGACTCAACGTCGATAATGGAGCTCGACGAAGTACCGCAACATCTCGTGGTGCTAGGCGGCGGGTATATCGGCCTTGAGTTTGGGCAGCTCTTTCGTCGCCTGGGCTCTGAAGTGACGGTCATTCAGAGGGCGAAACAACTCGTACCACATGAAGACCCTGATGTGGCCGAGTGTCTTTTGGATATCCTTAAACAGGATGGTCTCACGGTACACTTGTCGAGTACAGTCAACTCGATCTCAGCCATCAAGAACTCGAACAATGCTTTCGAGGTCAGCATCCACACCACAACTGGCCAGACTGACGTTACTGGATCCCATGTTTTGTTGGCAACGGGGCGGGTGCCCAATACCGATCGACTGAATCTTCTCGAGGTTGGTATCAAAACGACGACCAAAGGGCATATCATAGTGGATGACAAGTTGCAAACTTCGGTCCCAGACGTCTACGCCTTGGGCGACTGTCACGGCGGCGCTGCATTCACACACATGTCGTACGATGATTCTCGTATCATTCGCACAAACCTACTGCCGGAGACCATGGCATCCACGACTCCTGCTATGCCTACGGCGCAGTCTTCGGTATCGAGAGTGTTAACACCCTACGTTATGTACACCGATCCACAACTTGGCCATGTCGGACTCCACGCTCGCGATCTTGCCAATACTAAGAGAGAGGTCAGAACTGCCAAAATGCCCATGAACTTTGTCGCAAGGGCGTTGGAAACAGCAGAGCCACGCGGCATGATGAAGGCTATTGTGGATGCCAAAACCGGCGAAATCCTGGGTTACACATGCTTGGGACTCGAAGGAGGTGAAATTATGTCGATTGTGCAGACTGCTATGATGGGTAATCTGAAGTGGTGGGATTTGGAGGCAGCCGTATATGCTCATCCGACTCTGGCCGAGAGTCTGAACAACCTGTGGGCGCATCTAGAATAGAATAATGAGGCCTCTCATGGCTTCATCCTATTTTGTTTCTGTACCCTGCGGTTGAGTGTCGGTGGAAACTCGGTCTATCCTTTTCTCTGCTGCCTCTGCTTTGGCGCGGCGTTTTCGAGCCCGCCGCACCTCAATCTCAGTCTCAAGCATTTCAGCGTTGACAGAGACTAGCCTGGGGATAATCTCCTCTACTGCTTGAGCAGATTGTGCCTGAGCGGTGCGAAGAGGCATGGGCGCAAATAAGCCAAACCAGTGCAAAGGGTTCTTGTTTCTGTTCCGCTTTTTTTCTTTTGGTTTCTTCTCTCCCGTTTCTGACCCGTCCTTTTCTAGCTCCTCCTCTTCATCTTCGTCAATAAAATTGTAGATTGAGAAATCTGGACTTGGACTATCATCCTGATTGATAGAAAGAAGCCGTGTCGCCTGCATTCTTTCGTCGTAATGGTCCTGGCCGTATCTCATGCCTCTCTCACCGGAGAAATTCGCTCGAGCGATGTTTTGGTAGACAACAGACTGAATTTGAGAAAGCCTTTGGCGTAGTTGAGTGTACTCGTCCAGAAGGCTGAGATAGCGCTCGAGGAGCTGGTCAATATGTTGTTGCTCCATGTTGTTGGATGGGTTCAAGAGGGTGTCTGCGTCCTGGATATATCTCGCCGTGTAAACCTCAGTCATTAGCAAAGCAGTCTGAATCAGTTCTTCCTGAGAAAAAAGACTTCTTCGAGATTTCTTGATGGAGGGTAGATGTAGGTAGGTAGTTTAAACATGAGGTGGGATGCCATTAGAGATACCTAAATAGCATCTATACAATTTAGGTCTAGCTCCATCGGTTAATTTAGTACCTACCTATACCACCTACGGTACCTACCTACCTCCGTTGAGCGGAAATATCACCAATAACTGTAACCTTGTTTTTCCTCTTCATAAAGAATTATTCTCAACTGAAACCCCATTCCTTTTACCTCTACAGGGAATCTTGAAACTGTGGTTGAGAGGTCCACCCGTATACAAAATCGTGGGAATGCCTGATACAAACACAACTATACCCAAACTCCAGCCTACCGTCCCCCATCCGGAACTATCCTTGACCATTCCGCCCATGATAGGTCCTACCAAAGAGCCCCCCGAATATGCCATGTTGTACAGACCGTACGCCTGGGCAATCTGTCCTCCGCCTGTGTCGTCATCGCCCTGAACAGACCAAGTGATCTCGGCCATCAACGGACCGAAGATGCAGGCCATAGTAATACCTACGCCGGTAAGGAGGCCACACAGTAAGATCTTGTTCTGGATCGTGTTTTCATCGACAAACATTAGGCATGTAACAAAGGGAGTTGCAAAGAGAAAGCCAAAAGAAGCGAGCCATTTAGGTCCATACCGATCGCCTATCATACCAACCACAGGACCAAGAAAGGACGGCAGAATCAAAGGCAGAAAGATCAGTCCGGCCCCTATTGAGTCCCATCCGAAGATCTCATGCGTGAGAAGGGGAAGCGTACTTTCGAGCGCGGTGTTGATGAGTGCCTGGACAAACGTTCCCCAGAGAGCAGCCAAGAATCGAGGCTGCTTCAAAAGGTTGACTAGAGTCTTGACAGGTGAGCGCTTGTCCTGATATTCAGTTGTTTGAACGGGGCTGTCTTCGCTCTTGTCGGCTCTCGATTCATTCTGACCACCCACAATGCCCTCCGGATCTGCTGACGCCGCAGTTTCCGCCCTGTCAAACCAAATTTTGGCAGTCTTGACCTCAATGATGACAAGACGAAGGGCAATGTCTACAGCAAGCAGACCGAAACACATAGCAAAAACGGAATAGTAACCGCCTTTGCCATAGACGACACCGCCCAGTAGAGGTGCCACCAAGATGCCGAGACTGCAAGCAGTGCTGATCCAACCCATAGCTTTACCGACATTCTCCTTGTCAACAGTGTCAACAACCAACGCAAGACCAACAGTCCAGGTCAATGCCGCAGAAATACCTTGCAAAGCGCGGCCAATCATGAAAAGGGCAAGAGACCGACCAAGGCACAAGAAGATGGTAGCTCCGCATAGAACGACCAGACCTATGAGCATGGGGATCTTGCGATTATGGATTCTGTCGGCCAAATAACCCCAAACAGCTGACATTATCGCCATCAGTCATGATATCGTCGTTTCGAGGTACAGGATCAACTTACGAGAACTCGCCAAGAGGGCAGCACCAAACACGGCCAATGCTATTGAAACCCAATACTGCACTCTGCCCGGAGGAATTCCAACTCGTTCCTCAAAGGAGAAAGGAAGAATGGGAACAATGACACCATAGAGAAAGATGTCCTGTCAGATGAAATCAGCGTGAGTGTGGCGCCCGAGAACACCATGTTACTTACAGTGAAGATGGCAAAGGAACAAGTGGTAACAATGAGGCTGACCGAGGATCTCACTTTGAGCAGGACTGGTGGCCTGTCTTTCTGAGTCCATTTGAGCAGCCTCATGGCCAAGATTCGACCCAACGAACAGCGCTCAGTTGGCCAGAGTCTCAACGAGAGTGTCCATCGAAACAGCACAAGGCAGAGCGGAAGCGCTGGGTTATAACCAAATCTTTACTAAACATATAGCCGCCTTCTTTCTTTCTCTGTACCCACTCAACTCTTCGGGTTACGGACCTTTCGTGCCCCGGCGATGGATGGATGACAGGTCAATTCTCCCTTTGAGGTTTAGCGTCGACTTGTGACTTCAACATGTTGGCCGAAGATGCAGAACGTCTTTGAGCTATTGATGACTGTGGTCATCTACGGGCAGGAGGAAACTAGCTCAGTTGATTCAACGTTGCGGACAAAACAAGGTATTCGTCCTAGAGATATGCTTCAACGTTTCTGGGGACGCTAGTCGATTTAGCTCAAGGTATACCGAATTAGAGGATCTCTTCTAAGTTCTAGGTAATGGGTGATTAGATAAGATACTCTGGGTTGACCATCGGTTTCTAGTTGTCATTGCCCCGATAGTCTTTCAAGTCATAGGGTCAATAGCATTGTCAACTCACTTATTGTTCTGTGTGTTATGGATAGAATCCAGATGATTCTAGATTAGCTGATAGATGAAAGGAATCCAAGTGTGTGTGGCGTCACGATGTATCATGGTGCATTTTTCGCATTGGATGTTAGTTACCTACCTTATTCACCACCAACAGCAACGGGTCAGACAAGAGTTCGCCGAGAGGTACGCCGATGACTGCTTAGCGCATCTGTATGCACAGTCTTGGAGCATACGTAGTACGTGGGAGAGGCTCTGATAAGCCAATTTCGAACAAGGTGAACAATGAATATGCCGGAATCAGTATTGACACCAGAGAAGCAGGATTGAACCGGGAAGCTGATTGTTCGGTCTCCAATATTCAAGAAAACTGCAGTTTACCGCACCAAATGTAATGCAGTTTCTCTTCAAATATTTTGTTTTTGAACTTGATAACAGAACCGCGTCTGATCATTATGATATCATGTCATATCATATGCAGGTGAGATCCGTCCTATTAATTCTTCCTAGGTACAGTACTATACCTTGCTTAAGACGAATCAACAGTTCAGAAGAGAAATTTGACAGCTGTCAATTGGGACAGCCTTGCACTGAAAATTCATGAGTACTGTACGGATACGTATCCGTACAATGTAACAAGATTCCGAGGCTGATCTCGGCTGCATAAACTCGAGCAAAGACTCGTTGATAGAAGCAATATCCCTGGGCTGAAGCTTGAGTGTGGATTAGGGTCCTTACTAGCGAGCGGGTGCAAGGATAACTGATCCCGACATTTGGACCCCCAGTCACCGATTTTTTGTTTCTTACAGGTCTAGACGTGGGCTGGGCTGGGCTGGGCTGTTTGTCTTGAGAAGCACAAGCAGCGAGCGAAACAATGTTTCCAACTGAATGTGTTGGACAAGAGCCCGTACAAAGGACAGGTTCTGTACTAGAGTTATAGACTCACTAGATGGTCAAAAGAAAGCCGGTCCTCAAGACGAAACACATGGCATACAGATCCGTCTGCCATCATAGACTACGCCGTGGTCACGCGGGATTCACAATTTGCATCAAAGCGCATTCCCAAAGGATGCAGACAGACACAGACAGGCGGACAGACCTCTGGATGTCAAGACCAGGTCGAACCTTAGACCTCACTGCATGCAGCTCATACCATGCGAAGCCAGACGGGACGGGACGAGTCTTTTGACTACCTACCTAGTACCTAGGTATGAAACGATAGTGAAGCAGCTCAACAAAAGATAAGCAATCCCTAACAACAAACAACCTCAAGGAGTGAAGTGATAATTATAGTGATATGGATGATCGTCACTGCACATAGGGACGGGACTGACCTGACGCTAAGAAGCCCTGAAAAGCAGACACTTTAGGGCACTGCCGCACTATAAACAGTCACTCTGCCCCTGGGCCTCAGGTCAGGCTTCCAATGGATGGAACCGGGCTACTAGGTGGGCTCCATGCCATTATTTACTTCCATCGATCCATGTATGCCTCTGCTTTAGATCCAATGCCCCCGAATTATAAAACAGCACCTACAAATTCATCAGGTCGGCTTTGAACCCTTGCTCCTGTCTTGGATCCCTAAAGGCTCGTCGGCAAACAAGCGATAAATACCTATTAGATACCTGGAAGGGAAAGAACAGACAGGCATTATTAGTAGCTGGCATTGTCACCTAGCCAAGGAACCTAGATAGGTACCTACCAGGTAGTCAACCAAACAGTCCGGTTACCTGATGTTTCTATCTCCATGCTCTCGGAGGTCGACATTGTTTTGATTCATATTACCAAGTCCTGGTTTATAGAATACAACTGTCCCGTCGGCACGTCTTGTTGTAAACTATACTCACTCTGCCCGTGGTGGTACCTAGGTTAGTACCTACTAACGGTTTGCATCTTTTCCTCTGGGCATCTTTTCCTCTGGGCATCTTTTCCTCTGGGCATCTTTTCTCCTGGACCTCCTGTCCTGCCTACTACCTTAGTACTATGGAGGTTAGTCAAATATGGAACTCAGGCAAAGTGCTGATCCATGGAACCTCCCCTCCCCGAAATACCCATCCCCTGTTTAACGGGCTCTGCTTTGCCCTGTCCGTCAGGATGTCAGAAGAATTGGCCGTCAAGAGCATAAAAGACGAAATAATTTGGTCATCTTATACCGGCTTAGGCTAGCATTTATGCTACTTTATTTCCGTACCCTAAGTCTTAGAGGACAATTCTTCTGACGCCAACCTGCCTGTAGATTGGCCCTGGCACTGGACTGGTAGCGCTGGTCCCTGCCATTGTCTACCTCCATACCTAGGTAGGTAGGTATCCGTAGTGGTCCATCATTTACCTCCAGCTACTACCTCTTATCCGTAAGTTAGTAGTACTTCTAGGTAGACTACTAGTCTAGGTACCTAGATACTTGGTCCTTCTTGGACTTAGTTTTCTGCCTGGCTTGCCTCTGTAACGGTATCTCTTAGAGTACCTAGCTTAGTACCTAGATAGTTCAGCTGTCGGTGCAGCTTTCATTTGCTTACCTTAGTACCTTAGCTTTCATCCATGGTAGGTAGTACCTACTGTACCTCCATACCTATCTACTAGGTAGGTACCTAAGGTCCACCAGTTCTCTGCTATTGCCAGTACCACCCGACTGCCTCTCCTACTGTACAGTAGGTACTAGTTACTGCCGTTACCACTACCTGTCCAGGGCCTGTGCCTCTCTCTCTCTCCTGGGCTCTCTCCCTCTCTCTTTTTACTTCTGCCTGTATCTCTTTTCCTCCCTCTCTCTTTTGCTACCCGATTGCTGGGCGCGCAACGAATCAAATAACCGTACCTCCTCTCGTCTTGTTGCAGGTCCAAAACTCCCGTCGACCACAGCCTCCTCCTTCCTCACTCTCCGCCTCCACCCATTTGCTGCATCAGCTTCCAAGGCCAAATCGAGCCAGGCCAAACCGAACCAAAACCAAAACCAACGCAACGCAACTCCATAGCAATCCGCCGCCAGCCAATCTACCTAGGTACTTACTTACCGCAAGCCGCATCCACCACAATCTTGACTTCGACCACCTACGTCCGACATCAGAACAATAAAGCGCCAGCAGCAGTCTCTCGGTATCGCCTTGTCCTCCATCTCGCAACCCCGACACTGACATCGACACCGACACCGACACCGACACCGACTCGACTTTCTCCGCTTCGCTACCCCCCCGCTCTCTTACCGTAGTCGCGCGCAACCGCCCGCCAATAAAGCTTTACTACTCTCGACCGCTTGCATTTCGCTCTGACAGAGTCGAGCTCCTACTCAGGAGTCTTTGAGAGGAACAATGGCGGTTGTCGCTACCATCAAGTACGTTTGGATGCATGGGCTCATGTCGCTGTGCTGGGTTGCGTTGTGCTTTACTTTGGTTTATCTCCTTACCGAGATCGCCTTGGAAAACACAACGCCCTGAGCATACCTGCGCATCGCATCTGCATATTGTCTCGTCCCTCTCTCGCAGTTTGCCTGTTTGTCCAAAGAGCTAATCCATCTACCCCCTAAAACAGGTGCGTCGTCGTTGGTGACGGTGCTGTTGGAAAGACTTGTCTTCTCATCAGCTATACAACAAACAAATTCCCCTCTGAATATGTCCCGACCGTGTTCGACAATTACGCTGTCACTGTTATGTGAGTCTACCTGCACACCCGTCAGATCGACGCCAGCCCCCCACACCGCACCCCCACCTGTGTTGGACGTCCTTTTCTACGAAATCCTTCTCGACCCAAATTAGCGATGGCATGTTGAGTCGTTTGTGATACAAACCACATGCGCATGTTCCTAATGGAAAAACGTAACCGGTCAAGAAGGCTTGCTGACTGGCTTTAGGATCGGTGATGAGCCATACACTCTCGGACTATTCGATACAGCCGGTCAAGAAGATTATGACCGACTGCGACCTCTGTCATATCCTCAAACCGATGTCTTCCTTGTCTGCTTCTCCGTCACCTCTCCTGCTTCGTTCGAAAACGTTCGCGAGAAATGGTTTCCCGAAGTCCGCCACCACTGCCCCGGAGTTCCCTGCTTGATCGTTGGCACTCAGGTCGATTTAAGAGACGATCCTAGTGTCCGTGAAAAGTTGTCGAAGCAAAAGATGCAGCCGGTACGACGAGAGGATGGTGAGCGAATGGCCAAAGACCTAGGTGCGGTCAAGTATGTCGAGTGCAGCGCCCTTACCCAGTACAAACTTAAGGATGTGTTTGACGAGGTATGTTGTCATTCGTGGAACTCATTGTGATCTAGAAAGGCTTTTGGATTTTTTTTTTTCTGACTTGGTATGCAGGCTATTGTGGCTGCTCTCGAACCCCCCGCACCAAAGAAGAAGTCGCACAAGTGCCTCGTCCTATAAACAGACAGAGGTCGGCCGCAGCCGCACCAGGACACCATTCTCTTGCACTTGCCTGTGGGAATGGTTGTCAACCAAGGATATGCCAAAGTGGAGGTGCACAAATAGAACTCTTGGTGAAGGCACAGCGAGACAATGTCGGGATGATCAGAGCGGATGAAAGGGACATGGGAGATTTCGCAGAGATAGGCAGTCCTATTCTTGACGGGACTAGATGACGCAACGTAACTCGGGAGGAAAGGGGTCTTTCACGAAAGAATGACGGACGATCGAGAAGGCAATTTGGACCAAGGAGCTGCTGAGACACTGAGTGTAGCCCTAGTCGGCAGCCGGAGCCTCTTTTGATGACGAACCGGCTCTGGTCAGCGAAGCTCATAAGCTTTTACGGACGACATCTGGCAAGCTTATCCTCTGATCTTCTGATTCTCCCGAGACGTTGCGGTTAAGAAGGGTGTGAGAGACGACGCGGGAGCTGATGGAGAGGATGACTATTCATACATCCGGGCGGGAATGCTTTGATAGGACAGTTTGGCGATTGGGGTGCAATTTACATCAATATCTTGCCTTGATTCATACTACGTTATAGAAACTTCTGCATTTATCTCTACCTATGGCCCGAATGAGCTATATTGACTTTCAAGAAAACCACACAAAGACTGCAAGTCTGTTCGGTTCCTGAGCCAGCACTAGAATGACGTAGGGATGAATACCAGCCGTGCTTCTTTGGGTATTATAGTTGATCGTTGGTGTTGGGAATTTGGGTTGCAGAGACTCACATCTACCGGTCAACTGATGGGTAAAGCGTTGCTGTCAAGGCATGGCATCTAGGTAGACAACTGAGTACGAGACCTCCATTGTTTTGGGGGGCATCTTGTTTATAACTTAACGTTAACTGCCGAGAACATCAGGCGAGGTGAGTTGTCGCTCCAACTTTCCTATCTCAACCTAGTTCCAAAGTGACAGGACCCATTCTCCGGACAGTTTCTCTAAGCCCAAAGATGAGTGCATCGAGCCTTTATCTGCGATTCTATGCCTAAATCAGGCAAATGGCCTCCAACCTCAAGAGAGCTCAGGGCCTTCCAGGCGGGGAAGAAGACGTTATTAGCCAACTGCGGGGTGTTTTCATGACATTTTTCTGATGATCGTTTAGTTGATTGACCAATTAGATTCCATCAAGGCTTCTTTTGAGGCTTTCTTTACATAGATCGGAACAAAGACATACAGTACAATATGATATCGTGATAGGCCTTGACTCGTGGGGCCGGATGGCAGCCGGCCGGCGAGGTGGAGGGCATTTAGGTCCCTATAATAGACATTCCTGTCTTCCTCTTTCCCTCTTGTTTCTCTTTTATTTCCTTTCGTTCATCTCCTTCTTGTTCTTCTCTTAACGGTGTCGAGCCCAAACACTTGCAGATTGCAACTGATACGTCGGTCATCATGAAGCTATTGAACCTCCTCTCGTTGGCGGGGTTGGCAGCGGCTTGTGCTCATGAGCATGATGATAAGGAGTGGACCAAGGAAGAACTCGATGAGCTCGAGGCGAAATGGGGTTACGAGGTATGTGAGAGCTTCTAAGGAGAGAAGCTTCCCATGAAATGTATACTGACATGACCTATCTTAGTGGCCCTTTGCTGGTATCAACACGTTTGCCCACCTCAGCCATGTTAAGTGTCTCACTGAGCCCACTGAGCCCTTCGACATTGCTATAGTCGGTGTTCCCTTCGACACAGCCGTGAGCTATCGTCCAGGTGCTCGCTTTGGACCCCGAGCAATCCGCTCAGCGTCTGCCCGTCAAACATCGATGCGCGGCTTCAATCCTCGGGCAGGTGTTAACCCGTACCAGAACTGGGCTAAAATTGTTGACTGTGGCGATGTTTCTGTCACGCCAATCGACAACGGCATTGCCCGTGAGCAGATGACTCAGGCGTTCAAGCAGCTTGGTCGGCGGAGGACTGTGTCGGCGCTGGCTCCAAAGCCTCGACTTGTAACGTTGGGCGGTGACCATTCCTTGGCTCTTCCTGCTTTAAGGGCGCTGAACGAGATTCACGGGAAGCCAGTTCAGGTTCTGCACTTTGATGGTAAGTCCCCAAGTCGATATTGACGAAAGGAGCCTTTATGCAGACTTGGTTCAGAGAACCTGGCCACTAACATATTCGTCACAGCTCACCTTGATACATGGAACCCAGCTGCCTATCCCTCATGGTGGGGGGCTACTCACTTTAACCATGGCTCAATGTTCTGGATGGCCAACCAAGAAGGCTTGCTCTCCAACTCATCTTCTGAGCGCTCTGTCCATGCCGGTCTGCGGACTCGTCTCACAGGCACTGACTTCTCCGACCACGAAGACGATTCGTCACAGGGCTGGGTCCGCTTCACAGCTGACGACATTGATGACCTTGGTACCAAGGGGATCATCGACGGCATCCTTAAGGTCCTAGGTACGGAGAACCCCGTCTATCTTTCCGTGGACATTGACGTTCTCGACCCTGCCTTTGCGCCTGGCACAGGTACCCCTGAGCCTGGCGGTTGGTCTACTCGCGAGTTCATCCGCATCCTCCGTGGCCTTGAGGGCTTGAACCTCGTTGGCGCTGATGTCGTTGAGGTATCTCCTGCGTACCAGAATGGGGGCGAGGAGACAGCCCTGGCTGCTGCCCAAGTTGTCTATGAGATTATCAGCTCCATGGTCAAGAGGGGTCTCCAAGATGGCGGTAAGGAAGGCAACGGTGGCAATGCCGCTCAGGCCAAGGATGAACTATGAGAGGTTTGTGCCTAGAAATAGGCTTAATTGGTACCATGTGTTTATGAATGATGGAGCGGGAGTTGCATAGGATCAAGTCAGAATGTACATCGAATTTTGTGTCATACGATTCCAGTTGGGCGACAAAGACATCAGAGTGTTTGTACGACACCACGGCTTGAGAGGCACTCAAGAGCCCTTGCTCTTAGACCTATAGGTGGCTTGTGAACCAGAAGAAGTAGTGGTATTTGGCCTAATGGTAGGTGCTTAGATTCATCCATACCTAGACATGATTGCCTTTGAACTGTATCCGTATTTACATACATCCTTATCCACGATCAGCACGGACACTTGATGGTTGAAACTTTTAAGATTTACATTGATCACTCAGTCACTCGCTAAGCTCGCTGACAATGCTTTGTCATGGCATCTATTGATCTGAGTGACAGATATACGACATGATCACAAAGGAAGTCGATCCACTTGAAAGACTAAGGGCTAGATCGACTGGGAAACATGGGTGAACAAAATATCCTGATGGAACAACCACAACCACAGCCAAACTAGGCCAGGCCAGGCCTAGAATAATAGGCGAGGCCTTTGCTGGCCAAGTACCGTACGGATGCTCTGGTACTGTAAGCGGGTCAAGGCGTACGGTAGCATCGTGGGACGTGGTGGGATCAGAGATGGAACCACTAACAGTAAATGAATGCGACTATCAGACCGACGTTTACATAGAGAAGACCGGTAAGCTCGCTGAGAGGAAGGCATTTTGCATACATACGTGCACACATGGATGTATATAGATACTTAGGTAGGTATCTACAGTAATTACCTTATGGATATAGAAAACATGGAGCGGGTGGCGCGTTTACGAAGCGCCTGAGACTCTTCCCAAAATAGAACATGAACATGAACATGAACATGAACATGTTCCCATCTCCATCTGCCTGAAGGCGATTGTGTTTGGGAGTGAGATGAGAAATGCTTCAAGACTATCCGTACATATAAACTATACAGCGAGGCCCATGTTGATGTTTCACAACGACTAGGGGGGTTCCAATCCAATGCAGCAAGGGGAAGAATACGAATCGACTCACCGGGCTCTTTCTTCCCTTCCCTTCCCTTACCTTGTTTTTGTCTTGTGCAGCGGATGGATGGAAGGATGTCCGTATCTACCTGTACTGTATCCGTATGTATAAACGTAATATTGCCTTGTCTAGGTAGGTAGGTGATACAAGTATGAGAGATAAACAAAAAGAAGATGAAAATGAAATCATATCTGCATTGAGGAATTGCTTTTTGATACAACGGTAAAACAAAAGTAATTCCGTAGCTGTCAAAGGCTTGAGCGTTTCAAGCGACGCGGGCGAATTGACTCTTTGAGCGGGCAGTGGAGATACGCACATACGTTAGTAGTTTAGGTCCATGCTTTAGGCTTTAGCGCGTATAAGGAACCCCACCACCACATTTGCATTCATTATAGGGGTCCAAATACAGTACCTACCTTCCATAGAGGTCGGGTACCTAGAGGTAAATAAATACACCAATTCTATTGAGAGTAGATACCTGATAGAGTCAAGCTGAGTGGTTCCCTTCAAGCATCAAGTTGATTTGATTTGAGTTATTGATTGCACTTTAATCTTGTGCCCAACTCCAAGCCAACTATACCTATTCAAGGTACTAACCGGCTTGGATGACCTCTGTTTGCATCCATATCACCTTACGATTCAATTATACTAATTACATTAATTATCTGCACTAACCCAGTCAGCCTGATGCTTGACCAATTACCCCTATCCGTATATTATGTGTCTGGAGAACTCCAGAGCTCGCGTGGTAATGGAATTGGCATTGGCATAGTCACGGTAGATCCAATCCTGATTGACAGACAGAGACAAGGAGCCAAAGGACGGGACGGGATCGGATTGGACAGTGTGGTATTTGGTACAGTATTTGGTATGCATTTGCAAGGGTACGCTCGTCTTGGTCTCCTTGTAACATTCGCATTCACATTTCACTCCTTCACGGAACAAGACTCAAGCTTCCACTATGTTTCAAGATGACGCGAGACTTCTATTGATGGAAACAGTATTATCCTTCAGATGAAATTTACCGAAACTTTCAAGTAGATCATATCCATCTGATACACCTGCAACTGTCCTGTCCTGTCCTCTACGGATACCATAGTACCTTACCGTAGATGGACCGTACAAAGAATCGACATAATCCTTGTCAGGGTCATTAAACTATCGGAGCAGCCAATTCCAACCTTGACCCCCTTTGGGCAATCGATGGACCCAGTCACCCCTGGGACTTGAAGGTTGGGTCGATAGGTAAGTTCTTGGTTAGCCCAGTCCCCCCCTTGGTCCTTGGTCTGATGGATCTGATGGATGGGAATTGCTCCTCCCCCCCAGAGCCTCCTTCCCCAGGTAGTGGCTACTGCTGTGCTCTCTGCTGTCCCCTGAACTGAACTGAACTACGGGAAGATATGCATTAATCTGTGACATGACTGGCTCGCCGTTGTCCGTCGTCGGTTGCCGCTTTGTGGCTTTCAAGTCTAGCCGCGTCCTGACTAGGCCGGCTAATTTTATGTTTGTGCAATGGATTGATTGCCTTGTGCATTGACGTTCAAGACTTACCTAGTAGGTTTCTCTTTATGAATTGACCATCAGTCGTTTCTATTCATACAGGTACCTTACCTACCTAGACACTGACTGTAGGTATCAATGGATGTATCGTAGGTACAGCACATTGGTGAAGGGTTCAATGAATACCTAACTCTAAACACTGGATGATTGATTCATTGATTGATTGATCCATCAATCGAAGCAGTAAATCACTGCTCAAGGTATTGCATTGATTCACTCTCTACTTCACTCTTGTCATTCAATTCTTCCACCAATTCTTACTTACACCCATCCATAACCTACTAGTCTACCTATAGGTACTAGGTAAGTAGGTACTAGGTTAGTAAGTTAGTAGGTAGAGTAGGCAGGTAGGCTGTTGTCCATCAACACCTACCTTCCTTTCTTCATGTACCTTTTTTGATCACCTTTGCTCCTTCTCATTCTTCTTTATCCCCTCCCTCCGCTCTTGCCATTTACTCACGGCTTCTCATTCATTCATTTTTATTCTTTAATATACGAATCTTTATTCTCTTCTCTTCCTCTTCATAATTATCCCTTCTCAAATCTACAGAACACTCCACCCACCCACCGACCCTCCTCCACCTCATTCCCCTACCTGGTGGTCTGGCCTTTTTCTCTCCCTCCCTGGCGCGCCTCTTTGCTCATTTGGGCATTATTACCTTGCATTATTATTTCCTACCTACGTACGATACATTACTTGACTGGTCTGGTCTGGCCTGAACTGGACCGGCTCTATTACTACCTACTACCGGCCTACCAACACAGCTGACTTGGAAGCTAATCTTCTTGTTCCTGGCTGTCGGCCTGAGGCTCACTTCACACACCCCCTGTGTTTCTTGGTCCCTGATCTTTCAAAGGTCAACCTGACCTGGACGACTTCGAAATTCATCCCTCATTCTCCCTCTCTCCTCTCCCTCTTTTGATTCCTCGTTCCCTCCACATTTGTGCCGTCCTCTCACCGACGCCGACTTTTGTCTCTTCTTCTTCTTCTTCTCTCCTCAATCCTCACTCACCCTGTTCAAGGCTCTCGTTGCTCCTTGGCAGATGCAGTGTCGTCTCTATTCCTTCTCTTGAGACAATAACTTTGGCTTCGTCGACACTCGTTTCGGCCGTATTGCTTTATTAATATTTTGATCTGCTCGCCCGTCTTCCCTGGATATCATCCTAAGCTAGGCCAATCCAAGCCAAGCTACGCACTGTCGTGCTTTACATTTCTCGTCCGACTTTACGATACATTCGCTCGTGCAATCGACAACCGTTATTTTGCATCTTCAGCCTCGCCAAAACTTCCGGTTTCGATTCGACCGAAGCCGTTCAAATTCGAGTCCATATATACTGAACGGTTGCTTCCTGGAACGACCTTTTTCTATTCCATCAGGCTCTTTCGTCTGACTTCCTTCTGGATATCTTGATACGCTTCATAATTCTCGATTCTATTGGCTTCATTCAGCATACATATCTGCTTCAGTCTTGTTATCCGGGCCCCTTTTCTCTGTTGGGATTTGAACGATTGTCTCTTGAAAGACAACTCTGCTGTGCAGTCGGTAAACTCAAGGCTCGGATCGTCTGAAGTTACTCAGCCGGACCGTCCTCCCAACTTCGCTGCTCTCTCCGTGCCTTACTCGGGCACATCCAATTCTTCAAAACGGCTGTACTGTCGCACACCGGGCGGGACTCTCTCGTCCCCCCTCATCTGCTCAGCATGCAAGACCTCAATGGGCCTGTTGGCCAGGGTGCCCCTAATGGCCCTGCCAATCGCTTCGGCCATGCTTCCAAACCTTCCAACAGCGATACCGGCTTTTCACACGGCGCCTTCAACTCAAACATCTCGGGTTTCGCTGATCGACACCCTCGAAGAGGCAACATCCCCTCAATCAATACGCAGCCCCAGCCTATGGCCCAGCAGGCTTCCAACAATGGAGCAGATATGGCAACGCCAGGTACTGCATTTGACATGCAGTTTACTCCTCTGTTGCCTTCTCAGCTGCTTCTCGGTAGCCCTTTCCAGCCCGGAACTCCAGCTGCATTTGCTAGTCCTCAGTTCCAGAGCCTTCCTGGCTTTCAGCAGCAGCAGGGAAACCATCAGCAGCAAAATGGTATTTCGAGCCCTGTGCAGCAGACTATCTCGCCTCAGTCATATGGAGGAATAGTCTCTCCTTCTACATATGGTGCCCCTCAATTCTACCCTCCCCAGTCCCCTACTGGTGGCTTCGGTATGCAGGCACCTCTGCCTCCTACCTCGCCTGTCTCAATGGGCTCTGGCGTCGTTACAGGAACTAGCCGAACGGTCTATCTGGGTAACATTCCCCCGGACACTGTCGCCGAGGAGATTCTTGGCCATGTTCGAAGTGGTCAGATCGAGTCAGTTCGTCTTCTGCCCGACAAGAACTGTGCTTTCATCTCATTCCTTGATGCTAGCTCTGCCACTCACTTCCACTCTGATGCCATCTTGAAAAAGCTCTGCATCAAGGGTCAGGATATCAAGATCGGCTGGGGCAAACCTTCCCAGGTTCCTACTTCTGTCGCTTTGGCTGTTCAGCAGTCAGGGGCTTCGCGAAACGTCTATCTTGGCAACTTGCCTGAGGAGGTGTCCGAGGAGGAACTAAGAGAGGACCTTGGTAAGTTTGGTGCCATTGACACAATCAAGATCGTCCGCGAGAAGAGCATTGCGTTCGTACACTACTTATCGATTGCCAACGCCATCAAGGCTGTCTCTCAGCTCCCGCAAGAGCCCAAGTGGCAGGCCCCTCGTCGCGTGTACTACGGCAAGGATCGATGTGCCTATGTCTCCAAGACGCAGCAACAGAATGCTGCTCAGTACTTGGGCATTGCTCCTGGGTATGCCCATATGTTGACAGGTGCCGATCGTGATTTGATCTCGAACGCTCTGGCTCAACAATCTGTTGCTGCCGCTGCAGTTGCCACAACCGCTGGCGGCATCAACAACCTCGGTAACCGAACCATCTACCTTGGTAACATCCATCCCGAGACGACAATCGAGGAAATTTGCAATGTTGTTCGCGGCGGACTTCTTCACCACATCCGTTACATCCCCGACAAGCATATTTGCTTTGTTACCTTCATAGACCCTACCGCAGCTGCTTCTTTCTATGCGCTCAGCAACATTCAGGGTCTTATGATCCATAACCGACGCCTCAAGATTGGCTGGGGCAAGCACTCCGGAGCCCTTCCTCCTGCCATTGCCCTGGCTGTGAGCGGCGGTGCTTCTCGAAACGTCTACATCGGTAACCTCGACGAAACCTGGACCGAGGAGCGCCTGCGACAAGACTTCTCCGAGTATGGCGAGATTGAGCTCGTCAATACCCTACGTGAAAAGAGCTGTGCTTTCGTCAACTTCACCAACATTGCCAATGCTATCAAGGCGATTGAGGCTATCCGCGGTCGGGAAGATTACAGGAAGTTCAAGGTTAACTTTGGCAAGGACCGCTGCGGTAACCCACCTCGTCAGATGCAACAGGCTCAGTCTCCTCGTGGAGATGGTGTATCTTCTCCTCCACCTAATGGATCCCAAAATAGCGGTTCTCCTACCAACGGCAATACCCCTCAGCAATCCGCTGCTCTCTTCAATGCCAACAGTAACCCTCTGACGATGTACCTGAATCAGGTGTCCCATCAGGCTCAGCAACAGCAGCACCATCAACAGCAACAGATTGCTGCTCAGCAAAATGCTTTGTTCGGCACAGCCCAGCCGTCGCCTAGCGATCTCGATCTCGGCATCTCTCAACTTGGCATCTCTCAGCAAGGTCCCGTTTCCGGCCATGGTCAGTCGGCAAGTATTTCGAATGGATACCCGGCGAACAGCGCAGCACCTGGCTCCACTACCATTGGCGGTCTGCTAGCTCCCGGTCGTGGTCAGCACAGCCGGGCTGTCAGTCTTCCTGTGCTTGCTCCAGGATTCGAGAACGGCGGTAACTCTAACGGCATGCCCGCTGAGAACGAGCGACGAGGTCACCACTATCAAGCCAGCTATGGCGGTATGGGATCTGGATTTGGTCTCGCCATCCAAGGAGGTTTGAACGGATGGGTTGAGGAGGAGGTTGCTAACTAATGACGCTTTTGCATCTTCATGCTTTCATCACATGCGAGATTGGACGAAAAAAAAACTTGCTTAAACGTTGTAATTGACGCTGCTTATGGGCGTACTGTCCTTTATGTCTGGGCTTTACACACCTTCATTCTTTGTTTTCTTTTTATTGATAATTTACCTTTTCGGTGTATCTTTATTTGCTTTGGAAAGTCAGTCTTGCTTCATGATGTATTGCTCAATCGAAGGAGGTGGGAGCGCTGAGGAGGAACAAGCTTTGTGGTTAATACGTCCTTCTATAGAAGATAGGGGCGCTTATGGCTGGGACGAGACGCTGTTTGCAAAGAGAAGATTCTGCATGGGATGAATGAGGATATATCACCTGCGTTTGTGTCTACTACGGAGTCTTAGGTCAGGTCAGGCTTTATAGCCTTGAACGCAGATCATATGATCACTTAACACGTTTTAATTAATGTAGTACACTGCACCAACGAACTGTAGTGGTTTCTATGTAATTCGTTTTGCGTCGTATGCACGCGTCCAAGAAAAGAGTCTCTAAACTTTTTAGACTGGCAGGAGTTTAAGGCTCACAGGATCTTCATATCTGAGTGCTGCTGGCGTGGCATTAGGGCCAGCGGATAAGACCTGCGATGAGGGCGTAGCTCTCCTGCACGTTTAGTAACCTGGAGGTTCGGGCCTGGAAGGAAATGCAGACTCCGTCATATTGGAACGACACTGGTTTTTCCAATTGGTGGGAGTAAACTTGTCCACGATTTCCTTGAATGCTTCCTGGTAAAAGAAAGTGTTTATTAGCGAAGGCAAGAAGCAAGGGGGGCACGGAGTGCTTACCAGAGTACAGAAGGACTCGTTTCCATCTAGATGTCTGCCTTGAGGCTTGCAGCCAGGAACGGTGACTGGACGATCATTGTAACGAAGGCGGACGTAGTAGCCCTTTAGTCTATCTTTTTCCTCCTCGGTCAAGTCGGAGCTCTTCTTGCGACCAATTCCCGGTGGCGGTGATCCCGCCGAAGGTTTTGGTTGGTCACCCAAGCCTACCAAGGAACATGTACCGACAGGTTTAACAGCACTCATATTGGCATGTCGAAAGAGTTCAATTGCGACGTGACTGGTGAATGGCGGCCAGTCTTCTTCGTTGAAAGCCCCGAGACTAGCAAGCGTGGCGGCAAGCGTAGTATCGTGACACCCGCTCATTGCGAATTTTACAGAGGGATGTATGGTGATAGAGCCTTGCTTATTGGTAGCCAGCTCATACTCGCCATCTGCCGTAGTATGCTCAGCACTGCCGACCATGCGAGAAACAATATCGCCGAGTAAAGCACCAATACCTAGCATTCGATACTCTTGGCTTTCCTTGTATCCAGCAAACCACTCCTCCACGCCAATCTTCTCGATGATTCGCTTCACGTCTGGGTCATAAAACTCCTTGGGAAGCCGGGTGTCTGGACCATGAGCTTTCGTGGAATTGATAGTATCCATGATTCCACTTAGACGAGGTCGAGAGTCTACAGCAACACGCGGGTTTTCTTCAGGCATCCAGCGGCCGAGGCGTTTATTCAAATATGCCATCTCGTCGGAATCGTTCCATCGTTCAGCACACCGTTTAGCAAAGGCGCGAGAAAGAGTAGCGAACCGGCGGCAGTTGCCATCGTTGGGGAAGAGGGTTTCATCGGCGGCCATGCGAGTGAGGATGGTGGGAGGATGGTGGCCAGTGTCAGAGCCACGAGTGGACGGAGGATAAAGGCCGTAGAAAGCTTGCTGCAGAGATTCGAGAGCACGAGGAATAGGCGTCGCCCGAAGGTATATAGCAGCTGTATCAGTGTCGGTTGTGAGATTTTCTGGAAGGAACCGAAGCTGGTTAATGTATAGATGTCGTAGGCGCTGACCCAGATTGTACGTAGTTTCCCGTCCACGATTCGTCAACATGCCCATTTCGCAAATATCATCGAGCTCACCATTCTGACCTGTGACTATAATAGGGGAATCATCGGGGCCAATTGTCTCATATCGTTGCTTCCACTCGAGAGCAGTAAGACCCAGGTTGGTAGCAGGGTCATGTCCCGACTTGATAACAGAAGGGTCGAGGATCACACTGGTCAGCCGACGAGCTGCAGAGCAGTACGGCCAATGGGTTGCGAGACCTGCTGAAGCGAAGCGAGCGTTGATAGGAGTGCGCTCGCCATGTCGGAGAAGGATTTGGACGTGTTGAAGGCGCAGTTGATGTGGGTATAACTGCTTAATCTCGTCTTGCGAGTAGGGAGGCCGAGCCTCGAGAGTTGTCATGATGAGGATCAATTGAGATTTCGTTCAGCGACAATAGACAATTTGCATCAGAATGATGATCAACAAAATGAACTAGGCTATGGGGTAAAGTATCACCTAGTCAGTTTGAAGTCATAACATCGTATCAAATCCGAAGCATCGGCGCCGGCCGTTGATCGGGGCCTGGTGGGGAACAACGTTGAGGAGAGTCAATTGATGACGTTAGGAGCATAGGGTTTGAAGATGAGCGTGCTGAGTTGTGTTGGAGGGCAGCAGGTACATACTATACTGTAGGGGTGGCCTGTGGCTGGAACGTGGAGGGGAAACGTGGCACTCGCCGTCTTTCCGGGGCCGAAGAGGAAGATGATGAGGATGAGATGCATATAATTGATGATTCAAGAGGGATGATGAGTAGCTGATGAAGATCTTAGGCATACCTGTACTGTACTGCACTGAAATGTACCTACCTATGCCAGACAAGCTGGATGTCATGGAGGCTCAAACTCCGAATCTATTTGTTGGGCAGTTCCTGGTGATGTTGTAAACAAGCTGTTGATAGAGGATATCGTAACTCTGTGATTTTGATGTTGGAGTTTTGTTCTCCTCAAGTTCATGCTAACTCGGGACTAGATACCTGCCTACTACCTAGGTAGGTACCTGCCTACCGACCTGGGTAGATCTATTCTAGATTGCTGAAGGAAGGAGCTGGGGCCCATTATCACATGCCGCTGTCCATCGATTGACTTGTGCCTGCCTCCTTGGTGCGTAGGTATTATGTGCCTGCTTGCTATCCGTTGACACTACCTACTAAGTAAGGTAAGGCTAGGTAGGTACTATCCAGGTACCTCGGTAGTGGTGATTCAGGTTTAGGTCGCAATACCTTAGGAAGCTACCGTTCTTGGCTCCTTCCAGAACAAGTCATCCGTGAATCCCAGTAAGCCGTTCTTGCCAGTTGAGGCTCTGTACCGTAACATCCAACCCATAATTCATGGGCGGATGTTATCAAACACCAAAACCAAAATTTACCGTCATTTGACAACATCACAATCAATGAGTAGACTACCTACTGTACCTAGTATTTCCCTTTTTTCTTTGGCCTACAGTACATAGCCCGTTGATCAATTCCCCAGACACCTTCTCAATGGCCCGTAATTGGCTCTAAATTTCCGTTTTCCTTTTTCCCCTTAGACCATGACCTCATCAAATCAACAAGGATCTTGCAATGTACCGAACCCATGACACCAAGGCACTGGATAAGTATCTACTGTATTTGTAAAAATTGAGCTGAATCACAATCTTTCACCAGACCTCTTCGAATAAATCACGAGAAACGTTACTGTTCAGAGCCTATCCTGAATTTCCTATACGAGAACGAAGAGAAGCGGACGACCAACCTAAACACCAAGTATCTATCGATCGTGGATCCATTCACACCCGGGCCTCCCGGATCAGCGCACACAGCCCAGCCCAGCCAGCCTTTCTGTCGAGGGATTGAATCCTCTTTGACTTAGCTCCACCGCCTCCGTCTCTGTCCCCCATCTCCGTGGTTGATTGATTTATTCATTGCTCGCTTGAGTCGGCAAGAACCACTTCACGGATATGTCTGACAATCCTTCGCTTCATCATCCTTAAACAGCATCTTTTGCTAGTGCATCGCCTTTGTCTATCTATATGACTTGTCTAACTTACCGGTTCAACATAACAACCCGGTCCTTTTCTGCTAACCGTCAGCCGTTTGCTTAACTTCAATCCGGTTACTAGATTGGTGTTTTGACTCTTCTTCTGTCTTCGCTTGTTCTTCAAGCTCATTTCAATAAGTCATGGCGACACATGCATCAGCTGAACCTTCACGCCGTTCACCCAGCCCAGATCTACATGAGGATGACGACTCCATCATTTGCAATCAAGACGAAGCCGAGGCGATTCTGCAACCTGCTCTAAGTGAAGCTGCTAGACATCTCACTTCACAAAACACGCCTGCCATTGAGAAGGCGCTGGCATTGGACAAAAGCCGGGCTGGTTTGTTCGATGTTCCCACTGACAGAACTGGTGATACCAGTCCTGACCTTCCATCTTCACCCGAGACATCGCCTCAGGTACCGCAGTTCACTCCCCCAGCCAGGTCTCCCGTGCACACATTGCATGAGCCGCCTAAACATGCTTTGCCTTCTCCGTGGCAAGCTCGGCCGAAACCACCGGCCACCAAAGGTCATACAAGTAGACCATCTGGAAGTATCCTGGGAAACGCCTTAGCACCAGCTAGGAGTCGATCCAAGTCTGCAGGACAGGAGGCGTTGAGGAGGCTTCAAAAAGCCCTGCCTTCTCTCACCCCACCTACACATCTGTTACCTTCAATGTCAAACTCGTTCTTCTCAAGCTCTCAGGATAGATCAAGTACGAGCAATCCGGATCCCTCAAGTTACTCATCCCCAGCAACTCGCCAACATTCACCTCGCATTCCACCCAATGCCCTTGGTGTCTCTCAGCCGTTATCACGACATATCCAAGAACCTGCTCCTGCCCTTCGGGAATCAAACGTGCCCTCGCCCCCTGTACGACCAAAGGTTCTGAGGCGAGTCACTTCTGACGATAGTCGTCTATATCACAGTCTGTCCCGCACATCTTCTCTTGGAGATGACGAACGCTTCCAGGATGTCCGTGAGATGGTCAACATTCGATTCATGGCTTTAAAAGACAGTCTTCCCGACGTGCCGAATTTCAAAATGCCTAGTCTCCCCAAACTTTACAACCAGGCACGAAAATCAACGAACTCGCTCGGCGCAGCTCATATTCCTGACACGCCACCAAGTCAGAACCAATTTTCCAAGGAGCTTGATATTGACTCGAAAGACGGTTCGGCTGTTCTTGACCGGGTCCTTGAATCTCTTACCGGTGACTTGGTGATCATGGGGGGTTACCGTGGCTCTGTCTTGCGATCCGCCGAGCCACCTTTCCATCAGGTTTGGGCTCCCGTGAAACTCGGCCTCAACATGCGCAAGGTCAATCTGGAAGTCGGGTTGGAGGACGAAGATGAAGAGCGCATGGAAGAAACAATCAAGCCCGATGGCATGTTAAAACATATAGGTCCCGTGGATGTTTCGCGGAAGTTTATCAAAAGGCTCCGTTCATGCGACAACGCTAAGTCAGGCAAGCTGCGAATATGGGACTACGGTTACGATTGGAGGTTGAGCCCCCATTTGCTGTCTCGCAAACTGCAGGAGTACCTCCAGGGGCTGCCTTCTAACCAACGGGACACACCAGCTGGCTCTCGTGGAGCTCTTGTCATCTCTCACAGTTTGGGTGGTATTATCACACGCCATGCTGTCAATCAGAGACCCGATCTCTTCTCAGGGGTTTTGTACTGCGGAACGCCACAACGTTGCGTCAACATCTTGAACCCAATGCGCCATGGAGATGTAGTCCTCTTGAACGAGAAGCTGCTCACTGCGAGCGTCAACTTTACTATGCGAACGTCCTTCGTTTTTCTTCCAGAGGACGGGTTCTGTTTTGTAGATAAGAACACAGGAGAAGAGTATCCTATCGACTTTTATGATCCCCAGGAATGGATCAGGTGGCATCTGAGTCCGTGTATGCAGCCTGCTTTGCCGCCTCACAATCGTCCGCAGTCCTCGTCTTTCTCTTCCTTCCTTCCAAACTCTCTGCGAGCTCGCGCCGAGAGCAAGAGCGAGAAGGGGCCCCCTTCGCCAACGGCAGTTGCTCAAGAACACAACCCTATCGCACCGCAACTCAATGGGAGTGGTGCCAAGGTGGAGGAACAGAAGCCTTCAGACTTGGAGCGAAAGCGTTACTTGGATTATCTCAGCCGAACTCTTACAGCAACTCGCAAATTTCGTTCCGAACTCGTCCATTTGCCCGAACACCAGGAAGCAAACGCCTACCCCCCTCATGCGGTCCTTTATGGCAAGAGTATTCCTACGGTGTACGCGGCTCAAGTCACTAGCCGTGAGGGAATCTGCTGCTCCGACGCTTACGATGACCTTTTGTTTCGACCAGGGGATGGCGTTGTATTAGCGAAAGAGGCCATGCTTCCGGAGGGTTATTCTATTGTCCGCGGTGGGCGGGTATGTACTGAACGCGGCCATATCACCATGCTCGGCGACCTCTCAGCTATGGGAAAGGCACTCGAGGCAGTGATCAGGGGCCGCCGGAAGGGCATTGGCATGGGGATTGGCGGGAACAAAGGGAAGTAGCCGGGCAGGTAAGTCCTAGGAGAGGGGATCCGGCCGAGTCGAAGTAACACTATGTGATGCCGTGCGGTTACTCCGCAACACGATACAGTACCAAAACGACCCGCCGCCGCCACCGGATCTGTGTGCGAGCCAAGTACTGCACTTGTGGCTGGGTCAGAGGCATGGCGTCTGTTTCGGACAAATGAATGAATTAAAGCACGATGAGGGGGGACTTCAATGGACGTTCTGTATGCATTGTTGGATCGGCGTTGGTAGGCTCATATCTCGTTGGTATAGGTTTGTATGAGTATGATACATTTAGATAGTCTCATGAAATGGCTTTCGTCGTATCACATTGGCTATGACGATGCCCTAAATTATTCGCATACAACGCCAGCTCCTATTTGTGATACCAAGCTTGTACAACACCATAAACTGAATTTCCGGGTTGGGATGAAAGACGAGGAAAGAAGAACCATACGACTGTCTTGCAGGACGCAGAAAAGATGGTGCTGTGCTGCTTTGCGGTGCTGTTGTCCCCGCTGAAGAATGGCCTCCCTGAACTTGCAGAAATGATAAAACAATTATGGGTATACGAGCAATTGCAACCGCAACCTCGGCCTCCAAGCGGATGCAGTTTCTACCTACTCGGCAGATGCAAATGACTGTTCAACAGCCCAAAATGGCTTCCCGTGGGGATGTCGCCCACCTCGAGCAATGTAACGGGCGAAAGCGGCGCTCGGAGGGTATATACCGTTGCTCGGGCTCGGCGTTTTTGCTTTCGCCTCTGAAAGCGGCTCTAAATCGTATAACGTCTCGGCGCTCTTTTTGTTTCAGAGAGTGGATCGTAGGTTGTAGGCGGCCAAGACGACGTGCAGGTCGCAGGTCGCAGATTGCTCAGTCGCTGTAGAAAGGTATCAGGTCTCAAGCAGCGCCAACGCTCTTAAAAGCACTAAGTGGTAGAATGCTCCAGCACGGGGGTGTCCAGCCGGGAGTTTGCTCACACAGAGTGGCAAGGGCAGTCTGGATCTGGCGGGCCATGCGCACATAGACCATAGTGGGCTCAACGTAACCTTCCGAGTCCCGCGACTCTTCGGGGCGAGGAACAAAGATGATCTCTTGGAGACCAGGCATGCGGGACTGAATGCGCCGAAGCAGTTCGACGCTAAGACTGGCTGCAGTCATGGAGCGGTAAGATTCATCAACCCAGAATAGAGCATCATTTATGGCGAGGCGTCGGACAAGGGCGAGTTCTTCAGGATCGCACATGGACATGATTGTTTGAAATTGAGAGTCTGCTGCCATGTAGCCATGGCGAGGGCCAAAGTAGAGAATGTCGCGCTCAGGGTCGAGAAAGACTTGACCAGGACCACGAGCGAAGCCAAAAGCAAGACCGTAGTACTTGAGAGCTTCGCTGCGCGACTCGCCGCAGACGTGGAGGTTGACGGGAATGGCCGCTGGCGAAGTACAGCCGGTCCATGAGAGGGAATCTGAGCAGCCGGGCCATGAGGAGCCACATTGAATTGGGACGAGGCGAGTGGGTGGAAGATTGTAGTTCCAGATCTTGAGCCGTAGTTCTGTAGGGAGTTTGCAGAAGTTTCGCTGAATAGTCAATCGTGTGAGATTTTGTCGAGTGCTGTCGGGGATCTATTTAACTTACAAAAGTGTCAGTGGCTGGTGTTGGCTGACTGGACATTGATGGAGAAGACATGGTCCAGTCCAGGGATTGAATGTTGAATATTGAATATTGAATATCGTGGTTAGTCGAAATGTGAGTTTAACTTGAAAGATTTGGGCAAGTAGAAAACAATAGTCTTTGGTTGTACAGAGTACCCAGGTAGGTATAAGAAAGATGAAATAGAGTAAAGTAAACATTGGAGGGGCAGGGAACGCATACTAATATAACCAACATGAATAAACCAAACCAAACCAAACAATAAGAGAGTGACAATAAAAGTGAGAGGATGAATGACGATGGAGGGACTCGGAAGGGAGTGTTTCTCAATCTCCCACCCCCATCCCCATCTCCATTTCCATTTTCATCTCCATCTCCATGTTCACGTCTAGGTTCAGGTCCAGGTCCAGGTCCAACCAGGCCAGTCTCCAACTTCATCCTTGCAAAGTACTTACCCTTACAGTATCCTATCCATGTCCTTGACCATGTCATGTCATGTCCATATCCATACTCATACCCTTGCCCTTACCCTTACCCTTACCCTTCCTTTCAGGCCTTGCCTGCACCCAAAGCCTCAAGTCGATATACAGTACTCAGCAGCAAACAATTGATTATAAGTGAATTGATCTCTACTTTGCCTATTGTAATAACAATCCTACGGGAAAATATCCATTGGTCCCTTGGGCAAATGGATCCTCGGCCAAGGGGGAAAAGGACGGACCCAGCCCAGCCTAGCCCAGCCTCTAAGCCACAGACTCCCCCAATCTACAGTTAGTTCAGGTAGTTAGTTGCCTGTAAGTTCCCCGGCCCCCCTCGAACAATACGGTATGTATCCGTACAGTACAGTAGACTCTCGACCAGGAATAAAAAATAATCAAAAGAAATAACTTCCAAGTCTACTGTACGTGGATAGACGGGAACCCGTTTGACAGGAGGCCGGAAACGTCCCAACAAACATAGGTATCCGTCGGGTACATAGTGTAATTGCATACATGGATATTTCCGAGCTCAGTTCAGCCCAGCTCAGCTCAGCATACTCCGTACATAAATAATAAAGCCTAATACCACCTCAACTCTAGGGACAGTCACATTGCGGACAAAACCGACTCCTCGGGTCCGGAGCAATACAATAACGTACACTACATGTAGAGACGGGGGTGTCACTCTCAAGAGTTACCATACGTAGTTAAGCCTGGAGATTGAGAGAATCAACCCTTACTCCATCAGGCTCAGATCTTTAAGTTATTCTCCCTGTATGTAGAATAGAAAGCTCCAGTGGTGGTGGATCAAGAATGGCCGCTTCCACCGTCTTGTGCTAGCCTGCGCTTATGCCGCATTCAAGACCGCCACAGAACATGTCGAATACTGCGACTCCAATGTTATCCGCTATACTAATGCCATGTCTGTCTACCTACTAACCTAGGTACCTTACGCAATGCATGTACAGTACCCGTGTCTCACTGAGACGCCATTCACCATTGGGAGAAAGGGCGGGATTCAACAGACTTTTCCAACAAGCTACTCTGTACAAGGACAATACATACAGTACCAAGAGCGTTGGCCCTCTGATCTTCCAAAAACGTTCATCCCTTTTCCTTCGTTTGTACGTGTAACCTACGTATGGTAGAATCAGGGGCCAGGGATTAAGCCCTGGAGACATGAGCCTTGATTCATATCGTCCAATCAGCATGCTCCATTGCCTCCGGAACATTTCCATCTGGACGTTTCCATCATCCCAGTGCCAGGACCCGGGGCTAGACTTGTCATTTCTTCTCGAGTGACATGGATCATGTCATGGGAGGGGTCGCTGTCATGACTGTGACTCGACTTGACTTGACTTGACCCGAAGCTTCACAAACCCAAATATGCGAATACTTCTCATGTTTCATATGATATGATTCTATTCCGATCCGCGAGAGACATTCCTATCATCTTGATCTCTTGTTTTCTCTTTCGAGCAACGCTGAGATACTAACACCCCCAGCGGGTGTCTACCTATGAGTAGCGCCTTTTTGTCTGTTCTCGTCCTGTCCGCCCTTTTAATCGTCAATAAGTTTAATACGGTTGTGCATACTGCCGTTCGTGGCTACCAGTGCATGGGCCCGGACTCGAGGTCCACGAGTCCAGCCTGGCTGCAAGCTGGCCATGGGAGCTGTACTGTACGTTACGGATACTGCACTTGCCAACAGTAGTGTTCTTGTCCAAGAACCTTCTTCCTTCCAAAGTCTTTGATAGGCTCCTGAGTGTCAGGTCTCCCAAGCACGTCTGTCCCCGGAAGCAGGATACGCTAAGCAGCTGCAATCTGCAGGACATAAATACTGCATTAGGCGTGTTTGCTTGAGGCTTTCTTATGAGTTGTCATACCCCGTTGTTGAGCGCAGAAGGAATTATATACTGTATGTATGTGCTCGCAAGATGCGGTACATTCTTCAAATGCCCCCCATAATCAACAACGCTTGGCTGTACTTCAGCTGCCTCCAAACCAACGAGGTGGGCCTTTCCAAGATGATGGTATCCGTAATAAACAGCTGCACCAAATCTGCATCTCCAAGTCTCGCTCTTCAAGGTATAAAGAGACCAGGGTCGGGCCCTGTACACTGCACAGTACTATACTATAAATTGGTTGGATGTACTGTAGTTATCCTTGAGTCCACCAATGGGAAACAAGTTGTATTTGATGTTAGTGTCAGGCTGACCGTTTGTTAGGAAAGGATGCAATGCCGGTCTCCGTATGTTGTCTCAGCTGTTCAGTCGAGTTCAACGCAGGATCCGACATCTAGGTTTGCGAGGCCTCGTAAATGTCTTAATGTCATGGGTTCTGTATTTCCGATTACTGAACGTTAGGGATCTCTGTCAGACCCATCCCCTGCTCCATCGATTCTGATTGACTCGTCTATTCTGCGATTTTGTTGGTGTTTTTGTTCTAACCGGAACCGGCGACAACGCTACTGTCGATCATCCGCAGCGCCTCACAGCCAGAGAGACGAAGGGTTGGTACCGCAGTACTGAAGCTAAGCTCTTGTCCTTTGAGAAGCGAAGCTCTTGATGTTGGCAGGGTTGGGTTCGAAGTTCCTGGTGCTTGGCGCATGCCAACGTCAAGTAAAGATTTAAGCCAAGTGTGGATTGATTGTGATAAATCACCACACTGCATTAATCGCATCGCATCGCATCACGCATCGGCCGCAGCCCGTTGATCGCGTTTTCTACTATAACCATCGCGGAGCCTCGACGATGTTGATTGTTCCAAGCAATCTAATCGATTCTGGTTTCATTGCTTGATCCTTGTTATCTGCTGCGCCGTGAGTCCCTGTACGTATCAAGATAACTGTCAGGCCGCATTGATGTGCTCGGCAGTTCATGTCATCATCCCATCATGGACACTGCAGGTACGACACGATGCAGAAAGATAGGCAGGTGAGTACTAGGTACTGTAGTCTTAGTACAGTGTGACAGTGTCATCCATCATGCAGTCTCAAGGCACAAGCCCTCAACCTAATAGATGAACAAAAGCAATCCGTCAAGCCTCATCTCGGATGCGTCACAAACCGAACAAACGTTGCGGTTTGGCCGTAGGTACTCCGTAGGCTGGAACGGTATCCGCAAAGCTGAAATTGAAAAGGGCGTTGCATCCAAAACTTTTGATTCATCTCTTGTCTTTCGGGGTGATGCCAAGTCTAGCCCGAATATTTTCGGGGTCCACATGCTGGAGAATGGAGGATTTCAGGAAGGGTGGGACTGTGGCGTGTGCTGTGGCTTTTCCGACAGATCATGTGACTAGACATGTGACGTGAAAAGCAAAGCAAACCTCTTTGGCATTCCTTTCAATCCATCTCAATAGACAGACAGACAGACTAGGTACTTACCAACAAAAGACTACCTACTCGTACCAATTACCTACCTACCTTAGTACTTTATTATCAACCTAATAGTGCATAGCCGCTGACGCCAAACGGGTTTGGCATGAACCAAAATAGATTTTAGGTAACAACCATTTCGGGTAAGAACGATTACGTAGGCATCTTTCGATTGGTCAATAGTCTTGTAAGCGCTGAAAGTAACACGCTCAGCTCCTGGTTTTAGAGCCCCGACCAATCGAGACACAGCGTCTTTCTTCAGTGTCTCACACTACTTGCAGCGAAGCAAACAGCGCGCTTAGCAGCATAGGATAGGCGCTTTGAAATAATCAAATCACATTGATCGGATTGTTGTAATTGGTCTTTTTCGCTGTTGATGTGATGGCGTTCGTCGCTTAAAACCAAGACTACCTTATTTACTAATCTTGTTGAACAAGAATGGGGAAATCGATATTTCCTATATCTTTGGGCGAAATCTCCACGATCTCGAGTCTAGGTCAATCGCTATCACTTCACCTTTCAGTTCTTCTCTTCTTTTGTCTTCTCTTGTTTTACTTTCTGTCTATATTCTACATACTGTATTTCATTCCTTTCTCCAGCCGGTCTTGGAGTTTGCTTTCCGTTCGTTACCTAGACTACCTACAGTAGGTAACTGATCTATCAGAATGGAACCCACCACCACAAACGTCTCTATCGGCACCAAGACCGAGATCTCGGCCTCCAACTTTGAGACAGACGTTGAGTCAGTTCGAACAGAACCCAACTTTCGCCTCTATCGCCTGATGGACAGTGCCCGACTGGCCCTTACAGTCCTTGGTCTTGTAGCTGGTCTGACCATCCTTGGTGTTTCGGCAGATGCTATCGCTGTCTACCATGCTACCTACGTTCCGGAGGATTGGTTCCTACAACTATGGCCATCCAACTTGGATATGCGTCCTACAGTAGCTCTGGCAGTCGGCGGTGCCCTGGTTGTTGTAGCCAGTCTCGTTTCGCTGATCGCTGGCAAAATTCCGACCGTAAGGAACCCCCAGTCTACATAATTTGCCTATCTGCTTTTTGTTTGCTTTTGTTCTTGATTTCGCCTCTACAGTACGGATACTTGTTTGAATCACGGAACTAACGGTCATCAAGGTCCGCGGAAACGCTGCTGTTAAAGTCATCATCACCTTGACACCCCCAGCTATCGCGTTAATTGCTGCCATCATCTCCATGTCTTTCTTTTACGGGGTTGACGCGTCGACCACAAACGATTCTCTTCAAAGCTGGACCTGTCGCTGGAAGGATGTGACTATGACCATGCAGCCCCATTTTGGAACACTTTGCAAGCAGAGCAAGGCTAGTGTTGGGCTTGCCGTCATGTTAGTTCCCGTGGAAGCTATCATCTTAGGCTTGGCGGCGTATCACTTCGTTCTGGAGAAACGCTCCAGCATGACCTCTGACGGACGTGGGCGCAAAGCGGGAAGCCCTGCCTTGTCTGGAGCTTGAATCCCTGGAGCCGAGTTAGTTACCAAACCCTCGGGCTCGGGCTTGGGCTCGGACTCGCTCGGGCTCAGCCGCTCAGATCATTACATAGCATGGGTGAGCCTGAGCGTACCGGCGATCAGACGTTGAAGTTACTATGGACAGAAGTACATATCGGTATTGGGGGATCAGCCAGAGATTGGTTGGAATAACACACGCACACAAGTCACCATAGTACGGTACATTAGTATAGGTTCTGTATGGCTCCATCTCATTCAAACAAAGAAGAGGAGTTCGCTGGAGTTTGACACCTATTGTGCATAATAATAACGGATACTACATATTTATTGCTTTTCTTCTGACACACCTACCCCCACACCGAGACAGAACAAGACCCAGAACCCAGCAGCTCGGTCATGCCTAGCGTTAACTTCAATTCCAGCCCGGTCGATACTGTGATTGATTGTCTCTGGCATCTCCACTTGCATCACAGCCAGAACAATGACATTCGTTCTTTAGGGTATGGAACCGTTTCGCAAGTGCTACGTGAGTAAGAGACCTTTGGATGCTCTAGACTATCCGCTTAGAGATCGAAATGGATCCTTGTTGGGCAACACTAACAGGCATGGATCCTGGTGAGTAAGGCCGTAACGCATCTTCGCTTGCTTGATGTGCATAGGCAGTGATTGCGTCTCACAGGCGTTTCGCATATATACGCAACAGGAGAAAGGAAGCCTGCATGTATTATTATTGTGGTTGTGGTTGTGTTTGTGGTTGTAATACCCTCTGACGAACAGGAGGCTTGTCCAATTATTGATTTTGGTTCCCGTCTGCTCTCCGACTTGAAAGACCACTGCAATACATTGTACCGTATTTGAACCAGCTACTAGGCTACCTAGCATACGTTTGTATTTTGATAAAGTCAAGATGTGCATATTGACATTCATCTGAACTACACCTAGCTAGTCCTTGTCGGGTATATTGCTTGGTTGCAGGACGTGACACAATATCACTCTTTGTACGACTATTATAGAAGGGCCGCAAAACAACACTGGTCTGGTGTTCCTGGCGAGGTAAGGGAGCACAAGCAGTTTGTACACAACAAATACCCAAGCCTTCTACGGCACATGATAACCCACCTTACTTCTGATCAATCCTCCTCTTTTGTGAAGCCCTTCCTCAGCTTAGGGATAGTCAGTTGGCGCAATGCATCTATCAACAGTCATGACTATACCTTCTGTTCCAATCAACCCCCCAACCCAACCGCCCTATTCGAAGCCAAGGCCAAGGCCCAAGCAGGAGCCCTCGAGTCCTACACCAGCTCCTAGACTAGTTCCGGGCGAGCGAAGGGTTAAGCCGAGGCTGAGCAAGCCAAGTCTAGATCCTGTTTTGGAGAGCGATCAACGGCTCTCGAGAGATGTTGAGCAGATCATCTCTAGGGACGCCAGCAAAGTGACAAGAAAGCACTCGTTGCCCATCCTTTCTCGAAGACGAGATATCTCTGACGATTCAGTCTCACTGAAGCATACTGACGAGGTAGGAGATCGAATCCGGTGTTCGTCTGTTGTGTTGGCAGAGATCAAGACCAACGTCATCGTGAGTGATTGACATCCAATTCATTGTAGGTATAGGATGATGATCGTCTGACTGTTGTGTCCAAAGATTGAAGACGAGTTCACTTTCATCAGTGAATTGTCGGAGTACTTGTCGATACGATACAACCGTCCTGCATCGTGCATTGTAACAACGCTCCAGCATGGTATTTGTATCCAATTTGGCGGCAGCTGTGATCCCTCCTACACCATCCAGATCGAAGCACTCACTCGCGACATGCAACCTGCAGCAAACAAGCGCAACGTTGCCCTCCTGCAGAGGCACATGGAACAAGCACTGGGAATTCCAGCACCGAGAGGTTATCTCAGATTTGTACCTGTTGCCGAGGACTGTGCTGGACGGAAGGGCAACACTGTTGCTGGAGAGATATCAGATGCTAAAGACCGGGCGCAAGTAACGACTGAACGACGAGCATCTGTCAGAGCTCCGAGGCGAAGGTCAAGTAAGGTGAGGAATTCCCTTGGTATATCCATTACCCTAGGATGAGAAGTCCGGTTCTGAATAAGTTGGGAATAGGCGTTTCGAGAAACGAGAAGCAAGGCAACGACAACAGCGGAGATGGCACCGCAGCCACATGATATACCTGCGATTGTATCGACGGGGTATCCAACAGCTGGCAGCAATGTGGTTCAAGTTCAGAGTGAGGCACCTGCTGGGAGAGACAAATCAAAGGTGGTGAAGCGCAGAAAGAGTTTTATTCAAGCTTTGTTCCCCATGTCTTCGAGTCGGACAGCGGACAGGGAAATGGAAGGCGGATATTGAATTATCAGTGTTTCCCGTTGTATTGAGTGAGAATAAATAAGGAGTTGTACAAACTTAGGTGGTTTCTGTTTCTCGACGATAGGTTAGTAGGTGGAGATTATCCTACGAATCTAGGGTAGGTAGGTTAGTAATTTCTCCATAAATTTACCTACGTTCTATTGGTAGGTTCTGTTTTGGCACCTACGTACCTACGTACCTACCTAGGTAGTGGAGGATCAGCGATGCCCTTCAGCAGGTTACAGGGAGGCTCAGCAGAGGTTGGCCGCGGGAGTCATAGCTCCTGTCCCGCCCTGTCCCGCCCTGTCCCATTGGATCCAACCACCTCCAAATGACATGGAGACGGGAATACCTACTACCTACTAGGCAGTAGTAATCAACAATCAATCAATCACTCACTCACCTTACATCTCAACAAACGAGGTATATATCAACAACGCCCAATATCTCTTAACAGCCAGTCATACGCAAGGTCGGAGAACCTCGTTTCGATACAGCCATTCAGCGCGCAGCAATCAACTTTTGAGCCTCAGCCTCGCCTCAACCAGCCCAGTCCAGCCCAGCTCAGCTAGGTCTATCCTGTTCTCGTAGACCTTAGGCGGCTATAGAAGAGGATATCGAGCCTTATCGTGAAGCACAAGCACAAGCACAAACGACCAGGTTCTGTAAACAAATATGGAGGTAAGAAGACTCTGTTTGGCGCGTCTTTTCTCTCCTATCTCAACGCTCAAGTGTGCGCTTGACTTGACTTGACCCTTGACTCTCTTCGTGTTACCAATTCAACACGACATCTTCAACGCCCTCATATTGTTTGTATCTCCAGAATCCTCTACTCGACCTGCTAGCTCCCGAAATGTCACCAAGTTCAGGTGATGGAGAGAAAAAAAGACAACATGTGCTTGGTAGTGGCAGTGGTGCTGGCCACAGAAATACAAGAAGCGTTCCTGATTCGACCTTGGCTCGCTTGGCTGCACCACTGTGAAGATGAATTTGTGTCACCTCAAGTGAGAAGATACGCGCCTCTTATACAGTGAGAGGCTTCCTTGATTCGAGCCGTGCGGGCCCAGCACATAGAGTTTAGACATGAGCGCATGATTCTAAGAATTCGGCACTTTGATCACCTTTCAACACCAGGCTGGAACCTTCTGCCCCCCTCGCTTACTTGCTCACACGGCCACGACCTGTGCAATACAACAAGTTAGGTGGTGATCTTGCCATTGGCGTTGTGTCAATGCCGATAGGGCCAGTGTTATTGCTGTAAACCTATGGCCATTGACGGGCAGGGACATGACATACCCGCCAGGTGGCAGCACCTGACGAAGCAGACCAAGAAAAGGGCATGGAAAACAAGACTGAGTTCAGCGGATCCTGGAGATACAACCGATTCTTTGCTCAGTATCAAGTGAAACGAGCAGAGCTCGCATTGCTTTTTTGACTCCTGTTCACAACATCTTTCCCTCAACACTAAACTGCCCCAACATGTCCCTCAGCCCCCCTGTCCATAATTTCCCACGTTCCTTTGATGAGGCAGATGACACCTCGGCCAGCGGAACAAGTCCAGCTCAGCTAAATCTTCAACGTCTTTTTGAACAGTCACTCAGCGGAGCTTCAGTGTCCAAGACAGATGCGCAAAAACCAACCACACCCGGCCCCAATTCTATTGGCGTGCCCCCCAAAGGGAAGCCACGTCTATTACTGATGGGCCAACGAAGGTATGTCATCGCTCGATACTTGAGCGCATTGTTATCGCTAACTTCTGCCCACAGGAGTGGTAAATCGTCCATCTCGAGTGTGGTCTTCCATAAGCTGCCTCCGAATGAAACCTTGTTCCTCGAATCCACTGCTCGTATCCAAAAGGACTCCATGGCGTGCGTATCCCTAACTGCCTAGGTTATCTACAAATAGACTGATCTTCGTCTACAGGTCATTCATGGACTTCCAAGTCTGGGATTTCCCTGGCCAAATCGACGTATTCGAAAACCCTGGCTTTGATATCGAAGCCATCTTTAGCGAGATCGGTGCCCTCATTTGGGTCATTGACGCTCAGGATGACTATCTCGAGGCAGTCATGCGCCTAAATACCACAATTCTCTTCCTCCAGCGAACCTATCCCAACATCAATATCGAGGTCTTTATTCACAAAGTTGACGGCCTGTCAGACGACTACAAACTCGACATCCAGCGTGACATCACTATTCGTATCCAGGATGAGCTGTCAGATCACGGATTTGAGAATGCACCTGTCACCTTTCATCTCACCTCCATCTACAACCACTCCATCTTTGAGGCCTTCAGTAAGGTAATTCAGAAGCTCATCCCTCGCCTGGGAACGCTTGAGTCAATGCTCACCAACCTATGCCGTACATGTCGGTTTGAAAAAGCATACCTCTTCGATGTCCTTACCAAGATTTACATCGCAACCGACAGTGCTACCGCCGACATGGCCAGCTATGAGATTTGTAGTGACTATATCGATGTTATCATCGACATCACCGAGGTCTATGGGACGTGGCAGCGTAGCGATGAGGGACGCCGCCGTCTTGAAGGAGAGCCGTGGAGCACGCCCATAGACAAACAGATTGGATGCAACACCGCAGAGAGCTGTCTTGTCCTCCACGATGGCAACAAGCCCATCATGCTGCGTGAGGTAGATCGATATTTGGCGCTCGTCGCCATCATGAAGGAAGACTCGTACGATAGCATGCCTCTGGTCAATATGAACGTCGAGGCTGTCGTTGAGGGATTGACCGAGTTCTTCAATATCACAAAACCTCGGCAGTAGACCGACGATCGCTATGGCGAAACCAGGAATCTTTCATGTTTTTATTCTACCGTGTAAATTATTCATACTAGCGTACCTGTCAACACCAACGATGCATGTCGTTCTGTTCCTCACCACTCTTACTTTTGTTTTCTTCAGTGCATGGTGGTGATACTTCAAGACGGAGGACTGGGGAACACAAATGTCTTCAGTGTGGTGCGATTACTCTCCAGCACACAGACTCTTGCAGGCATATCGTCCCTCACACTATTCCCGTCATTTACCTCCAGACGCAAAGGCCTCGCTATTGAGGTTTCCGGGAAGCAGTATGCCATGAAACTATCAACCGACACACGGGATGTTTTGTTGGGTATACTAGGGTCGTAGTCGCTATATGAGAGCTTGTCTGGTTGGACAGGTACGCAAATCACCTGCGGTGCATTATCTTACACGCATGGTCAGCACCCCTGCTATAAATACGGCATTATCATAATCTTACCAGGATCGTTGCACAGAATGACAAGTGTTTCGTCGTTGAGAAACTTGAATGTGATAAGGGTACGTGTATGGAGGTCGATACGACAGCTCGTTGGGGGTCGATTGGAGCTGATGCCATTTATGATGTCGATTGTAACACAGAAAATTTGAACTTGAACCAGATCAACACCTACTGTATTTTGTAGATATAGACTTAGGGGGTCACATACCTTCGTTCTTGATCTCCTTTGCTGCCAAAGCCGTTATAACGCTTGTTCCCTAGCAGAGTAATTTAGTCAGCAAAGACCAGAAGAGCATGGAGGGAGACCTGGAAGTACCTGGGTTTTCGTTTTGCTCATCCTCATATCAGTTTGTGAGATAACCCCGCCAGTGGAAAGTCTGATTGGGGTTCCAAGTCGGACGCTGCGCTTCTTTGCCTCTGCAATACCCTTGAATGTGCTGTTTGCCTGGTTTGTTGCGTATGAGACCAGAAACTCGACACGCGGTAGAGCTTGCAGGCCGGAGAGGCCGTTCTCCCACTTTGCTAACTGTTGATCAAGAGTGTGAAGGAGACTTGGGCGGCTCTCTATATGCGCACAGATCTTCTCATACTCCTCGCTTGGTATCTCATCGAAGAAGATCCTGAGGGGACTGTCGGTAAGGTAATGCTCGATATAGGTCAGGACCTTTCCTACATCCATAATTGCCTCCTTTTCTGTGAGTTCTTCATTCATGGAGCTGGACGAAGCTAGCCGATCGATCTGGAAGCGAAGCCATGTGGAGAATGCAACGAAGCTTTCAAGCTCATCCATCACGTTGATCAAAATCTTGTGGCCGGCAAGCTGGAGGCATTGAACAATATCCATCAGGCGGCTAATCTGCTGGAGACTAAATCCGATGTCATCCCGGGTGTCATGGTATTGAGCCAGACCTCGTAACCTGCTCAAGATGATCGCGGAACGCTCAAGGGCTGGAAGGAAGTTCTCGTGGACTAAGTTTCGAAGACCCTCCAGCCCAGAGACAACCGCTTTGTCCCATCGTTTGTGTCCCTAGGTATTTTAGCCATCGTCGTAGCAGCCCAAAGACGTATCCACCTACCCGTTCTGCCAGACTTTCCACAAGCCACTCACGTACAGGCTCATAGGCATGACCTGTCACCGCTAAGTGGTATAGTGCTGAAACCACACTTTGTGGTCCAGTCTCGAGGTTTTCAAGACCACCTTCAATACTTCGTAGAAACCTTGTAGGGAGCTCTCGCGTGTTTCGCCACTCGACTTGCATGTGAAGCTGTGATTGTTTAAGGTACCTCAAAAGTTTCTGGAGTGTAGTTAATTTCGAAGCAAGAAGAGAGAGATTGATAGGAGAGGAAGATACGAAAGGCAGGTCTATCGGCACCAAATGTACATCTGCTGGCTCATCTGTTTTGTTCGCAACAAGCAATGCCTGAGTTGATACTTGCGGGTGCGAGGCATGAAGGATAAGCTGTGAGCTTGATGAAGCGTCAATACTGGGGCACTCAAAATTTCCGATGATGAAAGAGTCATAGATGCTGAGTTGGAGCTGGCCATCACTCGTCCCAACAATCATGACGCTGACTTGGTCGTACTCCTCCGGCTTCGGGGGTTGGAAGAGGAAGTCTATGCCAGTGCGTAATGTAAACACCAATGCGTCTTCTCTAACCACGGCCTGTTAGTAGATCGACTTTGCCCGCATGGTAAAAAAAAAACAAAAAAACATACCCTGAGCCAGCGCTACTGTTCGGGAGAGGGCTGATCTTGGGCAAGGCTGTGTCGACTTCCAGGAACGTCAATTCTCGTGGGAGATCTAACGGAAGGCCATCTCCACCAAGTGCCGAATCTTCATCCAAGTTGTTTCCCAAGGCCCGAGATACCGCATTCGAACTCTTGCCAGCAATGCTACTACTCGCCCAGCCAATGTGTGTGATCTTATTCCCGGGTGTGTCTCCAACTTTAATATGATGGGCAGCCTTGTTGTTTTCGAGTCCCATGAGTCGGACAAAGCCATCGCTCCATCCAACAGCAAGGAATTGGCCTGTGAACAGCGTGTAAGCAAAGTTTCTGGACGTAGGGATTCGTCCTCACTAACCATCAGATCTCCAAGTGACTGCTTGCACGTCAGGTGCCTTCTGACCTGGTGTACCAATTTGATGGATCTTGGAGACGACTTGTCCCGACGGCCTGTACACAAGTAGGTTCCTGTCTGCTGCATCCCAGATTGCAGAAAGATTGAGGGTTGGACAGCTCACAGGATATCCATCAGGCGCCCTATCGTGGAACTCGGTCACGCTGAAGAGCGCGAGCTGATTTTGCTGCGCCATAGTTTCCGTTACTCTTGACGCAGCGCAAGAGTCAACTTCTAGACCAGAATAACCATCCCCGTAATCTAGATGTGGAACACTGGCATTTGCCATGTACGAACAAAGCGCTGATGTTCAAGTTATAGGGGCCTACCCACTGTGATTGCTTGCGAGTCCAAAGTACCAAATTCATGAAAACTCACACTGTGCGTGCAAAGACAACTCGCACTATGCTTTGCAGTCCGTTCCTTTCCAATGCCTGAAGGTTCTTATGCATACCTACATCCATCTGAATGGATATTTCAACATTTATGTTTTCATCAATACTGACTCTAGTGTCAAGAAGAAAAAAAGAAGAAGAAAAGCTACATCTCCGATAACATCACCAAAACATGTAAACATCAATTGTCGTTGCGCCATTAGGTTCTAGACCGGCCGAGACACTGCTACTAATGTCTATCCCCAGCTCTACTCAAATACACATATCCCTTTCCTTTTATGGACCAAACTCGACCAGAAGGCTGTCTGAAATTCAGAAGACTAGACTTTTTGATTCCATCTATTCTACCAAGAAATTGTCTGCATGAGACCTGATCTCCTTGGAGAATGTCACCTCCTCCTCCTCCTCCAGAAGAGACGCGGTGTTGACCTTTTGAATGATTAGCAAACCGTCCTACAATTTCTTTGCAGTAAAAACTCACGTCGACATCGATGTATGGCGTGCTCTTGTTGAAGCGGACAGTCATCGGGAAGAAATCATTCTCGTCGCCAGACTCAGCCTCGAATTCGAAGGAGCCATTAGGGTTCTCCTCATCCACGTTACCAATAGACCACTCGATCGCGTCTCCAGAAACATCATAGGTAGCATCGAAGCTAGAAACAACAGGCTCGCTGCCCGCGTAAGGAACAACGACACTGACATCATTTAAAGCATCGCCACCTGTCAACTCGTACTCAACTGTAATGTTGTACTTGTCCGCATCCTTGTTAATCCAGACTGTGAATGTGATCGGGCACGCGCTGGGGTCGTCAACCTTGGGGGAGGCTCTCCATCGTAGAACACCGACGGCATTGTTGACTGGGAATCCTCGAGCAATGTTGCTCATCTGAATGATCTTTGAGCCGTTGAAGAGATTTCGGTCAACGTTGGGATGAGTACGGAATTGGACTCCGTGAGATGGAACGGCCTGGAGACCAAGCTTGATCTTCGTAAGGCTGGGGTCTGAAATTCTGAGAACAAGATCACCGCTGATAGCTAGAGAGTTGACAGCACCCTCTCGAGAAAGCTTGGCTGAAATAGCCTCTGAAATGGTGACGTGAATGGCATCGCGATCAAGGGTCGACGAGATGCGAGGCTCTGGTGTTTCAGCTTGCTGTGCAGGCGCGGGCGTAACAAGAGGTGAGTTGTCGATTTCGCTGCCCATGTCACCCCTTACTCGCTCAAACATATCGGTCGTCTTAGACTTCTTGCCCAACTGCATACCTTTGGCTTTGGGAGCCAAGGGTCTTCAAATTGTTAATCGCTTGCTTCCATGTAGAAAACGGACAATACTTACTTGCCGAAAGACTTGTTCTTCTCAGCCTCGTACGAGTCGTATGTGCTGGTATTCGATTGCGAGGGAGGATTGTATGAGGGATAAGAGGGGCTTCGAGGCATGCCGCCACTACTGCCCATACCACCCATACCACCAGGACGACCACTGCGAGCTGCATCCTTGCGCTGCATCTCAAGCTGCTTCGCTTTTCGTTTTCGCTCCTCGGTGGCCTCCAATTCTTTGTTCTGTGAAGCAGTGAGTTTCTGGATGCGATGAAGAGCCTACTAAACCCAAATGAATTGGCTTACTCTTGCGATGATCTCCTGGATGCGCTCCTCATGACTCTCCATGTCAAGGAATGTCTTGATTTGGCTAATGGTCAAATTCTCGCGGTAACCGAGGGTGACGAGCTCGTCAAAAGCACTGAGCAGCTCGTAGGCGTTCTTAACGATCTCGCGCTCGTCCAGGCTCTTGCAGGTGCTAGTGACCACCTGTGCAAACAAGTGCAAAGAGTCGATGTCCTGCAGAATATTCGACTGGCGGTTGGTAATGAGAACCATGTAAAGTTCGTCGAGGGGTTGATAAACAAATCGGACATTGTCTTGTTCGACGATCGTGTGCTGTGTACCGCTGTCGGCGAGTTTGGGGAATGAGGCAAGGAGGGCTTCTATGCGTGATCGTGGCATCTCTCGGAACTGTCTCGAGAGGACAGCTTTCCCTCCGCGGGTGCAAATCGAAGCCGCAAGGACGACCTAGGTAATATGAGTACATTATGTAAACAGGGGTGATGATTGTAGATGTTGCGCACCATCTTGGCGGGCTAATTCGAGCAGATTTTATTGATTGCGATGTAATTTGCAAGTTGTTGAATGTTCGTCCCCTGGATGTTAGATAGAGCGGGCCAATATTCAAGTCGGTGGGAGGTGCAGGAGCCTGGATAGAGGTACGTACCACCATCTTACAGGCCACCTGGAAGAAGCTGTTATGATGGAAGGGGGAACAACGAAAGGCACCACCTAAGCTATTGGCGCTAGTCTTGTTATGGTAAAGGCCAGCCTCTCTCTGGGTGACGTTCAGTTCAGCCTCTCTGGGTCCCACATGCTGCTAAAAACCGCCTAGTGAATCACCATCTACCAACCTAACGACTAGGTACCTCTATGTTAGTATGGAGGTATGGACGTGATTTCCCAGACACCTGCAGTTTTGAGATTGGATGTCCAACTTCAACCTTTCACCTTGACGCAACCTTATTTATTTCCACCACCAGAGCAACCGCAACGCAAGACACAGCGCATCACAGGGACGTCGCGCGTGAACGTCCTTCTATATCATACACAAGGAATCTGATCTGCCTAAATCAAATGTCGCATGCCAGCTTAAATTGCATTTCCATCCAGGCTTGGTCTTTGACTCTTTGATCCGACATACTACCCGCGTCGGCAGCCTACGCCAAACTCGCACCCTTACAGCGACTTCGATCTTACTCCTTCTTTCTTCATCATTCCTTCTTGCTGCATATCGCAAAGTTTCATTTCCGAATTCGTGCATATTTCCCCAATTCGTTCACCTTGAAGCTTTTTTTTATTTTTTAATACTCAAACGCACCAGCAGAACATGACAGAGATCGAAATGGATCTCGATATGGCTAAGTCGGGCTTGGATGGCCGAGCCGTAGACGATATGATCGACTTTGATACCGACATGGCCGACTCCAACCAAGACCAGGAGAACGATGACAATCTCAAAATGGTAGACAGAGAGATGCAAGAGGATGGGGATGATTTGAACCATCACGCCTATGAGATGAATGGGATGATGGGCGAAGACGTCGAAACCAACCTGGACAATGTTGAAGACATAGCACACAGTCGAGAAGATGTGGACTACAAAGTGAGCGAGGCTCCTGAATTTCCGGCCCAAGAGCCTGCTGCTAAAGCACAGCTCTCTGACGACGGCAACCAAGGAGAAGGAGAAGGAAACGCCAAAGATATGAACGAAACGGCGATTCTGACAGATGATGTATCAGAAGACTATGCATCTGCGCACGAAATCGATTATGAGTATGAAGAAGAGACAGAACACACACGATCTCTGCAAGATGCGACCGCAGACCCTACGAGCCAGCCAACAGAGTCCGAGGAAGAGCATGCACCCGAACCTGCTACACACCATGGAAGCCACCACGCTGGAAATAGTACCCCTGTAATCGAGCGGGACGACACCGAACATGTCCAAGAAGAAAGACATACCCCAAATAGACACGACGACCATTATGGACCCCAGAGCCCACCTGAAGCAATAATCGAACATGAGGTGGTTGCATTTGATGGTACTGAGGTTGAAGGCCTGGCTGCGGATGAGGACGCGCAAGCAAATGCTATCAAAGGCAATGAAGAACTTCGTGAAGAGGACTACGTAACCAGTCACGAAAAGACCGCGGATCTTGGGATGGGACAAGATCATGGGACCCTTGATTACGATGAAACTGCTGCGGTCTATACTTATCACACGGGCGAGAATGACCCAGATACACACAATGAAGACGAGATGCTCGAGCCGGATTATGCAAACAATCCAGCTTCTGATGAGGACTTGAATGGGAAGTCAAATGATGACTTCCCTGCTATCACGGTACAGTATAAGGGAGATGAATTCCCTATGTTCTCTACCACCAATAGCTTTTTTGCCGACACATCGGTCCTCGATCAACCGCTTGAGGAACTGCTAGCTGGCCTTCGAAATGAGCTAGAGAACGAGGTCGCCATAGACGATGACTTGGTACTCCAGGTTGACGAGCTTGGCCTCGAAATTTCAGAAGTGAGAGATGAGCTTAATCTTCAATCAAGACCCTGCTAACGTACGTTCTAGGCAACCAAGGGGGAACTCATGTCAAATGTCACTTTTCGTCAAATCCTTGAGATTTTCGACCTTCTTATCAAGAACCAAGACCCTGATAGTTCACGAACGCTCTATACATATCTCTTTACTAAACCCAACACAGAGAAGCGTCTGGAATCGCTCATTGAGAGTGCTGCCGCCGGCAAAGGACTTGACGAAGTTATTCACCTCTTTGAAACTCCTGCGACGGTTGACGCAAGCATACTCGAAACAGCTGCGACAATCGACGGCGTTCACGAGGAGCTAGACGAGTTCGACAGCCCGGTTGATGAGTATCCTGACGAAGAACAAAGCCGCGATGGTGAACATAATGAGGGAGATGAAGTGGAAGTTGATGACAAGTATTCAACAGTGGAACCTACGAGCCTCGGTACCTCTGTTCCTGGGGCACAAGAGGCGGTCAGCCACGAGGGAGATGTTCAAGACGATTACGAAGTTGATGCCGAGACTCGGGTCGAATTGCCAACCGATGCTTCTGCCGGCGAAGCATTGCTAGAAGTCGCCGAAGACGCTGACGCAGCTACTGAGAACGAAAACCATGAACAAAACGGTAAAGCAACCTCACACTCCACCGATTCCCTTTGTTGCTACTCCCCTTACTTCTGTCTCTGCAGAGCCTGCGTCTCAGAGTACGTTGCAAAACACAACCAAGAAGAAAGAGTATATCGACAATCCCTAAAGGGCAATGAAAGGCACATTGTCGGCCCAAAGCTCAGAATGCCAATTCCCAACCCTTCCCCTTCCAAACATGCACATTCCGCCTCCGATTTCAGTACAGCCTTTCCTTTCAATGAAACTGACGAATTTTGCCTAGCACACGCTGCAAGTGATGTCGACCCATTTGCCAATCTTGAGTTGGATGATGACGCTGAGGTGAACGGCAACGTAATTCTCGAAGCCACGGAGCAGACGGAGCAGGATTACCTTGTTGAAACCGAAGCTATCAGTGCCCAGACTAATGGCACGAGCACCACAACTACGCTTCAGGAAGAAGAGGAAGCAGCGGCTTTCAACATTGATCTTGGCGAAGTTTCTACTGAAGCCGAGGTGACAGGCAATGTCGATGTCGAGGAGAATGACTTGAACGAAATCGACTGGAGGGACGAACCAGAGGCAGACGATCAAGGGCCAACCACTCCCTCTGCCGCCGGTAAGCGATCCCGCGATGACGATGGCGAACATGAAGTGGAAGTCGAGCAAGGTACGATACAATCCTCCATTTTTAACTCAACGTTGACTAACTTTGCCTAGATGCCAAACGCCGTCGCCCCTGAAACCTTTCACCCAACTAACTACAATCACTTCCCAAATTCGCCAAACACCCTTCATCATAACTAAAATCAACAGCTGCCGGTAAATTAACGCACAGCGACGACTTGAGTTGCTGACAGACGGCTCTGCAATGCCATTGTTCAGTCTCATTGTCGCCGCGTTGTTCCTGGTGGTAAGACATCGGTTTCCTCGAAGTAACACATCACATACCAATAAAATCCACCCTGGTATTTTTCAGCGCAGGTAAGCAATGCAAGCGAGATGACTAACATAGTAGGACGACGTGATCCTGTCTATTGGATCAGACTCGCTTCCCGACCATCGGCGATATGGTCCTTTGTTTTTGAATCCGTACTCATTGCGGTTACGCAAGTTTCGATACCCCTTCCCTTTCAACTTAATAGTTCAGAATGAATTGCGAGACCTCTGTCGGTAAGAGAACGGGTGGATTAGTTCTGTATGGCTCGTGGGGCGGAATGAGGCGTTACACGGTTGAAACTCAAAGCGATGGATTTTGCTGGGTGTCAAGGGTATACTAGATAATGTGGGTGCGATTGGGACGGACAGCATCTGGGATTGGGATCTATACTGCAATCGGGGACATTGCAAATGCATATTCTAGTGTTGTTGTTGTTGCTCTATCATAGAAAGCCATTCGATCCTGGTGGTATTCGCAAGTTGTGAATCTGAGATGCCGTAGGTCAGAAAGCTGCCTTGATCAATGAGAAGTACTCGAGTAATCAAACATGCGAAAGTGATAACAACCTAACCTAACGCATGGTTCTACCGTATAAGCACGACAGTGGTTGCCGTTTGTTTGGCACCTACTAGTACCTATTGAGCACTGAAAAGTCCTTGGGAAGAATTAATGGATGTCATGAATCCATCCATAGGTTGCTTGGCAAGTATCGGATATGTACTGTATGTTAGGGAGTTGATTGAGTTGAGCGCTAAGAATGTCGATCAGGAACAAAGCCCGACCTTGTGACATGACATCTACTTAATGTGCTAAGGTATGGAACCGAAACAGTGGCATGGTTAATAAAAATATCCATGCCACATAGACTATACAGTATCACAGTAGTCGATTCTAATTTTTAAGGGTCTACCTTCTAGATTACCTATGCGAGCATTGGTCTAAGATATAGAGTAGGTGAGGCTTAGACATCGATGTGGGTGAAAACCCTACCTGGATACCTAATGTGGCGTGCGGGAGGCGTTGTTGAGCATGTTCTCGATCTTATGTACAATCATGACCCAGCGGAGCTGAACGAGGCACTACTGAAATGCGGATGGATGCTATAAAAAAAATTGCATCCCCAAAGTTTACTGGCTCAAAGGTTGGAGATTCAGTGAGAACCGAGCTGCTGACGTGGACACGAAGATTCAATTAGGTGGGACGAATAGGATTGCCCTGGATGGAGACAACTTAGGAAACCTCAAGGTCCAGGGATTCAACTGTACCGCCGTACGGATACAGCGTACGTACGATTAGTACCTACTACGTTGCTAGGGGAGGTTACCTACCTAGGTATGGAAGTTAGTAGTATTTGCTGAGGTGTGCTTCTTTTAATTAAGTGACCGCCCCTTGCGTTCAATCCCCGGGCCCCTTAAACCAATTAACAACACCTGAGCACTGAGATGGAGTGGAAGTATTCCATGGATCTGTGATGAAGCAAACAGATAAACATGCTGTTCTTTGTACTATCACATAAAACAAAAATCGTGAATGAAGTTTTCCACCTTATACTTCTGTGAGATTAATAGCGAGTTTATCGGGCAGGCACTTCCATACTTGCCTACCTACCTACCTACGGTACTTAGTAGGTTAGTTCTGTCCAAGCCTCGGCCCTACCCCTACTAAACTCTAGGGAATCAGTATTTCTCTGCCTTTCATTAATTACATGACAGGATAGGTGCATACATATCATGGGGACAACCTGAGACTTTATCTTTCAGTATTTAACCAGGCTTGAATTGGTAGTTACTGATCAAGAACCGCGTTTTGACACTTAGGGTCTGTGCCAGGTTTCGTAACGCTGCCGTTTTACCGACGATTGTTTTATCTCTGTCTAGTGTCTCTTCCAATAAATGGATTGTGGAATGAAGTGTCGTCAGATCCATACAATGGATGGGTAAAAAGAAATGGAAAAGCAACTGGACCTGAGGTAAACCTACAACTGCCTAACAATGCACTGGCTGGCTGGAACTTGAAATTATACTCTACCTGTGTACTACTTACCTACTACCTGATAGGGTCCCATCCTCCTAGAGGTACTCAGGTACTGTGCTCACTCTTACGCTTCCAGCCCATCTTCCCTTCTCTTACCACGCACGTATACAGTACCTAGAGAGCTAGAGGTATTTCAGTTCAGGGCTTCTCTGACTCCATCTTTAGGGTGTCCCGTAGGTACTGTAACGTTATGGGCAAGGACCTGACGCCAGGGGGTAATGGGTCCATTGGCGCCCTCTTTTTGAAACCTCCAGGTCTGCTTGACGGTGGGTACTTGATCGTACACTCTAATTCCACCACTTCTCATGTACCTGGCGTCTCCACTGCTGGGCTTGTTAAAGCCTCCCGCCGCCTCTAGCTTACTGAGCCACCCCTGTCTGGCAAGTCTGGGTCTTGTCGGGTCTGATCTGGCCTCCCCCAAACTCTCCCACACGAGCCAGACCTAACCTTAGTGGTACCTTGGAGTACATGCTGCATCTCGCTCGTCTCATCCGCACTGCAGTAGCCTCTCCATTTTTGCAATCCAGCCAAGCTGTCCCTTTTTCCCTATCAACCCCCCCTGCCACCTGTGAACATCGTCTCGTTTTGTTGCGCTTTACGAGCTGTCTCTTACTGCTTGCTCGGTTTGACAAAACACAACGCTATCTACCCTCGACGCTTACGAATTCGACCACTACCTAGGTACTCAACGAGACGAACACATCTCGAACCGATCCTTTTCCGTCGTCGCGAATCACCTGCGCCCCTCTATCGCCGAGCCTCTCTGCAAGCGTCCACGCAACCACGCCAACCTCGACGAAACATATCGCTCTTTGGCGACTCGACAGCCGCTCTTTGATGCGTTTGCGATAGACTCGAGCCCTTGATTTCCTTAACTCAGTCGCTTCAACACTCGTTATTGTTATACGGCTTTTCTCGCCCGGTGCGAGCCTATGCCAATTGTCAATAATCATTGTTCAGCCTCAACCTGACCTGACTATTCCAAGCGCTATCGCCCGAGCCCTACCTCTGCCCGGCCTTTTGCGTTCAGCGCATTGGAATTGTCTATAGAGAGTTGAAGTTGTGCGCCTCGTCGCTGCTGTGCGCTCTTTTAAACATCATGATCGAAGACAAGTACGTCGCGTACCACTTGACGTGGTCTTACTCCTGAAAGGCCACTTTGATCGGCTCTTTGTTACCACTCTGTTTTTCTTCTCAATCTCCCATAACAAAGCTGACATGATTTCAAGGTATATTGGTCTGGCTCTTGCCATGACATCGGCCCTAGCCATTGGTATGTTGTCTCTTGAGCATGATCAAGCGCGACCGCATTGTTAACAGCGTTTTAGGAACTAGTTTCGTTATTACAAAAAAGGTTGGTCTCACATAGTTGATGCTGCCGAGCAGCGACCTCTCAACTGCCCGGTCTTCTCGTACAGCCTACCGCTCAACAATATGCATGGGACTAATCAGCCACTAGGGATTGATTCAAGCAGAAGAGAGACATGGCTTTGAAGGTGATGGATTTGTGTACCTCAAAAATCCTCTGTGGTGGGCCGGTATCGCGACTCGTGAGTAGTTAAGGGTGAATGGCTTTTCGTGGTGCTTGTGCTAATATGTGTTGACAGTTGCACTTGGAGAGATTTGCAACTTTGCCGCATACGCTTTCGCCCCTGCGATCCTCGTTACCCCCCTTGGAGCCCTCAGTGTGCTTATTGGTGCCGTTCTTGGCTCATACTTTCTCAAAGAAGAACTTGGTACTTTGGGTAAGCTAGGCAGTGCCATATGTCTGATCGGTGCTGTTATTATTGTGCTCCACGCACCTCCGGACGAGGAGATTGAGACCGTCGACGAGATTCTGCATTTGGCCATCCAACCAGGTTTGTAAACAGAAGAGCATCATTGAAGCCTCACTTCTAACTGATACCAGGTTTTCTTCTCTACGCCTTCGCGGTTGTTGGCTTCGCCGTCTTCATGATTTACAGGATTGCCCCTCGTTATGGCAAGAAGAACGCCCTCATCTACCTTTCCATTTGCTCCACCGTTGGGTCCATTTCTGTCATGTCTGTTAAGGCTTTTGGCATTGCGCTTAAGTTGACGTTTGCTGGCCACAATCAGTTCAGCCATCCCTCTACCTACGTCTTTATGATCTTGACAGCTGTCTGCATTCTAACTCAGATGAACTATTTCAACAAAGCCCTCGCCAACTTCCCCACCAACATGTAAGTGCTCAACCAACGTATACGTGAAGAACTGTACTGACAGATGCTCCAGTGTCAACCCTCTTTACTACGTAACCTTTACAACCGCAACCCTCTGCGCTTCATTTATTCTCTTCACTGGGTTCAACACCAACGATCCTGTCAATACACTCTCTTTGCTCTGCGGATTCTTGGTCACCTTCACTGGTGTCTACCTTCTCAACCTCTCGAGAGGCGATCCTCATGGTCAGAGATTGAGCGCAGGTCGAGGAGGAAGCGACGCTACCGGCACCGACATGGTATCTGGTCTGCAGACTCGTTTGAGTATGCAGGCGAGGAGAAGTGGCGATCCTTCCCGGCACAGTATTAGCAGCCAGCGGGGGGATCGTGAGGGCCTGATCCGTGCATACGATGAGGAGGAAGCTGCTGGGTTCGCTCTGACCGACCTGGCGGACGACAGCGACGACGACCTGCGACACGCCAATGGGAACGGCAACGGCAAGGCAAATTACGACAACAGCATTGAACTCGACAACCGTCACAAATCGGGCGATCGATGATAGCGTTCTATAACGTATCGTGTAACATAATGGCGGAGCAACGGACTTCTTGAGCAGATCGCTGAGAGAACTCCGCGACAATATTTTGCATGTTTCGTCATCTTAAACAAGCATTGTGCATTTTTAAACCATCTGGCCGGGCATTTCTCCTCGAAGCATGGACAGCATTCATGAATGGTACATTACGCAATGGCATGTTCCAATGTTGGTGTCAATTGTGGTTTTTCTATGCACAACGGGGTCAGGACTCGGGACTAAACGAGATGCATTGTTTGCTATTACTGGAGTACTATGGGCACACGGTCTTGGACGGCGTTGGCGGATTTTGTATTGGGGCCACAGGCGAATTCTCTTTGTACAATAACTGCAGGGCATGAACGACGGTAGACTTGCAAGTCAGCTGTTCACACAGGGGTTCCGGATCAAGGGATTTATACTGGGTGGCGAAGGAAAAGGTGAATAACGCGGGCGTTGCCGCTGAAATGTCTAGGATCATGAACGGCTCAGGTATTCTAGATGTGTTTACGCAAGTCGCAGGACTTTGTTTTTCAGGGTTTAACGATGCCCAGGTTTGAACTTATAACAAGAGATAGGAAACGGTCAGAGACTACCCATTCACCATAGACAAGAAGCACAACGATATGAAACAAAAGTTTATGCTGTCCTGTACCACAATGTGAAATGAAAGGGAATGGAGCTGAAAGCCGTCGAAATTAGTGAGTTGTGCGATACTGCCATACGTGCCTGAAATCATGGTAAGAAAGGTCGCAATTGACATAGACGCGGCAACTTAAATAGCCCCGCCATTTATCCCTCACCACGTCTACAGTTTAACAATGAAACCATCACAGGGACTCGCATAATACTGGAGTCGAAGGATTGGTAGACAGAAGACACAGTCATAAGACGTGTCGTCGTAATCTTCGGGTTTCATTTTTTTTTCTATGCTTTGCCTACCATTACAAGCAAGAATGAAACCTTCCGTGCCCTTAGCAGATGCAAATGAACAATTGACGCCTGAGTAGACCTCCGTCCCTCATCCCACGGATCTCCCATCTTCCTTCGTAAGGTTTTGATGGCTTTTTCCAGCCTGGTGATTTAAACATCCTATTGCTCAACAGCCTGGACCTCATCACCACCCTCCTCCTCGGCAACTCGGGCATCCTGAGCAGCCTGAGCAGCCTGGGCGGCCTTAGCGCCGTAGTCCTGGCTAACGGGCTGGAGAACAGCCTGCTCCTCCTTGGGCTCGATAATGGTAACGGCGTCAGGGAGGGTCTTCTGAGGACCAGCCTTGCCTTCAGGGTCGGAGCCGCGCATGATCTTGACCTTGATACCCAAAACACCCTGTCGGAGAAGGACGTGACGGGTGGCGTGATCGATGAAGTCCTTGGCGGGCTGACCAGAGTGAATCATGAAGCCGTCGGTGAACTTCATGGACTTGGCACGGGCAGCACGGAGCTTACCAGAGACAACAACCTCACAACCCTTGGCACCAGACTCCATGATGAAACGGAGGACACCATAGCAGGCACGTCGAACGGCAAGACCGTTCAGAAGCTTGTATCGGAGGGACTCGCACTGAGCGACGGCGGAGAGACCACGGTTCTGGACCTTGGCAGCGTAGAGGGAGACGGAGTTCTCGGGGAACTTGAATCGCTTCTGGATGAGCGAGGTGAGCTCGCGAATGCGGCGGCCCTGCTCACCGAGAACCTCCTGGGTGTGGGTGGCTCGGATGATGATGTCGGTAACGGTGGGGGTGACGCGGACCTCGACGCCGGAGTAACCCTCCTCAGCGAGCTCGCGCTGGAAGAACTCGTTGAGCTCGGCGTAGAAGACACCGTCAGCGACGAACTTTCTCCTCTTGGAGCTATAGAAGAAGAAATGTCAGTGCATGTTCTAATCTGTTCTGTTCTGCTGCATCTTGATTTTCCTGGGGCGAACGAGTACGGGGATTTCGCGGGGGTGATGACGGTAACGCAGTGATGATGGCTTCGCTTTTTCGAATTAGAGGATAGACGCAGGCAGTAACTCACATCTGAGATCCGGGGTGAGCCATCTTGGAAAATAGGTCTTGTGTTGTCGGGACTGACTTGACTACAGGTGTCTTGTCTTGAGTCTGTTGGCGAGCTGAGGGTTGGCGGGCTGAAGAGAAAGATTCGCGATCCTGGGTGGATTTCGGGCCTCACTGACCTGACACTCACAAAGGCTCGAATCAATTTTTTGGTGTGTGGTTGAGCCCTAAATTCGGTTTTTGCGGGGCTCGATTTTTGGGGCTCTCTGTGCAAGTCACTTTTGTATGCCGGGATGTCGGAGAAACTGTTATAACGGATCCGGAGTAAGATGCCAACCTACGTTACCTAAGTTACCTAGGTTAGTACCTAGAGGTAATGGAAGGAATGGGGAAAGCGCTTGGGCCATGCCTCTGACGTCGAGTTCTGGCTACCTTATCCTTCCCGGAGTGGAGGCGAGCATTTGTGGCTCGTGATTAATGATGGATGAGCTTCTCGAACAGACTTGAACTTTTACTCAAAGCTGAGAAATTTGGTTCGCTTTGGATTCTTACAGACTCGGGGATGGTCACAGGCATGTCCAAGGCCGTCCCATAACCTATATTCTCTGATCGCCTTACTACATATTGCTGTCTCATTGTCTTCCGATTGCCCCGCGATATCGAGTTACCTCCGCGTCACCATCTCAGAACTTTCGACGGTTAGAATACAGATACCCAAGCGATCGCCGACCGAAGCTAGTCGTACATCTAGAAAGACTACCCGTTTCTTGTGACAACTTCATCCAGAGAGGGATAGGGAGGGAAACAAGCAGTTGGCGAACCTGTCTTGCACAAACCCTACGATCTGCCACGATGGAGGCCCGAAAGGTACGCGTGGTCACTCAGTTCAAGTCGCCGAATTCAGAGTGTCGGGTTTCTTGCTCAAGACTTGATTTTGTCATCCAAACTTCTAACGCGGTATAGATCGTTGAGAGTGTTCAGGGTATCTACGGCGGTCAGACTACCCATGGCACTTTACGACTGACCGACTTCCACCTGGTGTTCTGCGCGCCTATCGATCAGTCCGGAACAACTCCTGATCCTTCTCAGAAACCCAGAGTTCGCGAAAGATGGATTCCCTTTCCTATGTTATCATATTGCGCATTCCGGCCCGTCCCGCCTGGATCCCGCCAGTCCCCGTCGATTCGATTACGATGCCGTGACTTCACGTTTGTAACATTCAACTTCGCCGACAGTGAAATCGCTCGCGACACATTCGATTTCATCAAATGCCGGACTTGCAAGCTTGGAACTGTCGAGAAGCTTTATGCATTCAACCATAAACCCCTGAAGCACGAGCGAGAGGTTGGCGGCTGGTCATTCTATGATCCAAAAGCGGAATTCAGGCGACAAGGAGTTAGTGAGAAGTTGCCCGACAAAGGCTGGAGAATCACCCACATCAATAAGGATTATACCTTCTGTGATACATACCCTGCTTTCTTGGTCGTCCCAACCAAAATATCGGATAACGTCCTTAAATATGCAAAGGAGTTTCGCTCGAGGAATCGTATACCGGCGCTGTCATACATTCACCCTATCAACAACTGCACCATCACTCGAAGCTCTCAGCCCCTGTCTGGAATTACGAGAAAGACAAATGTTCAAGATGAGAAACTAGTAGCGGCGTCTTTTAATGCTCTATTACCACCAGGGTCCGAAGACAACACTCCTTTATCGAGTCAAGCTGATGTATCCCTCGGAAACTCAACAACAGAGCCAGACCTTTCCGACACCGAACGTTATGAAGACGATCTTATTACGAAATCATCTGCTGTCTACGATGCTGCTGGAAAACGTCAAATATACGGTGCCCAACAGAGTAATTTAATTGTAGATGCCCGCCCAACTATCAACGCCATGGTCAACCAAGTTCAGGGTATGGGTTCAGAGAATATGGACAAGTACAAGTTTGCACGGAAGATATTCCTTAGTATTGAGAATATCCACGTCATGCGGAGCTCCCTCAACAAGGTTGTTGACGCTCTCAAAGACGCCGATATTTCCCCTTTGCCACCGAACCGAGAGTTGCTCCATCAAAGTGGTTGGCTACGGCACATTCACGATGTTCTGGATGGATCAGCTATCATTGCTAGGCAAATTGGTATCAACCACTCCCATGTTCTCATCCATTGCTCTGATGGCTGGGATCGCACGAGTCAGCTCAGTGCACTGGCACAGATCATGCTTGACCCTTACTATCGTACTATCGAAGGATTCATCGTTCTCATCGAGAAGGACTGGCTTTCCTTTGGACACATGTTCCGACTGCGATCCGGCCATCTGAACCACGAAGACTGGTTCACCGTGCAGAGGGATGCTTTTGCTGGTTCAAAGGTGCAGCCTGGTGAGAACGATGGCCGAGGTGATGCTTTCCAGAATGTGTTAAGCGGTGCAAAGCGTTTCTTCAACCAGAACAAGGACGATCCAGACTTGGCTGCAGTTGTTGAGACGGCGCCGGGAAAGGTAGTCGACGATGAAGCAACATCCCCAAAGATGGTTAGTCCCGTCTTTCACCAATTCCTCGACTGCACTTATCAACTTCTACGTCAAAATAATACTCGATTCGAATTTAACGAGCGTTTCCTACGCCGACTTCTCTACCACCTGTACTCGTGTCAATACGGCACGTTCCTGTTCAACTCCGAGAAACAAAGAAAGGATGCGCGAGTTGCGGAGCGAACATCTTCAGTTTGGGACTACTTCCTCTGCCGACGGGCTGAATTCACCAACCCGGATTTTGATGCCGGCATCGATGATCACGTAAAGGGACAAGAGCGTATTCTTCTACCGCGATTGAAGGATATCAGGTGGTGGCACCAGGTGTTCGGAAGAACTGAGGATGAAATGAATGGTGGTCTAAATGCTGCTGCGGCAGCCGAGACCGACCGGCAAACCGCCATATCAAATCTTCAGTACCCTAGTGTCATTCAAGCAGATACTGATCCAAGATTATCGACCTCAAGTTCCAAATCTGGCCCCCCCTCAGTCCTTACCGGCGTTGAGACAGCTCACGAGATGTTGACGCCAGAGGCACGGCATACGCCAATCGATCGAAGCGCATCTACTGAGCCCGGCGGTAACACTTTTGCCGCCATCAGAGATGGGATCGCGGGTCTCAATCTAGGTAAGGGGGTGCTTGGGCAATTTACCAACACTGGCGATTCTGCCTCATCCTCAGATCCGATTCCTGCGCCCCCTCGCAACGACCAGGAGTTGCGTGGGATGACATAGAGGGTCATGTTTCCAGAGTCGGACCCCAGCCCATACCTAATTGTCGAGACCCATGAATCTGTGCGGCATTGCTACTCCTGGTCGCGCGCACTGGCAGCGCCGCCGGTGCTGGCTACAGATCTCGCTGCATCTTCAAGCCGGTGCAGCTCCCACAGTGTACCCAGCGATCTGACTGGCGAGTGGGAGTACATCAAACAGCGCGACTCTGAGCCATTGGATTTCTGTACTGAAACCATCCCTGACGTCTCATTACAACCAAACGTGGAGTCAGAAGCGCCTCGCTACAAGTGTGAACTAGACGGTACATTCAACCTGTGAAGACAAGCGCATATCGTCGAAGTCTGATTTCCAGTCGGACGTGTCTGATCTTTGAAAATTGGCTATCCAAGAGGCGGGGGGGTTGTCATAACTCACACTGATCGGCCGTTGGTATTAGAGGCAGCATTCCTGGCTTTGTTTGAACTTCGGCAGTGAATGCATTTTGAACTTGTGCGAATCAATACACAGCGCGGGCTTAGATGGCAATAGATTACTCCATGATCCCCTTATATAGCAAAGCATGTCGCTAGCATAGCAGATTACTCAATGGTCCAAACTTGGCTTTTCTGTCTTTTTTCATCTTTATTTTTGTCTATCTCGTAGCATCATTCCGGCTATTGAAACGTCTTTATCATCTACGATCTTGTTTCGCCTCTTGCCCTTAGGCTCTAGGTATTCTTTGAGTTTCTTCATGCCGCGTCACAGGAACACCTCGAGGTTAATCTCGAGAGTGCTAACGGGGTATCTGCAAAGTTGTCGGTCAGTTTTGTCACAGCCACATGTAGGCATCTTGATTACTCACTTCAAATCAAACTTTTCCAACACAGTGGGATGCAGAATGCCGAACTCGCCCACGCGCCTCTCCTTCCCACCAAGACGAAGATACACTGAGGCAGCGTGACCAGCGAAGAAAGTAGCGTCATCGAGTTCCTCGATCCAATAGCCATCGGGCTTGCTAGGATTCTCCTTGATCTCGAAATCAATACTCTTACCAGACAGGCCCTCGTCGTGAGTAAGGAAAGAAGTACGGAGCATGAGCAGGACACGATCAAGGAGACCGTGGACGACCTCAAACCCGCTGGTCCGGCCGTACCAGGCGGCGGCGAAATGTCGCTCATTGCGGGCCTTGCGTTCTTGTGTCTCATCCTTGAAGACAACATCCGAGACCTCGAAGATTTTCATGGGAACACTGTGGCCCTTGTTCTCACGAATGGTCTTGAGAAGACCGGGGAGAAGACTTGATCGCACAACTTGGTACTCTGCGGTCTTGGGGTTGGCGAGACGCACGACAGTGTTCCCATCATCCTTGCGATTGAGCCAAGCGAAGTTCTCGTCATGACTACAAAGAATCAAAGGCATGACCTCACTCCAGCCGGCAACAGCAGCCTCAATCCGTATAATATCACTGAGCTTGTTGACAGGTAGAGGCGCACCCACAGTAGCACTACGTGAAGGAGCAGTGCGGGGGAGATTGTTGTAGCCATAGCACACGGCGAGATCCTCCATCACATCACATTGATGGAGCACATCAGCTCGGGTTGGGGGAATAGCAACCTCGAGAATATTGGAGTCTGTCGAAGAGGGAGCAGAGATGTAAGACATCTTAGAGAGGAGCTTGCACAGATTCTCAGGGGATTGATTGAGACCAGTGCAGCTGTTGAGGTAATCAATCTCGACCTCAGCGACTCTAGGCTTGAGGTTAGGGGTGATGCGGGTTTGGTTGTTGTGGTCGGAGTTGATTTGGACAGGCTCAACAGTAAAGGGTTCCGAGCAGTACATGGAAAACATAGTGACCATGATGTCGGTGACTATGTCGAGCTTAGTCAGGTCGGTAGCGGTAATCTCAATGAAGACATTGGTGGTATCCAATGTGATCTTGGAGTGGTCGCCGTTGATAATTGGAGGAAGAGAGCACACAACACGGTTGGAGTCGTAGATAGCAGGGTAAACTGGAGAGTCGCGGATGATGTGGAGGAAACGTCCCAAGTGCTTGTCGTTCTCGTAGAAGTTCATCAACTCAGCGGAGTCCATTTCCTTGGTCTGGTTGAGTGGGGTGAACTTGATGTCCTTGGGAGGCAGAGCCTCGTAGGTGAAAGGGCCTTTGATGGTGTCGTAATCATGGGTACCGATGGAAACTAGTGTTCGGTTTCGGGCAAGGTTCTGGTGAAGCTTATCTTGTAGAGAGATGAAAGACTCATATCGGCTCTTGTCGAACTTGATATTGCGGAGGATAGCGCCGGAGACATATGGTCGGACTTGCTCAGCTTCAGGCTTGACGGTAATCGACTCTAACTTTCCACTAGAGGGCTCGACGAGGCGGTATTTTGGAGGCGCAGTCTTGCCACGGAAGACGTTGAGGTTGGAGACGATACCCTCAAAGCAAAGCATGTCATATCGGTTGGCGGGGATCTCAATCTTGAGCTGGGGAGGCTCTTGCTCCCCGTTCACAATAGGACGATCATCGTTCTCAGTATCCTCGTCTAGCTCAATGCCGAATTCGAAGCAAAGATCCTCAAACTCCTCGGTCGTGAATCTATATCAGAAAAAAAAAATTATGTTAGCATACGCATATCAAATATGGTCGCGAAGTCGGAGACTATGGTGGGGGGTTCAAGAAGAGGGGCATTGATTCGCACTTTTGACCAAGAGCTTCGTAAAGCTTGTACTTATCGACGGAGATGGTAGGCATAATGAAGCGTGGCCTCGAGCCTGTCTTGTGGTGTGATCCTTTTCACGAAGAATTGGAGGTCAAGGCGAGACTTCCGTCGAGCGTTGGATATGAATTGCACTGAGTCACAGGAAATTTTGGGGATGCCGTCGTTGCATGAGAATGACAGAAGTGGGATGTGGTACCAGGGTACTCTAGTGAACGCAGTGGTGTGGCATGGTAAGGCGGTACCCCCTTATCGGACCCATCTGGCGGGGTATGTGATCTGGCGGATCATTGATATTCCTACCTACCTAGCTTGGTAAACGGATGCAGTGAAGCGATGTGAAGATTGCATACCTTAGTACCTAGGTATGTTCTAAAGAAGAATTACCTACTTAGTACCTAGGTAGTAGGTACGTAGGTAGGTGCTTAATTAAACCCGATCTCAATTTAAAAGGTTGGAACAAAATGATTGTTGAAGTATTGGATAATACGTCCTTATAAGACAGCTGTATCCAAGATATAGCCTGCGATCTACCTTACCTAGAGTCTTCGGAAAGTCCTTCAGAGCCAATGACTCACAAGTGCACGAATGCTTCTTCTATGGAATTCACTGGGATTTAAACGTACTTCTGCCAGAATTGTACGTGAGAGAGGACTGTATGTAAGCTTGATGCTCAGCTATCATGCCAGCTATTTTCCTGTACGCCACAACGTTCGTATCTGAGCTCTGGCCAAGGTTAGTACTGCAGGTAAGCGTCAGGAACCTAGATTGCCCCTCAAAGATCCATGTTTCCCAAGGAAATGAGTGGTAGCCACAACGACCCCACTTCAGCCACACATTGACTGCTGCCCGTTGTCTCCTCTCGACTACGGGCTACTAAGGTTAGGTACCTAGGTAGCTGTTCGCAGGCATTGGATTTTGGGGGATGCCCCTCAGGGCATCCGTACCTGAGTAGGTGCCTATGGACGGGCAGTTAGTAGCTGGAGGTGAGCCACTACAGCACTACCTACAGCACCTACCCAGAGGGAGTCACCAGCCTCACCCATCCTGGACACCCTGCCAGCACAGGCACATTCAACTCATCCAGCTCCATCCTACTCCACGTCCTCTGTGCTTTCTCTTCTTCCTCCCTCTCTCATCTATTGATTCTACGTATTCACATGTCCACATCTGAAACCTCGACGACTCTGACATAGGCTACGACCCTACGCCCTTGACTCTGCATCATTACCGGCCAACTTTCTCCGCGCTGAGCTTAGCCCAGGGCTCTACTTCATTGCGTGGTATCGTCTCTGCCCTTGTCTTTCAGCCAAAAATCGTGTGTAGGAACTCCGCGCAAATCATTGCATCACCCACCCGTCCAGTTCAGCCCAGCACCTACCACACGCGATCCACCCGCAGTCGTCCAACCTTCCTTCTTCCACCCTCCTAACGATCATCTCGACTCCTCTCGGACGCTGCCACTCATTTTCTTGATAAATCTGCGATTCTACCGCCCCGCTCGCCATGGCTGACGCGCCCAACTCTGGCGATGAGCTGTACCCTATCGCCGTACTTATTGACGAGCTAAAGGTATGTCGTTTGGCGGTGACGCCACGCTTCAGCACAACGCTTCGTTTGCCTACCTCTCTTATAACCAACAAGTCACTACCCATTACTAACGCTCGGTTACTATTTAGCACGACGATGTTCTTCTCCGTCTCAACGCCATCCACCGTCTCTCGACCATTGCTCTTGCTCTCGGCGCTGAACGAACTCGTGAGGAGCTCATCCCCTTCCTCGACGGTCAGTCTTCGATCTAGCTTTCCCGCACATCAAGTTGCGATTCAAACAAAGACCTCTCCTAACCATAATTCTGTACAGAGTCCGTGGAGGATGAAGATGAGGTTCTTGTTGCCCTGAGTGAAGAACTTGGCGGCTTTGTCGAGTATGTTGGCGGTTCTCAGTGGGGTCATGTTTTGCTGTCTCCCCTCGAGAACCTCGCTGCTATCGAGGAGCCTGTCGTCCGTGACAAGGTAACTCGCGCGTCCCTCTATTTGTCCCTCGTTCCCTCGTCTAATCATCATTCCAGGCCGTCGAGTCCCTGAACAAGATCTGCTCCGAACTTGCTCCTCAACAAGTTGAAGAGTACTTCATTCCCCTCACAATCCGCCTCGCCAAGGCCGATTGGTTCACATCAAAGGTTTCGGGTTGCGGTCTCTTCACGACTCCCTACAACAAGGTCTCCCCACCTGTTCAAGAGCAACTGCGTCAGCAGTTCGGTCTGTTGGTTCACGATGAGACACCTATGGTCCGTCGTCAGGCTGCCACCAACCTCGCCAAATTTGTCAAGGAGATGTCCGCCACCATCGTTGTCGACGAAATGATACCCCTTTTTCAACATCTCGCACAAGACGATCAGGATAGCGTCCGACTACTTACGGTCGAGGTTCTCATTTCCATCGCCGAAGCCGTTCCCAAAGAACAGCAGGCCAGCCACGGTGTGTTGCTGACAGCCCTGCGCAACTTGATAGAGGACAAGAGTTGGAGAGTTCGCTATATGATTGCGGATCGATTTGAGAAGGTTTGTTATAACTTCCTGGTTTTGATTCATGGTGTGCTGATGTTATGTAGATTGCCAAGGCAGTAGACGAGGAGGTTGTCTCCAGGGATCTTGTTCCCGCATTTGTAAAGCTTCTCAAGGACAATGAGGCTGAGGTGCGAACCGCTATTGCTGGCCAGATTCCCGGCTTCTGCGCTCTTGTCGACCGTAACGTTCTCCTCAACGACATCATGGGTAGTATCGAGGACCTTGTCTCCGACACTTCTCAACATGTCCGTGCTGCGCTTGGCACCCAGATCAGTGGCTTAGCTCCTATTCTTGGAAAGCAGGAGTAAGTAGTGAGCTCTCGAAGCCCCGGCGCCCGATGCTAATTTGTACCATAGAACCATCGACCACCTTCTGCCTATGTTTCTTCAGATGCTCAAGGACGAGTTCCCCGAGGTTAGACTTCATATCATTTCAAAGCTCGAGCTCGTGAATCAAGGTAACCAATAAAGCTGTTGACCACGAGAATTCACGCTGACAACATACAGTTATTGGCATCGATCTGCTCTCTCAATCTCTTCTCCCTGCAATCGTACAACTCGCCGAGGATAAGCAATGGCGGGTACGACTTGCCATTATTGAGTACATCCCTCTCCTAGCCAGCCAGCTTGGTGTCCAGTTTTTCGACGAGAAGCTCAGTAACTTGTGTATGGGCTGGCTTGGAGATACAGTCTTCTCCATTCGTGAAGCGGCTACTCACAACCTGAAGAAGCTTACTGAGGTCTTTGGTGTCGAGTGGGCCAGTGAGGCTATCATCCCCAAGGTTATGGCTATGGGCAACCACCCCAACTACCTTTACAGGATGACCACGTGCTTTGCCATTTCGGTATTCATCACCCTTCTTTCCGTGCCACGACTGCCTAGCTAACCTCTTCTTCTTAGACACTGGCGAGTGTTGTGAGCATGGACGTTATTGCTAAATCGATTCTGCCTATGCTCGACAAGCTAGTTTCTGACGACATCCCCAACATTCGTTTCAACGTCGCCAAGACATACCGCGTTCTCATCAACGTACTCCGACGTCTCCCCGATGAGGGCACCCTGTACGACTTGGAGAAGCAGGGTAGTGAGATCACACCGTCGCCAAGGGGCTCGGAGCTGATCCAAGAACGTGTCGTTCCTAACCTGGAGAAGTTGCAGAAGGACGATGACGTGGATGTGCGATACTTTGCGACGACAGCAGCTGCCGAAATTTCGGGACCTATTGCTGGCGGAGAGCCTATGAATACATCGCCATAGATGAGAGACGTAATGAAGCAATAATTGTTGTCGATACAGATTTTTGTCTGCTTTTCTTGTTACGTCCGCATCGCTGCAAAAAGAGAGAAAGACAGATAAGAGTCAATGAAGTCGTGCGTTGCATCTTAGAAACCAGTGGTTTGAGCTGAATATTCTTGCGTTTGAGGAGGGGGAATATTCTGAAAAGACACGAAACCCGTATACAAGCCCTCTGGAGACGCCGGGGGTAGATACAGCTAAATCGTCGGGATGATGACAGGAGCTTCAGGGGAGGGTAGTCCAGCGCCGATGAGACCAAATACCATTGTATGATATAATCAGAGTTCTCAGTGAGTGATGATGAAGATTTGGAGTCAGGTGATGTGGCCAGCACAATGTGATAAAATGGGTATCTATGTCCGTTATTTCTAATGCAACTAGACCTACTCATACCCTGCGAAAGCAGAGTGTGCTGATGGTTTGACCCTTGTGGCCTCCGAAGCTGAAAGATCGATATTCTACTCTGCCAATGACCTCAAATCCCTCAACACCAGTCTTCTCAAACCAACCCTTCAGCTCAGTCTCGGTCCAGTTGCAGCTGGTTACCAGAAAGATGCCGCCTTTCCGAACAAGTGGCAGCACTCGTTCACGATAGCACTCACACAGCCGTCGTCCTTGAGTGTCCCTCTCATCACTCAGAGAAATGGCATCGAACGTTCCCTTATCAAGCACAACATCCCAACCTTGAATCTGCTCGCCGTTGAGCACTGGGCCATAAGACCCAGCTATAAGATCCCATTCTTCAAACTCGACGGGTGCTTCAAGGTCCTCCTTTGTAGCTGTAATTTGACGCGCGAGAGCGATGCTTTGGGGGCTGTAGTCGACGCCAAGAGCACGCGCGGACCAATGCTCTTCACGGAGAGAGAAGAGTAAGGAGCCATTGCCGCAGCCGAGATCGAGAAAGGTAGTTTTGTCGTGGGTAAGGACCGGTGATTCTGGGTCAGCAGGGTCGATCAGCCCGTCTAGGAACTCTAGAATCTTTGCTTCAGCATCTGAGTCGTCGAACCAAACTGTTCCAATGTCGGAGGGGTCGGCAGAATGGTTTGATATCTCATTTGTGTAGAGGTCATCCCAGCTATGGGGCAGAATGTCAGTACTGAAAAGAGGAAGATATATGGGAGGTCGGACTATTGTTTTGTGCCAAGTTTTGAAGGCTCCAGGTGCTGTGGCTTTTCTTTCGATGCCATTATGATTGAGGTCCTATGGCTGTTTGCTCTATGAATCTGGAGCTAAGCGTTCAGATTAGTTAGATTAGTTGTATGTTAAAAGAGGTCGTCGTGATTACCTAGATATTTTGTGGTGGGGGAGCTGAGGTCCCCAAAATGGCAGGCGGTGAAGGCGGGGTAGATGAGATCCCCAGTATAGGTACCTAGGTAGTAGGTACGGAGTAGTTGTTCTACTAGGAGCATGACAAAGATGATGCGAAGATGTACTTCACTTTGCACTGGGAGCTACAAACTATCGCCAATAATTTAGAGCACCTGACACCGATTGATGTTGATGCTAATGGATACCTAGGTATGTTTCTTCCCAGAAACCGGGTTGATTGCAGGATCAAAGGTATGGAGCCGAGGAGCCGACTGTATTTGTGATAGAACCTCTACTTAGTCTATACAAGCTTCGACTCTCTGCCACGCTCGTCTCGAGCGCAGCTACAATATGAGTGAGTGTTCCTCTGCAAAAGGGGAGCGACTCTCACGCAATCCAGTATCCCAGGCGGATCGAAGGGATGCACGTATGTACACAACGAGCAGGGTTTATTGACCCCACTTAACTCTTGGTCCTTTTCATTCCATGAGAAATGGCTGATGGCTGTTCTGTTCCTCTTATATGAATCGTATCGTTCGATGATCATGAATACCATGTTCCTGATGCCATCCGCAAAATCACGCAATATTCCAAACACCAGGCCCCGTATAAGTTAAAAATTCGTTCAACGACGCAAATGAAGCCGTCTAATCAATAACCCGAAAGAGTAGGTAACAGCAGCAAAGTCCATACAAACAACCAACTTACAAGCAGAAAACAAATCCACAGATCAAGCTTAGTAGAAAGACTCGACCATGGTGTCCTTCATGCTGGTGTTGATGTTGCTGGGTCCCTGGCCTTCGCCGAGGCGGAATACACTCTCAATAACACTGAGCTCGGTGGCGGTGGTGTCGAGACCAGTAACTGCGAGCCAGTCGTTGACAACCATTCCAGCACCGACGACGTTGGAACCGCGGTTGACACTGCCGGCGACGAGGGGAACCTGAAGCAAACTGGATAGCTCGTCCTGGTCTTGAATAGGAGTCTTGGGATGCACGAGACCTCCCTGATTGGAAAGGCTCATGTAACTACCAACTAGAACGTTGTCGGCGACGGTCTGTCGAAATACTTCCACACCAAGCACATCTGCAATAATCTCTTCTGTTTCGCGCTCCAGGTCAGGGTGAACAAGGGCGATATGATCATTTGTGACAATGACATTCCCAAGGGCTGACAGGCGCTCCTCGATACGCTGAATGCGGACTGAATCGGGCAGCGAATTGCGCAGGTGCTGCAGTTCCTGATCGGTTGTGGTCGTAGGGACAAGAAGACCCTTTCGGTTACCGGCAGTCAAGCGACCAATGATACGAGTACCGGCGATGGTAGTGCGAACGGTAGGGACAATATCTTGAAGCTCAGCCTCGAAGACACTAGAAAATGTAAGCACGATGCCAGATAGAGATTGAATAGAGGGAAAGACGATTTGAATACCTGTAGAAGTTCTCGCTGGCACCAAGGGCAACCAGAGCATAAGAGTTGGTCAAGGTGGAGAACACACCGACCCTAGATACAAAGTCAGCAATGTTTTTTTTAATCAAATTCTGCTTCTTGTAGCTTTATCGCCCGCATAGGCAACCGACCAGCATCCGAAATGATTAGAGACGGCGGGGGCGGGGTTCGTAAGGCACAAAATAGCTTCAGACAAGGGATACAAGTACATACTCGTTGGAGTTTTCGAACTGAGCGCGAACCGCCATGATTTCTGAATAGTTCCGTAACGGGGGACTTAAAATGTTGAGAGGGAGGTGAATGGAGTTGTCGCGAATGTTGGAAGAAAGTGGATGTTCAGTGGTAGTAAGGTTTTTTTCCCTAGGTTTTTTTTTTTTTTTCTTACGTCGGGT